ATCTGCTGTAGAAATTGCAGACTTTTAGGGCAAGCGGTAGTTGTGCCCTTCCCATTTGTGTTGAAAAGCTTTTCGTTAAGCCTTAATTTTGTCACAGACTAGCCATTTACCCTAATTGTAATCATTTGGCAGTCCGAATGTAATCATTTTGATTAAGATACACAAATTTGTGTGTCATTTAAAAGCTGTTTAATTTAAACTTGTTTTTGTTTACACCGATGAATCATTTAAAGATTTTATCAGTCTGAAATATTTCTTCATTACTTTTAATGACTGGGAATTTTTTATTTTCCAACGTTTAAATCTCAGATCAATTATTCAATTTGTATCCACAATAAAATTCAACAAAAAGACTCTTCAAATGGAGTGCTTGTTGTTCATTGTAAAAAGGATTAAGGAAAACATTCATTCTATCCTTTAAAGCCTTATTGAAAACTTCAATTTCATGCAAGGCTTCCCATCTGAAAACCTTTAACTGCAAGCAAACAGACCGGAAGCGATCCAACTCGCAATGACTTATTAAAAACAACTTCGCTTCGTTATTTTCAAAAATATTTCTTTCGAAGGGTCGCTTTTCCTTCCTGGCAAGCATTTCAAGTGCTTACTCGAAAGAATTCCCGACCAAAAATAAACTCAGGCTTATTAAAAATTTCGATTCCATGTTGCCTAAGGAAGTTAAAACTTTTTAAACTTGGAGACGAAGTTTCGTTTTCCATTTTCTCCTTTCATGATGCGAAATGCGAATAAATTGCGTCACGGTAATTTTCAATTTATGTACAGCGAGAAAGCTTTTCAGATAACATGCTCGATGTTTTTCTTAATAATCAGTAATTATACTTCCGTTTAGATCGTGAGAAAAGTGAATAAATTTCTCACAAGGGTGTTGAGCTTCAAAATTTATTGCCATTAGCATTCTAAATAAAAATATTTCGTCGAAGACCTCCCGTGTCGAGGCCTGTGTTGGGCTGCCGTTTTTCGTAAAGTGAAATTAAGTAGAAAAATGCTTCAACCTGATAACTTTCTTGCTACGATCGTCTTACCTTAGCGATTTAATTTCCGGATACAAATTCATGCTTCCGCTTTCTGAAGCTGAGCCATACCAAGGAAATTTCTGCTCGATTACATTTGTATCGTTAAAGACACCATAAAGCATCAAGTGGCCATCATTCGACATCCAAATCGCAGTATTGCTTCCCAATATTTCCTCTGCAAGAAAAATATCAGAAATTTCAGGTAATTAATGGATAATTTCATTTATTAAATATTCATTACATTTTATTATTGATCAATGTAAATACGAGTTGTCAATTTATCATTATAAAATATGATTCAACTACGTTTGGTTAACAAACGCATTTATTTAGCTTTGTGGCGATTATTAATCGAAATAATAATTCAATTATGACACATTTTAATCAATTACGAACCTTCATAAAGCCAATCAGGTACGCCATTGTAGATGATCCCGGGCACTGCATTTTTTGTTATTCTAAATGATTGAGCTGATTTTGGTCCCGTTTTATAATAAATGTCATAATTGTACACCATAACAAGTGAATGACTGCGTGGTGTAAATTGAGCATGGAGAAGAAATGGCCATTCTTCTTCACTTTTCGGTGTTAAATTTATCGATTCACTGTAACGAGAAAAGCTTTTAATATGCTTTCGAATTTAAAAGCTTTTGAAATGACAATTGAAGTGGCATTAAGATAATTGAACGACATTGCATTACAATCCCTTTGAAACATGAACTTTACCTTGCTTGAATATCAAACACTGTGTACTGAGCCAAGTACGAATGACGGAAGAGTTTTTGAATATTTTGAGCTAGCAGCAGATACCTTTTATCTGATGACAATGAAAATCTTGCTGGAGCTAAGTTTTTCTGCAATAAAATGAGGAAAATGAGGTTCAAATTTGTCATTAAAGGAGAGAGAAATTCAATTAAAAGTTTGAAACTTTGACTACTTTTTCTCGAGGGTGATCAAAGTTTTATTTCTGCAATTGCTGAGATAAAAATAAATGGAATGAATTCGTTGCATTTATTCAGTGAGTGGAAGTGAAAATTCTTTTAATGAGTAACGTTTTCATTCGAATAGAAGTCGAGTTGCATCATGAAAATTTCCATAATCATAAAAGGAAAATTTTTCCAGTGAAACTCTGTAGATGAATTTTCATCTCACACCATTTCATTAAATTCACCGTCTGTTGATTACGAAATCTTTGACAAGTTAAAGATTCATGAGTCAGAATATTTCATTAATCAAAATTGTTTGTCAGTCAACATTCATGAATTTCTTTTTTAATTTGAGAGATAAAAAATTAAGTAAAAAGGAAAGCCACAAAAAAGAATTCATATTGAGATTTATAATGTTGAAATGGGAATTAAAGTCCTTTTAAATAAAAACCAGATACTTCTCGCTTTTCATTTGCAAAAAGGAAGCAGAATAAAAAAAAGACTCAACGAAGAGATTTACCATCGACGATGACAAATGATACCGCAAACAAGTGTCCTATTCAGAGAGAATCTTTTCTTACTCGGTTTCTTCGGTCATACAAAATATTCAAGTGATCGTAACACGAGAAAAAAGGGCGCGCTAAACTACTCACATATGTTGTGTTCGACATCAAAATCCTTTCAGACAAGTTGCCAACGGTTAGTAAAGCTATCTCGCCCCATTGATTCTGATACAGAAACTCATCAGCTGTAAATAAGTTAAATGAAAACAGCCTTCAATATAATTAACGAGTTTACACTTACAGCTAATCCAGCAACCGTTATTACTACTTAATGGATTGTACATCCCATCTATAATATCTTGCAGCTTTATTCGATGACCTTTCACCCTCGGACCTTCATCGGGTGGTGTTAGAAGAACCTGGAAAATGAAAAATATTAAACTTGATGAATGATTCATAATTTTTTTCATTTCTTTAAAGAATGGAATAAATGTGAATATTAAATTGCTTTATTGTCGTCACGTTTAAATTCTTCATTGTCACATTTTCTGTTTGAGACGTTTCCACCATTCTTTTCAGTCATTATGCTAAACAGCATTGGCTTACGTTGCGACCCATGAAATTTTACTTCAAAATTGTTGGCTCATAAAATTGTAAGTGTTAATTCGTAAATACGGCTCTGTTCGCTTTTAGTCAGCAAAACCGAGGGTTAGTTGAATGGATTTCCTTAATGTTATAAGGCTTTTAGTGTGAATGACAAAATTCTCTTGCAGTTAATCCCGGAGGGAAATCGATGTTCAACGTAGTATGAGACAAACTAGTTGAGCATTATTCCAAAAATAATTTGAATTGTGCTAAGCTTGTTTAAAAATGAGTTCGCCATTAGTTAACTTCACAGAAATATTTTCTCTTGGGGAGGTTTTTGTTGGATAATAATAAAAAATGGATTTCTTTAAAAATAAATTTCAATTTTTTGTTATTTTTCTTCAAGTCGTTCCACCATCTCGTTTTACTTTTTTTATGCTTACCGAAATATGTCAAAAGGTGAATATAAATCGTGGCCTGACTCTAGAACTTTACTCCATGACGTTAATGATAAATTGAGTCTGTTGGTCAGCTTTCAAGTTACTCATTTTCAAATAATGCTTTCATCTAAGATGCTCATCATGTCAGAAGAACGATTGTTTAAAAGAGTTTCCCACATCCATTTATCATTCCATCAAATGGTTCATACATGTTCTTCATGTCATTTACATTTTTCATGAATCATTTTCATAGCAGTCATGTAAGAAGGCTGACTCTGTACAACTCTGAGATGAAGATGATTTAAGCAGAAATATTGGAATTGAGAGAAAACAGCATCTCCACCCAACTTGTTACATTCGGTATCAGCCTTCTTCTATCCTTCTTGATACTTAAATTCTTTTCAAAAGATGTCATTTAAATTGCTACGACTTTTTCCTTTTCGCTCAGTTAGTTTAACGATGATGAATATTTGAAAATTTTCAACATAAAAGAATTCATCAATTACATATCTTTGACTACCAGCGATATTAAATTTGTTCTTCCGTTTACCTGAGCAGACTTCAATTTATCATAATTTAAGATACTTCTTCAAATATTCGTTTTAGGTACTTATGACGCGAAACAAAAGCTTCAACATTAATTTTCATATTTTCAGTCGTTTTTATATAGAAAAATTCTTTCGTAAAAGCAAGCCTGACATCATTATTTCGAGAGATGAAAGCTGTTGTAATAAATTTTTTTGAAGTATTTCGAATGACTTGTGTAGCTTTTGTTGGTGGGTGAACATTTAACGTCTCAAAATGCAGAATTTTATCAGCAGAAAAACAGAAAAATTAATAACGAAATTTGTAGGAGTTTCCAACAAGCAATACTGACATCATTTGTGAACATTTCCATTATCCAAACATGAAACAATTACATTCATTATGCTGTCACAAGCACATGGAAAATATATTGAAAACAGAAAATAAGGATAATTATCTTCATTTTTATTTAACAAGAGCCCGTCGCATTCATTTATGTGATAAGCACTCAAGAAAACACAACAAAATGCGTGATGTGATGGTTAATCGAAATGACTGGTTTAATCCAAGTGTACATTCACACGAGATAACAAAATGCGAGATGATTCTCATGAAAACAATAATCATCTCTTGTCACTAATACGACATAGTCAGGCTGATAAAAAGCTAAATGAATAATGAAATCAATTTGTTCAATATCAATACACAAAACGGTTTTCATTGCTTGTAAGGGAAATCGAACTTTTTAATTTATTTTTATTGAAACTTCGAGGGATGATAAAAATTTTGGGGGAATTTTCACCCTTATTGCCTTTCGTAAGATAAATAACAATTAAAATCTTCTGAAGCGATAACAATTATGTATCAATTATACCAATCAAGTTAAGATGATCATTGAGATGAAGCTTTAAACAAGTAATCTGGATGAAAATAAAACATGATTTGGTTTCCATTTTCATTGAAGAACCCTTAAAAGAGAGAGAATTGACTTTAAAGCTCAAAGTCCTTTTTATGGCGAGTGCCATTTGGAGAGTGTTAAAAAGAAAGTATCTGTCGAGCTTTAAATTGAATGAGTTCGATTCAGAGATTTGGAAAAAGTGGAATTATTTGAGATTGGGGTGAAGAAAGAGAAAGGAAGAAAATTTATTGATAAAGTTTTTCACCATGACGGAAATGATTTCAATTTTTTTCTTCTATTTTTCATCTATTTTAAGCTCTGTGAACAGTCCGATAGTCTATGAAGGAAATCACGATAATTTATTGATTGAACAGACTCTGATGACCGTCTAAATTGAAAAATTGTTTTTTCATTTTATTTTTCAAAGATTTCTGGTTTCGAATTTTATGATTCAAACTTTGACATTCAACTTTTTCAATGAACATCATGCTGCTTAATCACACGCTCATCTTTCACACATCCAATTCGTTTTAATCCGGGTGTTCTCCCATGTCGAAAGTTGCCTTGAACTATCTCTGAAGTTTACATCAAAATAATATGGAAATGAGAAACGTCAACACTTGGCGGTGTTTTCAAAAAGTTTTGTTGTAAAAAATTTTTTTTTCGCTCTGATGAGTGAAGGGAAGTTGCTTCTTCGCTCAACTTCTTTGTTTATTTTTACTCCCACCACTCATTCAAGTGGGGGTTGGTGGGAAAAAGCTTAACTCGATTCAAAAATGTCACATTTTCAACGTTAAGCTTTCAACGTTCGTTGAACAATAAAAGTCCTTTCATAAAATTACCGTCGTCACATTTTTTCCTTTGTTCATCTCATCACCTTCATGATTATATTTTGGAAAATCTTAGTGTTAAATAAATAAATATTTATTAATTCAAATGCTGAGAAAGCCAAGATTTCCAAAAGACCTTTAATAGGAGCGGTGAAAAGTCAATATTTTTCACTCAGAGAACTTCTAGGTTTGCCATAAATTTTCTTCTTACCGCCTTTGCCAACCTACTTCATCTAATTCACATCTTTCAATCGCTTTACAAATATTTACATTTATTGTGTTCGCTCGGAAGCCCCAGAAATGTTGGGTGAAAATATTATGAATAGATGAGGGAAGAGAATAAGAAAATTGCACGCATTGTGGTAACGAAAATATATTCGTGTGTCAACCGAAGATCTTCATCGTTATGGTTTTGCTTTGAATGAAGAAATTCTTTGAATGCTTATAAATATTCAAGAGGGTTGCACATCAATGCTATAAATTTAAATTACATTGGTTTTCGTGACGCATTATTCTCTATTCGAAATTTTATGCTTTCCTCTCTGCTATGATTCGTAATCGCTCTTAAGTATCAATGAAGATTTAAGGAGAATACATTTGAGCTATGCGATACGTCAGTATAAGCACGAACTCAAATCTATGTTGTAAACAAAAAAAAAGTGAGAGACATGAAGAAGAAAAGACGAATCGTCGTAAAAGCTGAGCAAACATTTTGATAATGTCAATGACGGGAATTTGAGAACAGTAAAATTGTAAAAGTAAAGAAATCCACTTACCACTGATGTTATGATGAGTGCGAGAACAATGATTATCACAAGAAGTGCTATTAGGATTCCCCTCCAATTTCGTTGATTTGGATTTGCTGATACTAACTGCAAAAAAGTGGAGAGAATAGATTGAGATTAATTTTCGGTTTAACTGTAATAATAAAAATGTTATTGCATGAAAGAAGCTTCAGATGTTGGCTATAAAGTTCTCGATTAAATATCCAACACATTAAGTAAGTGCCAGAAACATTGAAATCCGAGATTCATTAAAGATCGAATAAATCACTTTCGGTGAAGCTAAAAGAAGTTCAAGGAGAAGTATCACTGAACGAAATGAAGTAATTTATACAATATTCTTGTGTTTGAAGCATTTTGTTCGGTATTATTTGAAGTATCTTTAACAAGAATGAACTTCCATAAACCATGTTCACTTGAGTGCTACATTAAACTTTCACCACCCGAAAAAGTCAAAAAAATATCAATGAACTGTTAAGTGTCAAGACCAGAGATTTTGTTCTTTGTGTGAGCCCGTCTCAACTGAACTTCATTTGATTTGAAAGTCAAATGCAAAGCTTTAACGAAAATTTATCAAAAAAAAGTTTAATAGGGAAATTTTGACATGTTTTTGAAAGTTCTTAATGAAGCAACAAGCTTTTCTTTGAAGAACTTTTCCTTAGTAATACTTAAAGTTATGACTTCAAGTATTTTTTTATAGGTAAGAGAGCTTTACATCATGGCTTTAGGTCGTGGCTTAATAACTTTCTCATTTATGTTACAAAAAGTTCAAACATTGTAATAAACTTTTACATTCATCTTGAAGATTTTGTCATATAAATTGAATTTCGTCCCAAAACATTTAGTAAAGTCAAAGAATTATTCTTTTGAATGTCTTTATTTGTTGCCAGATCATTTTTTCTTGAGAGTCAGAAAGCACTGTGCTAACCACCAAAGGATGTCTTTAGTGACGTATTTGACAGTTTACGATAAAGTGCTCTAGTTTACTTTGAAAGTCGCTGTAGTCATCGATTATCTCTTTCGTTTCCTCATTAGCCCATCAGCGTCCCAGATCACGTAATCGCTTCAACATTGATTGATTGATTAAAGAGACACATCTTATCGGAAAGACTTTACATCATCAACACTGAACAATCTGTCTACAAAGTTTTCGTCTTTTCTTCCTTTCGTTTTTATCGATTTCTAATACGTTGTCGTTAAATTAACTGGAAGTTCATATCGTTGTCGTTTCCTGGTTGGAAGAAAACTGTTATCATTGACGTGGAAAATTTCCTTTGTTGAGATTAAAGAAATTGCTCATATGATTTAATGAATTGACAGTAAATCGAGTCGACTAAATTGTTGTCTTGTAGAGTTGCTTTAACACTTTTTTTATGACCATTTGCTCTTCATTTGATTCCAATCATAAACTTCGATCAAGTGTGAAATTAACTTTAAAAGATTTTCTCATGTTCTTAAAGACTTTTTTAAATTATCGTTAATTGGTAAAGAAAAGAATGCTAGACTGTGTCAAGTTCGCCTTTCACCCTTGTCAAATGAAAAACTCGATGTCGCCACCACTTTCCGAGTCAATCAACAGCTTACAGATTCTGAGATATTTCTTTAAGATTCTCGCATCAAACATTTTCACCTCATTTTGTCGCCTATTGACTCCATTTGAAGCCAACTTTTCCTAACGAAATGTCATTAGCACGACCCAAAATCCAATTCATTAGGCAATCTGAAGGCACAAACTGAATCTAATCAAGCATTTGTACATGAAGAGAATAATGATGCGATATCGATGTTCGGTTTTTTCCGTCTTCTCTCAGAAATTTCCAGAATGAGAATTGAAAGCAAAATCAGCACATTTCAAACCAAAGTGAAACATAAATCATATCTAAGCAAAAAAAAGCAGCAAGTAACATAAATTCACCATGAAGACGTTTAATTGTTATTAATGTTACTTCATGTATATGTGGAAACAACAGAAATAATTCTTTTTTTCGGTAGAATATGAACATGTGTAACGAGAGTCTGAAGTTCTGAACATGAACACAAATCATACATTTTATCGCTGGGAGAAAGGCAGCTTGGCAACTCTTCCCACACCCATCACGAAAAACACCGCGAACATTAGAAGCAATTTAGTATCAATTTAAAAGGATTGAGGTTCTGAGTATTAATGTTTGTGAGACATTCGATTCTTCTTTGTCATTAATGCTTCTTAAACTTTATAAAGCTTTGTTTTGTTTGTTGTTTCTTCATTTGATAATTTTTTTAAATAGAATTAAATGAAGTCACGGAATCTTCCTATTCATGTCAGTAACACGCAATTGTAACAACTTACTTTGATATGTTTATTTATTTTAAGCCAATGAACTGCGAAATAAAATAAACAAACATCATTCATATAAAAGAAAAGTAAAATCTTGGAATTCCGAGTGAATCACGTAAACTTTCGTAGAAAATTTTAAATGATCTTACGAAAATATTTTATTCAAATTTATCGACATTCAACTCAAATATAGAGTAGTAAAATCATTTTCTGCAGTATGATGTCATGAATCTTTAAATAGTTTTCAAACTTTTCATCAACCTACATACCTACATTATGTAGTAGAGGAAAAATGTTTTTATTATGACACATACGAGAGTAGAACGTTGATGATGATAACATCGAGAAGAAGAAAGTAGAAAAGTTTGCGTCCCTTACATAAATAAAACGTTTTATATCATCAGGAAATGAAGAAATTCACATGTTTAGTTTGGGAGAATTTAATGCAAATTTCTATGCTAACATTTCTGATTTATAATATTAAAAGAAAAACGTTCTCGCAGGAATTTTAAAAGTTTTCCAACGTTAAAATTAAGGTTTTTCCGGGAAAACATATTCATCATATTATTGTCGGATCATTAATTTTGAAAGGAAGTTATGCGAACTTTTCTCTTTCATTGAAATTACACGAACAGTGACAACAAATGCCAACGTTTATTTATAGACATTCATAAATTTATTCAATTTGATATGAACAGAAATGGAGCGAAGCATTTAAAAAATTTTCAATTTCACCATGGCGATGTCGACAGTCAGTTTGGGATTGTGTATGAAAATTTTTGTCGCAAATATTTACTGATTAACATACAGGAAACATTTGAAATATCTACGAATGATTCTCATGTGGTTTTATTGATTTCTTGATTAGGTACGCTCAATGTTTATGTCTTTGTTCACGCAATGAATTCGCAACTTTATTGTTCATATCAATTTGCTTTCGTAAAAGATTATGGAATAATTTGAGAACAGCAATGCAACAACTCAGCAAAAAATAATTACAAAGCAAAAACTCCGAATCGACGTTCAATTCTTTCGATAAGAAAATAAGCTGATTGTTGTAAAGTTAACATTTCGCAAGGATTTAATTTCTTTCATTTCCTCTTTTTGTTCGTGGTTGTAGCCTTAATTTTATCAGACCTTAATAAAATATTTTTCTTTTGGTTTTAAGAAGAAAGAAAAAGTTTTTCTTTCCTAAACAAATGCGAGCTCCCTTGTGCTTAATATTTCGGCAATAGCAATAAGAAAACAATATTGAAAGCTCAATGATATTTCTTCTAAATTGTATGCGTTCATGCTTAGCATGACACAACAAAGAAAAACGTTTTTCGTAAATTCCAGCAATAAAAAGTATATCAAAATGTTCTTCCCTTGTCGGTGAGAACCAATAACAAAACATTTTTATTACATGATTTTCGTCACTTGCAGCTTTATAGCTTTTCTTATTTCTTCTTCTCAAACTTTTCAATTTATTCCGTCGCAAACATTAAAATGATCAACAATATTTTCTCTCTGATAGGATTTTCACTTTTCATCCTTCGAGACGGTAATAGTGTTGTGGATTGATGGAAGCCATAAATCAATCTAAGGCTTTTATAGCTCCTAGCTCACACTTGATGTTGAAAACTTCTTGAAATGCGATGAAATAGGTCGAAAAAGTCAACAATTTAATTACACTGCTTTTAGTAGCGGTTTATCGATTTTAGAACCTTTCTTTACGATCCTTCGCTGTTAACGATTCTATCACAAATCATCGGAAGTTTTTAATCAGAGTTGGCAAAGTTTAAACGAGAACGAGAAGCTTTCATTCATGCATAACATTAAGCATAAAAAAAAGCCATTAAAACAGTAGAACAAGAACATACATCAGAACCTACCTCGTCATCGTAATTGTCTTCTCCCATTTTCACTTTCTTACTTGTTCAATCCACAATCAAGGAATTAAAATTATTATGCGACTTCTTTACAATCTTGCTGTCTTCAACAGCAAATATTTTTATTTCACCAAATTTATAGGGAAAAGCAAATTTATTTCACTTTTTATTTTGCACCACAGGTTTTATTGCTCTCCACGAGCGCGTTTAGGTCTCACAGCAACTCGCTTATGTGATTCAAATATAATGTCTTCCACTTTCTGACTTCTTCGAGGGGTTCCTTGTCACTTTTATGGAGAATTTTGAGATTTCTATTTATTTTCTTTATTCGTATTTTCTGCTTTTTTCTTCGAAACACTTTTTGTAAGGAAGCTTTTGATGTTTAATTCTCAACATTTCCATTTTTCCTTTCTCTTATTATATCTCACTATGCTTATGTTGTGGAATTTTTGATATATGTTTTATCTATGTTTCTAGAATAAATAATAACATTCTTATATTATCTACATAAACACAATTAGGAAATGGTATTATGAATAGAAATTGAAGGATAAAAGATTTTGTAGAGTTTTTGTTACCACTAATATTGAAGCTTCCTTCATTCAGTACAGACTGTTCACATTATCGTTAAACGTTTCGCAATTTCACATGCTCATAAATGCCTTACATACATATTGGAAGGAAAAGAGAAAATTCTATCAAAATGCGGAAATGGAAAATGATTTCAATTGCGATATTTTTATTCATGCTGAAAGTTTTTTTTTCTTTTCTCATTTCTTATTGAATGAACGACGATGACGATACAGTCGAAGCTTGAGATCGGGAAGAAAACTCAATTTTCCCCGGAAAGATCCTAATCTGTTAGTTTATAATTTTAACAAAATCATTCCAAACGATTTTATCGCATGAATCGTGAAGTCAACTGTGAAGATGCCAGACGCTGTTACAGCCAAAACCGGGCCATAAGCAATTTAATGTGTGAAGCAATTTTTTTATATTTTATTTTTTGTAGTTAAGCCTCAAATAGAGAAAATGGAGAAAATGGGAAAAAAAATTCTATGCAGATTAAACTGCTTTTTGCTGTGTTAGGTATCAACTTTCAGACTTTCTTCTAAGTTGAAACGAGTTAAACATATGAAATAAATTTAATTATGCTAATGAAATAGCGAAGCATTGTATTACTGACATTACATGCAGTAATCAGAAATGACATTTTATTATTCCAACGGCGTCTTATTCTTCTTCTCTCCGATGCTCTGTCAGCGCTATAAAATATATCAGCAAATTAATTATAAAGCGCAACCCTCCAATGATTTATTTATTAATTAGTTTATAAACAAGAAAACGAAGAGCCTTGTAATAAAAAGGACAAGATGGTATAAAACCTTAGCTTATCTCACTAAGATAACATTACATAAATCTCTATAAAAACCTTCTCTCTCCTTGCTTTTACTTGTTATCAAACTTACTAACATAAAAAACATGAAAATTAGACTTAAAATTTCATGATCTCGATATTGATGAAGTTTTTTTAAAGATGATGTCAAGACAAAAGTTTGTTTGGTGTTTTGTTTTCGTCCGAAACTTGAAACTGACCGTAAATTTCCCCCAAGTGGATTATTATTGTACAAACATGAGAAATTTAAAAACTTTTTGTTGTCGTTATTGGTTTGATACACTTTTCTAACATAAAAAATTGGATATAAATCGCTAGATTGTGGTCTTGGTTAGTTTAGGACATAATTTAAAGGAACTGTAAACACGAAAGTTCTATTCACATAATTGAAATACTTTACTGCAACTTTAACTAGACATTCTGAGCTTGGCATTGTTTCTGTTACTGAAAAACTTTCCACAAAGATTTTCACCATGAAAACCGCAAATATTTTCAACAACTATTAAACTTATATTGTCATAACTTATTTCAGATTTCGAAATCTTTTAAATCAACATTAGATTGTTACTCGGTGCACACATGGAAAGTTGGTAAACTGTCTAGAGCTTGGGATCTTAAATAAACAACTTGTAAATTCATAACGTTAAAGTTTGTGCTACTTATAGATTGTAGCATGTTTTAAAATAATTAATGGCAAAAGAATTGCACACAATTGCCAAGAATATCTGAAAGATGGCCCAGAATTTGTTTTAACTTTAAATTTCTTTTTGAAACTGGCATTCAACTCATCAATCAATGCTCGACTAGGTCAACAGAAGTCGTAACGCATTTCACTTCTTCTACTGCTTTTTTGACAAGGTTTTTCTACCAGAACGAATGTAAATTGAATTTGATTTTTGATCGGATTACGTTGCGGATTGAAGTTTTCAGAGAGGAAAAGAAAAACCTTTTCTTATTGTTCCGAATTTTCTTTCTGTCTAGAAATCTTTTTTCTTTCTTCCTTTCTTTTCCCAATAAGATTTAGTGAGATTTTCTTTCTTTTTTGCGCTTAAGTTTCAATAAATATTTGATCGTTTTTCCATGAAAAGTTATAATATGTCACTGCAGTAGAAAGATAATCTTCATTGTCACTGTTCGACTTAAAACGATGGAACATTTTTTCCCACTACGTATTTTAGACACGCTATCATTGCTTGCTCCGCATGAATTTCACATTGACATGGCACACATTTTCATTATTTCTTTTTTGTAATGTATTACTCAGTCATCGACAGGAAGCTTCAATCATTTTTCAAAGAAAACAGGAACCTCGAACATTAATTTCACTGTCAGTTTTTACTTTCAATAAAATCATTTCCCATTTCAATTAACAACTTTTATTAATTGAAATAAAATTGCCTTCACCTCTTCCGGTTTCTTTCATAGCACTTTAACAGTTTATAAATTTTTCTCTTGTAGAGATTTTTATTGATTTTTCACAGACAAGTTGTCGCGACCGACTGTTGAAAATGGGTTCGAACTGTCTGAAGGATTTCATCGGACTGAATTTCTGCTCGCAATTTTCTCGCATGTCAATCTTCTCTCAGATTTTCTGTTTCGTAATAAAAAGCATGCTACTGGAAGTAACAACACGAATGGAAATGAGAGAAGCAAGAAAAGCACGTGAAAATTTTGAATATTTTATCGTAAGTTTAGTTTGATGAATTTTTGAGAGAAAATTTTTGATGGGGTTTAATAATTTTTAAATTTATTATGGAATCGTTTTCAATCATTTTTAAATGGTTTCATTTACAAAGTAATTAACATGTTACTAGTAGTAAATAAATTTATTTAATAGTAAACAAATCAACTTTCAATGTATCAACACAGCTTCCAAATTCGACATCTGGAAGTTTTCCATTTTCCACACTCTCTTTTACAATCTTTACACTTTTCTTTTGCAGAACTCATTCTTTTGGTTTTAAAATCATAACTAAGAAATTTTTGTGAAACTTTTTTAAAATTTGAATAATCTTTTCTCAATTAAAACTTGTATTTGATACCTTAAAATAACTTAAACTAACTAACTACAAATATTTCATTTAAACTGTTTACAAATTATTTTAATTTGTTTTAAACACAACCAGCAACGATTTTCATCAATCATCACCGACGAGAAACTCAAACGGGAATGAAGGAATTCTTTTTTGCGGACTAGGAAAAAGATTTCGTTCCGATACACTCGTGCGCAGTTAGCACAGCAAGAGGAATTTGAAAAACAAACGTAAAGCTCGTGACTGGAAAACTTCTTCCTCGAACTAAGAACTCAAAGATTTCTTTTGAAGTTGAAATACTAAAGAAAAACGAGGAAACGGAAGACTTTTAATAATAAAACAATGTTGTTTCCATTGCTACATAACTTTTGTGTGTCACATTCTATAACTTTGGAATGAAAAGGAAAATAAAAGCCTAACAACATCTTAAATTCATGTGGAGAGGATAAAAACTCTTCAAAAGACTTTTGGCTAGCGATGATCCCATAATAGGAAGTGACAACATGTTCATAACATAATTATTTGTTGCTGTCAACTGACCTAGTTGTTGTTATATGGATACAGCAATTTATGAGTGTATCGTCATGTCAAAGTTTGCGGCACTTGGCAAAAAACTTTCCTATGAATAATTTCAATTTTCTTTTTTTGTTATTAAATACGAAATTGCAGAAGTTGAATGATTTGTTTATTTTTAGGGTTGACTTCTTAATCACTTTTTAATGATCTTCTTTCTTCTGTCTAAGATATTACGAATGAAAGCGAAGTTAAGCTTGACCCATGTTAACAAAAACGTTCATGAAAATAATTTTTAGAAGTATCTTGGCGGCAACAAAATTATAAATTTATTAGGTTCAGATTGTTAGTCAAAGTTCAGAAATCACTTGCAGTTCCTTTTGTTCTTGATTTTCTTTTCAATCTTTCTCATTTCCCTTCGTCTCGTTAAATGAGGAAAAGATTTAAATTCTTCTTATTCGAGGTGCTGTGAATATTCCATTTAAGTTTTTACTCCCACTCGTTGTTCTGGGGATGAATAACATAAAATGAAAAGCTCCGGAAAATATCTTCAGGCTTTGTTCTGTTTCATTGTGATGTTATAATTGATTGAAACTGTTCTATTTTAACTTTGATACGCTTTCTAGCAATGAATTTCAATATTATGAACTAAGAATCATGTGAAATGAATCAACAGGCGAAATGTTTTCTGTAAAATAATTTTTGTGCTTTTACGATTTTCCTTGCCCTGGGAAAAGCACTAAAGTATCTACGTCATAAAAATATATACTTTTCATCTTGCCCAAGGTGGTAAACAGATTTTTTCTGCTTACATGGAAGTGAAGACGTTAAAGACGACAGGACAAAAAAACTTTTTCCTTCGTTCTGAAACGTAAGACATGAAATATCTAATCTGTAACAATCAGACAGAAATACGAAAGAATTATCATACATTATTTATTCACTCTACGTCAAGAAAATTACAGTAAATGGACTTGAAATGTTGTAGGCGGATGATGTTTATTGATTTTTCGTCACCGAATTTCCTTTCCCATTGTTCTTCTGCTTGACCATGTCGCGTCCTTCTTCACGAACTGAATTGAGCTGTTTCATAATAAAATATCATTTTTCTTACTTTAATATTCTTTTACTTTTTCAAAGAATCAACAACTTAGAAATTAGGAATTCGATAATCTCATCATAAAAGTAAATGAAGACTTGAAATGTCTTAGATAATAAAAAAGTTTGGGATTACAAGAATTGCGATGAGTGCTACGTTTCATAATCATTCAGAAGTTTCAGGAACTTTTTTCTTTTTCTTTTTTGTTTTATATAAATAAATATGTTCGTCTTCTCTTTCCATAGATACCAATTTATTTATGTAATGTATTCAAAAACTTTTTCCAGTTCTAGAGATATGAATACGAGTATAAAATAATGACTATTGAAAGAGATTTTTACGACGCTGATTCAATGTCTTCATTACCTGAAAGACAGAAACGAAACAATGCCCTGCCGGTATTTCCATAAAAGTATTCCTTGAAGAATATTTAACTCTAAAGAAAAAAGGTGAAAAGAACCTTGAAAAGACTTGGGACGCTTCTTTCATGCATTTTAAATCCGCGCAATCAATTTTCATGTCATTCACAGTGACATTGTCCTTAGCTTTCCATTTTTTTAACTATGAGTAACAAAAGAAAGTAAAAGGGTTGACTTGGATCTCTTTTCTTGTTAATGTTGGTCAAAGTTATTCTTTTGATAAAAGTTGTGAAAGAATGAGAAAGCAAAATATTTATTAAAAGGAAAATTCTTGTCATCTTTGAAGCAATTATTTTGAGTTCAGTTTGAAATTTTATCGTTCATGAATTCTTTTAGTTGAATTTCTTGTTAAAAACATGCATCAGGTATTTGTTTGAAGATAACAACGTGGATAATTAATGAGCACAGAATAAGATGTTTAATTTATTATCAAGCGAATGCCTTTTGTTTCAACTCAACTGGTAGCCCATAAAAAGGAACAATACGAACGCACGAAAATGGAATGAAAATAATTTATTGAAATTTCATTTGCAGCACAACGAGAAAATTTTTTCTTTCTTTTCTCATTTTCCTTTTCGATTGTTTGAAAAATAAATGTTGAAATGAAAATTTGAAAGCTTTACGTTTGTATCAAGGAAGAAAAATGAAATTGCGACATTAATTTTCATGAAGCAGATGCGAGAAGGATAATTCAAGAAAATTTGCATTTACCTTGTCAGCCTTTTTGTACACCAACTAACGACACTCTATGCAGACATCAGTTAGATTCTTTTTATTGTCAACTCACAGAGTGTAATTTGGTCACGTAGTATAAAAGTTTTATTGGTCTACAGTAAGCTTAAAAGGTGATAAATTTCTCGGAACTTCATTCTAGTCGAATGTTTTATGTAATGAAAACTAGCAGATGTTTGTTTTCTACTTAAATTGTTGAGCTTTGCGGTTTCTTACCTTCAATTTTCAGTGAAAACTTCAAAGTCTGTGATTCTTGTCGAGAGAATAAATCAAATTTTAGTCGAAAATTCATTCGTCTGCTGTCATCAGTAAGATTTTCTTGATAAAATATCTTTGCATAAATAAATAACTGCAGCAGCAACTTTTTAAGTTTAATTTTTAATTCTTTCTTTTTTCTTTCTTCGAATCTTAAGTTTTTTTTTCTTTCATTCTTTGTTTCCATTTTAGTTGCTTCACCATCCAATAAATTTGAGAGTGAAAGAAGAAAGAAAGAGATTTTATGAGCACAGCAGAGTTCTGTTATTCAATTTGAAAGCGTGCTTCGTCGATGAGTAGTTTAAAAGCATAAGAACAGAAAGAAAGCTGCTCAGTTCAAGATCATCATTCGTATCAATAACAAGTCAGAAAGAAATTTTGTGTGTGCAACAGAAAGTGTAAAAGTCAAATAAAAATCATGGAATCATTGTCAAAACTTTTAGGTGTGAATTATTTTAATCAACATTTATTTATTAGGCTTCGATTAGAAAGTTCTTGAAACTCATTAGCGCATTAAAATATTTCATTGAAGTTTAATTTAAGTTGAATTTATGGAAATTTTCTACACCTTTTTTTATTCAAAATTCAATCAGAACAATATCGATGTTGAGTCCCGTTACAAAACGTTATCTTTCTACTTTCATCTTTTTTTCTTTTCAAGAGGAAAAAAAGAATATTGAATCGTTTTAATGACCTTTTAAAGCACAAACAATCCTAAAAATATAACAAACAGCAAGAACGAAATCGAGACTTTTTTTCGATTCACCGTTATGGGAATGTGGGACAGTTGGAGATGTTTGCAAAAAAACTTCATTGAAAGATTTATTTAATAGGCTTTCTGTTATTGTTATGGATCACCGCAACGGCAAAGGCCCTGCCAGATCCAACATCAAAGAATGAAGTAACCAGCTCAAAGAACATTGTTGGTGTCGCTTCGCAAATCATCTCAAATGCATTAATGAGAGTAAGAAGAAATTTATTTGAATATTTATGATGGAATTTTGTTTAACAAATTTTTTATGAAGGGACAAGCCGACTCGACATCGAATTATGTTTTCTCTCCAATTGGATATGCAACAATCCTTTCGATATTAAGTCAAGGAAGTTTTGGAAAGACACGACAGGAAATCTCTCAAGTATTGGAACAACCAGATAATTTTGAAGAAGGTAAAATAATTTAATAAATTATGCTTCATTACTGACATCCAACATATTTTTCTATAATTGCATAATAGTTGCATCAGCTTACCGATTAGCACTTTCTGCATACACTGGAAACGATTCAGAAATTGCTCCACAATTTAAAACATGGTTTTATATTTACCGCAACAACACTGCCGAAGAAAAGTTCAAGAAACTTTTAACTGACGATTATTTAGTTGAGATTAAAGACATTGATCGTTTCCCTTATGATTTCGATTCGCCGAGAATTGCTGAAGAAGACGATGCTACAAACAGCAAAGATATTGCACAGTTTGATGATCTTAAGAATACCGAACCAAAAGACGACATGGGAAGCATCGATGGCTTTGACACTCTCAAGACAAATGATGACGAAACATCTGCAAAAGTTGAAGCTGCAATTGCTGAATATGATATGTTGAATCAAGATGAAAAGAACAAAGTTTCAAAGTTCGACAAACACGTTGAAGATGAACAATACGTTGAAGTCCCAGAGATCAAGAAAGAAGAATTGCAGAAGAAGAAAGACACAAGCGAGAAAGAACATTTGAAGAAGAAGTTGCAAGCAAGTGAGGGACCTGAGAAGATTAGTCTTCCTTTCAAGAAATATTTAGACGATTCAGAAGAGATAATGGACGCAACAGAGAATAGAAATTTCGTTAGAAGAGTATGTAAACATAGTTCAAGTGCCTTTCACTCTCAAGTATTGTTTGAAAATTATTTAAATTTAGTTCGGTCGTGCACAGCCGCTGAGCCGAGAAGGAGACGTTACATCAGCACTAAGCGGTAACTCAATTGTTGGTCGAAAAGGTGGAGATTCATCAAGCGAATTAGAGTCGAAAATGTTGCTATTTAACGGACTTTATTTCCGAGGTCATTGGGCTGAACCTTTCATGGAACTTCGATCAGATGATACGAAATATTTCCATGCTCTCAGTGGCGATCAAGATATCAAGTTTATGTTGACTTATGGAGCATTTAAATATGCTGACATTCCATCTAAACAATTAAAAGCTGTTGAGTTACCATACAAGGTTTGAAATTTTTTCATTTATTCAATTCATTTTAATAAATTGTTGTCATTAATCATAAATAGAATGAAAGATACGCAATGTTGATTGTAATGCCTGAAACAGTGAAAGATTTGAAACATTTCTCACGTGAATCAGACTACAATTCAGTTAATGAGATTGTTGCACAATTAGAATCTTCTGACCTGACGCTTTATGTGCCTAAATTCCGAATGGAATGTACAAGTCGCGCTGAAAAAGCTTTGGGCAAGGTAAGAACTTTTTTAAAGTCATGAATGCTGATAAAAGTTTATTCATTGGTTTTTTTATGATTTTATTTTGTAACAGTTGGGATTAACGACACTTTTCACATCAAAAGCCGATTTAAGTGGCATTACTAAAGACGCAGATAATTATCAGATTGAAGAGCTTGTGCAACATGTTGCTGTTCGTGTTGATGAGAATAGCAGCAGTAGCAGTGCTTTAAGCGGTAGAGTATTAAAGAGTAACAACTTAATGAAGATTACAAATTAATGCTTTAATTAACTTTCAGCTGGTAATGTTGAAGGAAGAGTGAACGCTAAAGCGATGGAATTTAGTGTTGACAAACCTTTCTTGTTCTACGTTCGAGATGTTGCTCAAGACATCATTCTTGCAGCTGGAAAGATTGTCGAAGTTCCAGTCGAAACTGAAATTCCTATAAGCTTTAATTGATTTTATTGGGAAGACGAGGAGGAATTTTGTTACTTTAAGTCACTGATTTAATCACTTGGAAATTCTTTCATTGATTAATCAACATAATTTATTTTTAATTAATTTGTTTTACAATTTTCAAGTACATGCCTTAATTAACTCATAATTAAATTATTGAGTTTTTAAAAAGTTAAACTTTGAGTTATTTGTATTCAATTGAAAATTCTCTTTCAGAGATGAAGTTTAGGAAGAGTTTGCTTGGTTTATGAATTTTTTATCATTGTAGATAATTTTTTTTAATGCAATGATGAAGAAAATTCATCATAATCTATTAGGAAACATTGTAAATGCAATGCACAAAGTTCATAAAGCAAGCATTATTTTCTATGGTTTCACTTTCATGTAACTTGAGTTGATTCCTGAATGAGTTTGTTGCAATAATACTTACTTGTAAGTCTTCACTTTAAACTTTCCGGATAAAGCCTTTTAATCTGTTCTTCGAAGAACTTCTTGTACGTTGGTTTCTCATCAACAGTTGCTGGTAGGTGATGACCACTTTCATGATGAAATATTACTGGATCGACAAAAGCTTCTTCTAAAAGCAAATGCATGCTGTGAGGTATAACTTGGTCTGACGTTCCTGACACATGAAGTGACGGAATATTAATTTTTTCCTCATAAAATGAATCGTGTTGAGATGAAACAGATTTGAATGCACTGACGAGGATTATGAATTTGGGATTGATTGGTGTAACTATTTAAATAAAAAGTTTATTGTCATAATAACAGGAAAACTAATAAGATAAACTTACGAGATTTCTGACTCATTGCACATACGACAGAAAGAAAACTTCCTCCTTGACTAAAGCCGAGAATTCCATCGTAATTCCCTTGCTGCCACGTTTCCTCAAGGCATTTCAAACTTTCATCAAAACCATGTAAACCCAAACCTTGCTCTATGTTGAAAGTACCGTCTACTTGGTTAAACCACCATCCACACTGCCCTTCAATCACTTCACCTCCCTCTTCAAGAGCTTTTGCTTGGTGCGGCGCATTAATAAACTCAAAATTTGCTTGAGGTTTTAGAAACTTGCGAAATGATCCAATTTTATTTTTAAATTGCTCAGCATTTTGCCGATAGCCATGCATGCACAACACATTTAGCTTTGGCTTTTCAGTCACATTCAGAGATTTTAATTCCTTTTTCACTTCTTTTACTTTATTATTCATTACAAAATTCGAATTTTGTGAGTATTTACGAAATAATTGAAAACGTTTTTGAAATGCTGGCCAGCACAACATTGAAGTTGATTATAAAATTTTTTTGATTTCATTTCAGTTCATCGTCGAAATTTTAATGCATGGCGGAATGGTTCGAGATAACTGTTTTATCAGAACTTTTCACAACATCATAAAGAATGTTGAGGATGATAGTTTGTGAAATGACGAGGCTGATTATTGAAAATAACAATTACAAGTTGAAATCAAATGAAATTTGTTTTATGAAGCAAAGAAAATTAAAGTCATTGTACGGTTCTTACGAAACATTTGAAGGGTTCAAAATCCAAATAAGACAAATTAAAATATTTGATCCTTTGAGCAATAAAATAAGAAAAAAAACTTTTCTGAATTAAAGTTGTGTGACAAGTTCAATTATTAATTAAAGCAAGTTTTCATTGAAATATTTATTTATATGTCGAAATTGTATTTTTTTGTCAGAAAGAAATTTCATTTTGTCTTAACTTTTATAAAACAAACTTGTATTTGCTCTCTCCAAGATGTTAAAATATTATTTTATTTAAGTGCTTACCATAGCTTACTTGTATTGTTAAAAATGTGTTATACATAATAAAGTGATGGATTCGCCTGATAATAATGAAGATTTCGCTGGGCGTTTGCTTCACCAAGGTAAATTTACAATATTTTGAAACTTTTATTGAGTTCAGTGAAAATTATTATTTGTGTTATTTAACTTTCTTATCAGATAATGTATCTCAAGCGTATCAAAGAGGTACTTTGAAATAATTAAGCTAATTACACTATATTAGAAATTATTTCAATGTCATTAACATGTAGAAATTGATTTATTTAAAAAATATTGAAGGAAAAGAAAAATCTTGCATAATTCCTTTGCCAATAAAAAAGAAGAATTGAAACAACAAAAAAAAAATTACTTTCGGAAATGAAGCATAGAAATTTTGACATGAACATTGTCTCTTTATGTATCAAAAATCAATTTTCTAACAATAGCTCGTGCTGCGTGCTCAGCTCAAAGGCTTCGCTACGATTTCTTTTAAAAATGGAAACAAATGTTTACAATTCAACATGAAAACCATCTCATATTACATCTTATACAATTTTCTTTATTTTGTACTTGTAATTCAGTAATACAGACAATACGAAAGAGCCGCTTCAATAGCTTTTCGTTGTTGCTTCCTACTTCGCTTGCTTTATGGCTCTCTTCATGCTTCGCTTTTCTGCTCATGTAGCTTATTAATCCAATTTTATTTAACGTTATGCGTAAGCTTGAGGCATTGAGTTGGCAATTACTAAACGTTTGCTACAGACAATAGTTGGGGTTTGCCCTTAAATAAAAAAATGTTTTCAAATTGCTATTCTCAAAACAGGAAATGGAAACAAATTATTAAACGAAGAGATTTTAATAGAAAGAATTCTTTAATTTATCAAGCTGCACTTTGGGACAATGTTGACCTCTTATTGGATCTTCTTCAAGAAGACCACGACATCAATTGTGTTGATTCGTGGGGAAGAACGCCGCTTCATGCAGCAGCTGTTTCAAGCAACTCAAAATGTTTACAAGTTTTGATAAATGCGGGGGCCGATATTAACAAACAATGTGGGCTGAGAGGTGAGAACAAAACTGCGCTTCATCTCTGTGCTGAATTGGGATATGAGACAAATGTCGCGACATTGTTAAATGCTCAAGCATCATTTACTATCCGTGACATGAACGATTTAACTGCATTGGATCTCGCAAGACGAAATGGACACGGAGATTGTGAAAAAACATTACAAGCTGCGATTGGTGAGTTTATAATTTTTTAGAAATTTATTCATCTAATTAAACAGTTAGTGAATCCATTAAAGCGTGAAAAGCATGATGGAGCGGAAAACCTCAATTTGCATTTATTATGAGTTAATTCCACATTATTTATAATTCTCGTGGGAGAAAACTTTGTCATATTAATAATTTTAGAAATTTATCCTTGAGTGGAAAAAGAAGAAAATGGCGGGAAATGATTTCCCACCCACCCACAATTATACGAGAGGAAATTTCTTTTATTCTCTGACTTCTCTTCAATTGTTTACAAATATTTTTCATTCATGAAACACCCGCACGTGCTTTTGTTCGCCTCTCTCTATTTGTGGCTCCATCGTGCCAAATGCTTGAGATTTTCTCTCAATCTTCGCTCGCAATTATCGATTTTTCTTTTGAAAGCATAAAGCTAAGAAAAAAAGAACTTTTTCATTCAATCAGCAGACGGTAAAAGATTTTAATCAAAATTGAAGTTTTCATCACCAATTTTACGCCTTTTCGGTTGTTGTGCTGTGAAGAATTAATCAAATTAATCATTAGATACGTAATTGTACGCGTTAATGATCAAATAGAATAAAAGTTTCTTACCGCTGAGTTTTTTTCCGCAATAGTTTGAAACATATTCGCAAACTATTCAAACACTCACACGAAGTTTGTTATTAGGAAACTTAATTACAATTTGTGATCAAATAATGTCGTGGAACTTTCACGAAATCACAAAAGTTGGTGCTGAAAGTGCTTTAGATGCATGCGATTATTTTGTTGATGAGGTCATTGAACCATGGAAGGTTTTAGGTAAAGAAATGTGTGGGTGTGTGATGACGAATGACTTTTATAAATAATCAACATCGTTAACAAAGATTGAGTGACATTTAATTAAATTTTATTATCTTTTCTAATTGATTTTTAGATTCTCGTGAACAAGTTCGACTGATGAAGCACAATGAATTGCGAGAAGCTGTGAATGGGAATGAAGAGACGAGAACTCGAGTTTTGCTTGATGCAATCGGTGCAGAACGTGAAATCATCGTGAACATGGCACCGTCTGGTCAGAATACGCTTTTGTTCCTTGCGTCTTCATTAGGAAGTGAGAAAATTGTTGACCTTCTTTTTGATGCTGGTGCTGATGGTCGATCACATCCAGTGACAAATTATTCGCCACTTTACATTTCCTGTCACAATGGACATTTGAATGTTTCGAAGTTAATTCTGAAAAGATTTCCTGAACTTGTTCATCAACTAACTGTTGAAAAGTGGCTTCCATTTCATGCTGCAGTTATCAATGGACATGTCGCGATTGTCGAGCTTTTGATCAAATTCAATTATCCGGAGAATGTTATGATAAATTTCAGAGATCCTTTGGGTGAACTTCATTGGCATCTCCCATTCGATCCAAACGCTCAAGATGTGACATCACAAAGCGCTCTTTATGTTGCTTGCTTGCTTGGCAATAAAGGATTAGTTGAGCTGCTTTTAAAATGGAAAGTAAAATGCACAAAAATTAAAAACGAACTCGATGAGTCACCGGAGAAAAGGAAATCGCCAGCTCAAGTTCTTTCACCTTTAAGTCCAAGTGGACGACGAGTTTCTCTCGGAATCATGTCGATCATGTCAAGATTAAGTCTTGGACGTGAACAGAATGAAGAAGAAACTTCAACTGACCATTTTCATAATCCAATTGATGTGAATCTTCCTTGTGGAGCTGCAAGAGAAACGGCACTGCTTGCATCTGTTCGTGGAGGATTCTGTGATGTTTCTCATATTCTTCTCCAACACAAAGCTGATCCAAATATCATCGCTCGCCCATTAGAAGATCCACAAAACGATCCAAGACTTGTTGATGAAATTTATGGCTTTTGTAACACGCCGTTGGCTGAAGCGACGAGACAAAAATCAATTTCAATGGTGGATTTATTACTGAAATATGGCGCGAAAGATGACGAATCGAATGCTTTGGCAATTGCAATTCAAAATAACGATGAACAAATTACTTGTCGTCTTCTTGCCATCAAAGCACATTCCGATCCTGATTATAAGATTAACAAGAAAGCGATCACAACACCAGACACAGAATTCCGTCCGCTTCTCGGTAATTTAACGTTCAGCTCTTTGTTCCCCAACACGCCAACAATGATAAACTGGCATAGTCACAATTTTCGTTTGACAACTTTAAAGACAAATTGGTTAGTTGAAGCTGCACTTTATTGCAATGCGAAGTTGAAAGGTCACCCGAAATCTCATCAAGTATCACTTTCAGCTATCACACGAATCGACGTTTCTCACAATTCTTTGACTGAAGTTCCAAATGAGTTGTTGACGTTGATAAGTTTGAGATATTTGAATCTAAGTCAGAACAAATTGAATTTTGTTCCTGTTGAAGATGTGACGACGCCTGTGAAGACGAAACGTGACAAGAAGTTTGAATACAACGTTCCAGTTCTTGAAGAACTTTATCTTCAAGATAATCGTCTCGAGTCAATTCCATCGTCATTATTTCGCCTACCGAGTTTACATATTCTTGACATCTCGAATAACAAACTTCAAGAACTGCCATTTGATTTATGGAAGTCACCGAAACTTCGCGAACTCAATGTTGCTTTTAATCTTCTGAAAGATTTGCCAAGCTTGCCACCTGAAGAATTATGCTGCAATTCATCAGACGCTTTAAGTCCCGTCGCCGACGCTTACTTGTTCAACAATTTGGGTTATGACGAAAAAGGTTTCACAACTCGTAACACGGTGTCAAAAAATGAGCTTATGCGACACAATGTCTGGTCAAAGTCACTCGAAGTAACTGACCAAGAGTTGCGTTTATCAGATGCAAAGAACGACCAATCAGTATCGCAACTCAGCAGCTTAAATCTCGCAAATAATTTATTCACAAGTATTCCACTTGCACTTCCTTGTTTAGCTGTTAACTTAACACGATTGAATCTCAGTTACAATTCACTTCGATCGATGGGACATATCACAAGCTACCCATCGAGTTTAAAGCAGTTGGACTTGGGTCATAATGAAATTAGTTGTTGGCCGAGTTTGCCGAGAATTGCTGCATCTGATCCACATTTAGCTTGTTACAATCCACAAATTGAACAACAAAAGATGACTGGAAATGCTGCATCATCGAAAGCTTCATCAACTTCTTCATATTCTTCAGATGTTCAAGTTCAAGTGAAAGCATCGACAAGTTCCAACAACATCACGTCATTGAGAACAGCAGTCATGAAGTCAGTTTGCTGTCATCGACGTCATTTGCGATTGGATTCCTTACGAACATTAATTTTAGCTGACAATTTATTAACAAGAATTCAATTATCAACTGACGATGTGTCGACACTTGGCGAATCTGACGAGTTTGAGTGGAGTGTCGTTGGAGTTGCAAAGTCACGTTTGATCTTTCCAAACCTTTCAATGCTCGACATCAGTAATAATTGCTTGAAAGAAATTCCAACGACAATTCATGAATTGACCAACTTGAGCGTGTTGAACATTTCTGGAAATGCTGACGTTAATGAGTTGCCACCACACATGGGATTGTTGTCAAGATTATGGAACTTAAACACTCGCGGATGTTCACTTCAAGAACCTTTAAGGTCGATGATTGACAGTAAAAAGTACAAAACGATGGACATCATCGGCTACTTGAAGTCTGTCTTTGAAGATGCTCGAAAATACGCGAGAATGAAGCTGATGGTTGTGGGAATTCAAAGAATTGGCAAAACAAGTTTACTTGAAATGCTGAGAAATGAAAGTGGCGGAAATAAAAACCAAAGAAAGCAAGTCGATCATTGGGCGAAGCGAATGGGACATAAAAACATTATAAACACAAAGACAACACGAGGAAACAACATTTCAACAGTTGGCGTTGACATTGGCGATTGGATTTGTGATAAGCGTCGATCAAGTGGACACAATCATGGCCCGGTTGTGTTTCGAACTTGGGATTTCGGTGGTCAAAAGGAATATTACGCAACTCATCAATATTTCCTATCGAAGCGAAGTCTTTACCTCGTGTTGTGGAGAATCATTGACGGCAAGAAAGGTCTCGCTGAAGTCTTGCAATGGCTGGGAAATATCCAAGCACGAGCTCCAAATTCACCTTGCATTATTGTCGGCACACATTACGATGAAGTTGGTGAGAAGTTTCCACCGAAGAAAGCTGAAGAACTTCAGCAAATTATTCGTGATCGATTCATTGCGATTGCTGATGCTGAGAAGATGGGATTGCCGAGAGTTCTCGATTCAATTGAAGTGTCGTGCAAGACTGGACATAACATCAAACTTTTAGCAAATTTAATCTACGACACAGCGTTTAGTCTTCGTTTGCCAGGCTCGAAAGATTATTTGCTTCAACAACGTGTCCCAGCGAGTTATTTGACACTCGAAGATGTCGTTGGAACAATCGCTTATCAATTGCGACAGAATGGAGTTGATCCGGTGTTAAATGCTGACAATTATCGTGAAATGGTTGCACAAGAAATGCAAAATCGTGGACATAAAGGATTTCGTGATAATTCTGAGTTGAATCAAGCGACGATGTTCTTACATGACAATGGCGTGTTGTTGCATTACGACGACGCAACTTTACGTGATCTTTACTTTCTCGATCCTCAATGGTTATGCGACATGCTTGCACATGTTGTGACGGTGAGGGAAATCAATCCATTTGCAAGAACTGGCGTGATGAAGATTGATGACTTGCAACATCTCTTCAAAAGCTCATGTCTTGGACCGACAAGTGACAACCGAAGTTACATCGTGAGTTTGTTGAATAAATTTGAAGTTGCATTGACGTGGGACTCGAGAACTTTGTTAATTCCTTCGCTGTTGCCAACTGAAGACGAGAGTTTGTGTGGTAAAGCGGTGACTGTGAAGATTGTCGCACGTTCCCGTGGATGGGCGATGAGATCGAAGAAAAGTTTGCCAATCGGTGGACCTTTGGAAGAAAAACGAGAACAAGCAGATGAAGTAAATTACGAAATTTATCCCGTTGCACGACCAGACAAATCTTTGTCTCGATTACTTCTAATGTCGTATTTCCCTTCTGGCTTTTGGAGTCGTTTGATCACAAGAATCTTAGCAGATGATCAAGTTGTCGATGCTTTGCGGTGCATTTATCCATTGACACGTGAAGCAGCAACAAATCCAAACTTAAACATCGCTTTGAATCAAAGCGTTTCGTTTTATTGGTCAATTTGGCAAACTGGTCTTGCTTTGTTTTATGGAAATATTCAAATTTTTAAAATGCGCGAAATTCCATTTACATGTCAATTATCGCCTTATCGGAATCAAAACAATCGCTTTAAACTAAAGCAAGAAGGTTTATGGTGCGACATTGATTTGATGTCACAAAGCATCATGGAGTTGACATTTCCAATGCATGCAATTGGTGTGAAGCCTTCTAATGTCGATCTGGGAATTGAAATGGAAATTGAAATCAACATTCAGAGTGTCACACAATTGTTGGCTCTCATTGTTGATCACATCGACTTGTTGCTTGAAGATTGGTATCCGACATTAGGAACGAGATTTGTTCACACGAGTGAAGGAAAGTTTCTCGTCACACGACTAGTTCCATGTCAGAAATGTTTACTTCGTTGCGAAGAACGAAGCAATCAACCGCCGCCATCATCAAGCTCCAAACTCTCAAAGGCGGCAATTTTCAAGCGACTTTCACTTGATAGAAATCGTGATGGTGAGTTGAGCGGTTTGAATGAATTTTCTGGAATTTTGAATGAAATGGCGGCTGTTGGGACGTCGAGAAAGTCTCAAGATTCCCTTCAAGGATATTCTGACTGTGATTCAGGAGTTGATCCAAACTCCGCTTGTTCGTCAAGAACGACGTCAGTTGAGGGACATCCATTGATTGGAACTGACTCACTTCCACCTCCCAGCTATTCATGGATGGTCGAAGAATGCATTTTGGCAGCTTACGATAAGAAATCAATTCAATGTCCTGTTCATGGAGAGATTGATTTAAGCTCAATCACACCCGACGTCAATTTTCTCGATTTATCCGACGCAAATCTCATCAAACCTGAAGACATCTCTCGAGGTCAACTTTTGGGACGTGGTGCGTTTGGATTTGTCTTCAAAGCAACTTATAAGATGCGTGGGAGTAATCGTCATCTTGTGCCTGTTGCCATGAAAATGCTTCAACCAGTTGCGCCTGGTCCAAGAGCAAATCAAAGTGCAATCATCGCTTATAAAGCTGCTTTAGGTAAATGGGAACGCGACCCATTGCAGCACTCATGCAAAGCTTATTGCACAGCACGACAAGAACTTAGCGTTCTTCTCACTCTTCGCCATCCAAATATTGTTCCATTAATCGGTGTTTGCACGCAACCACTCGCACTTGTCCTTGATCTCGCGCCGAAAGGTGGTCTCGACGTGACGCTTCGTCATTATCGAAGAAATGGAGCTCGCATTGGTCCTTATTGCTTTCAATCGTTAACACTTCAAACTGCACGAGCTTTGGAGTATTTGCATCGTCGTCGTGTCATTTATCGCGATTTGAAGTCGGAAAATATTCTCGTTTTTGAATTTCCCGATCCCCACACTGAAGATCATCCCGGAAATTCAGTTCACATTAAGATGGCTGATTATGGCATAAGTCGAATTGTGTTGCCATCGGGAAGTAAAGGTTTTGGTGGGACGGAAGGTTTCATGGCACCGGAAATTATGAAACACAATGGAGAAGAGGAATACACGGAAAAAGTTGATTGCTTCAGCTTTGGAATGTTTCTTTATGAGTTGATTTCATTAAGACAACCATTTGAAGGTCACGAAGCTGTCAAAGAATGCATTTTGGATGGAAATCGACCAGTTTTGACACAACGTGAAACTCAATTTCCAACTTATTGTCTTGATTTGATGGTTTTAGCTTGGGATCAAAATCCCAAGGTTCGTCCGACTGCAAGTCAAATTGTATCGATTGGAAGTGCGCCAGAATTCACGCATTTATTGGATGTCGTTTCATTATCACATCCTGGATCGGTTCTTCAAGGCTTAAGTTATCCAATATCCGGACTTGATCAAGTGGAAGAGAAAAGTTTAGGATTTGAGCTTTGGCTTCCATGTTCCAATTCTCGCATCGATCTTTTGCTGTGTTCATCGAAAGGTTGGCAACAATATCACAAAATTTTATGTCCACAACTCTTCACATCCATTCAGCAACAACAAATGATTCTAAATAAGAACGTTGGGGGAATGAAGTTGACTTGTTGCTGTATTGTGGACTCAAATATTTGGATTGGCGATTCTGACGGCAACATTCACGCTTTCAATGCTTCTGATTGTTCTCATTTATTCTCATATTCACTTGAGATAGCTGAGAATTGTTCTGTAGTGACGTTAATGTCATTAGATAAATATAATCGCGTTGCTGCTGGTTTATCGAATGGAAGATTATTTTTATTAGACTCAACATTGATACCCAAAACATTTGCAAGTGCTGAAGGAAGTTTCGTTCTAACCGAATTGGGATCTGGCGAACAATTGTTTAGTGCTTGTTGTGTTTGGAATGAGATTGGAACGTACGAGATTTGGTGCGGTGAAACAGACGGAGTTGTGAATGTTTTCTGTGTTAATGAGTCTGGCGTGTCAGATCATCATCCATTGACACACTTTGAAGCGTCACTGCCGTCGAAAGGACTCTACGTTGCCAAACTTTACGCTACTACTCAGCACGTCTTCTCATATGTTGCACCAAGTTGCATTCTTTATCAATGGAATAGTCGCGAGAAAGTCATTGAAAACAAACTCGATTGTTCGAAATTAATTCCATGTTCTGAGAGTTTGAAAAGTATTCAAATTGATGAACATTTGAGTCCGGGAAAATGTCAAATTTCGTCACTTGCTGTGCTTCGTAATGAGCTTTACATTGGCACGACTTGGGGATGCCTTATAATTGTTGAGAAACATTCACTTCGTCCAATCACCGTCTTTAGACCGTTTGAAGAAGATGTAAGTGAAGAAGTTTTAAAGAATTTCTCTTGATAATTAATTTTAATCTTTTTTTCTTCAGCTTTTAACAATCATTCCACTTCCAATGATTTCTGAATCCGATCCGCCGCTAATTGTGACAATTGGTAAAAGTTATCGATCTCTTATTGATCGCTATACTGATGTCAAGACTGTCAATGTAACAACACCAAATATTTCAGCGTCAAATTCAACAATTGCTGATAAGCACGCCAAAGAATTCTTGCAGCGAAGTAGAAGCAACAACATGCACGCACTTCTTTGGCGCGCTGATCATTGGACACAATTTTAAAATTCCATTTTTGACTCTTTTTCTTTTAATCGTGTTGAATGTGATAATAAAAAAAGTTTTAATCATCCAACTATAAATAATGTGTGAGTGTTGAAGTAAATAATTTAATTTATAAAAAGTAAGTTGCGCAAATAAAAAAAAATGTTGAAAAAAAAAATTTTATAAGGTCGTAAAATTTATTTTGACTTCGTTTTTTTATTAACATTTAGTTTATGTGATTCTTTGAATGTCAACTTGACATTTCTAAACAGTCAGCAGTTCGTCATCGCTCGCCAACTGGCATGATGGTCAATTGAGATATGTTGACATTGTGAGGTGTTTCGAGAAGAAATGAAACTGTCTCTGCCACATCTTCAGCTGATAGACATGGCATTTGTTTAAAGTAGTCATCGTTGTTATCAGCAAATCCACCAGACACAACAATATCAGTTTTGACAGAGCCTGGACTCAAGTTTGTCACACGAATTTTCTCGTTGTTATCGACAATCAATTCTTGACGTAAAACTTCTGACATTGCTGTTAGCGCGTACTTTGTTGGTGGATAAACATTCAGTCTTGCTCCCGAAAATGGAATATTATGTCCCAACACTGAGTTAATATTGATAATCATTCCATGTTCATTAGAATTTTTAATGAGACGGACAGCTTCTCGTGTACAATGAACAACTCCAGTTAAGTTAGTGTTGATGACGTTGTTCAAATTTTCAGCTGTTTCTTCGCCTTCCCCAAGAATTTTTCCATTAAAAAGTATGGCAGCATTATTTACTATGATATGAACGACTCCGAATTCTTCTTCAATCCATTTGAATGCTTCTTTGATTGATTTAAGATCAGACACGTCGCACTTTTTAACATAAATTTTTCCACAACCTCCATCGAGATTTCTTGCGATTTCTTCAATTTTCTCACTTCGTCTTGCTAATCCTATCACAACAATTCCATTCTTCGCAAAATTCTTCACAATTGCCGCACCAATGCCAACTGAAGCACCAGTTACAACTGCGATTTTCCCAGCCCACTTTTCCATTAATTAAGCAGTCGAAGGTTCAAAAGTCTTTCTCACACTATTCACTTATGTTGAATGAATTATCTGCAATTAAAAGGGTTTCTGACATACATTTTTAAGAATGATTATCTTGAGATAAGATAAACAACAAGTGCTTGAACAAAATCATTCATTTTATTATTAGATATTTAACTGAACAAGTCAAATACTTGAATTTATAAATCAGATTCCACGAAAGCTTGCAAGAAATCTTTCACCAAAATATTTGCTTTATTTGGGAAGTTTCTGAAGTAAGCGTTCATGTACAAAAGATGTCGTGGTAATGACATCTCTTCAATGCCTTTTCTTTGTGCAAAAATAATCTCTGCGGCAGCGTCTTTTGGATTAATCATTGGCATTAAGCTTTGGAAGCGAATTTTGACTTTCTTGCATAATCCAGTGTCAACCATGTAGGGGAAGATTGTCGTGAATTTTATCTAAAGAAAGTTTGAAAATATCTGAAAACATTCAATTAAAGGAAATTTATAAACAAACTTTTGATGTTCCATTTGACTTGCAACGAAGTTCTTCTGATAAAGCTTCTTGAACACCTTTGACAGCAAATTTAGTTCCACAATAAGGCACTAAATTTTGGAATCCCATGACGCCAGCCATCGATGATAAAGCAACAATGTGTCCGTGGTTATTCTCAATCATTTTCGGTAAGAAAGCTTCGTACATCCAGAAGTGTGCTACAAGGTTAATGTCAATGGTCTTTCTTATCTCATTCTCGGTATGTTTGAGTAAATCATGAGACGGCATGATACCGGCATTGTTAACGAGAATTGTCACAGTTCCCACATCTTTCTGAACTTTGCTTCCAGTTTCCAACACTTTTTCACGGTTTGTTACATCAACGCTAATATTTTGTAGAAAAAACATTTCTTATCAAATATTTTTATTTATAAATTGAAGTTTAAATCAAACGATAAGATACGATGATTATTATTCTAAATCTCGGCTTTATCAATTGAACTTACGTGTATCCATGCGCCTTTCTACCTTTCGACTTGATCAATTTCACGGTTTCAAGGTTCAACTGTTCGTTAATATCCCAACAGACAATGGTGGCACCAAGCTCGGAATATTGAAGTGCGAGTTCTTTTCCCATGCCATGACCCGCTCCAGTAATCAATACAATATCGCCAGATACATCACGAGGCTCTGAAGTGAATAAATTAATCGCACTTTCAATTGTTCTATACCAGAATTTCAGTTGGAGAATAATAATTTCGAAAACAAGGTAGAAAACGTTGAAAATCGTCTCCCAGATATTTACAGAACTGCAAACACGCAATTGTAATTAGAATTAACATTTCTAATAGCATTTGCAAATGAATTAATAATTACTTCTGATTATCAGCCATTTTTTGCCACACTGTATCGTCACGAACGTGTTCACTTGTCCGCTTACTGAAACCGAATGACTGAGAACTTTCTGAACATTTATTTCATTGTATACTGTGCAATTTCAACATTATTTCAACATTCCTAAAGGTTATCAGTCGAACAACGATAATTCACTGAAACAGATAACGAACGATGTTTGAGAAAAACTGGGCTGGAATTTGATAAAATAAAAGTGACGACATCGTAATTCGCTTTACTATTTTTATTATTATTTAATCTTTGCATGTGAATGTGACACCAAAAGTGCAAATGACAAAAGGCAATTAATAGGTTACATTATTTAATTAAATTGAAGAGAGAATTTTATGTGACAATAAATGTGTGTAGAAACCAATATGAGAAAGAAAGAGAAGAAGTTTACATGTCAGACTCAACTCCACTGCTGAAAAAATCTCTCACGAGATTGCTGGCTTCACTTGGGAACAGTCTTAGGAAATTATTGAGATAGAACATGTAACCTACATTTGAAATAAATTATTAATTGATGAAGAGTTGAAATAAATCTTTAACAAATTCTTACGTGGAACTGTCAACTCGCCAAGACCTTTTCTTTGAGCTGAAATTATTGCTGATGCAACAACTGACGGCTTCAATAATCGTAAAAAGTTTTCAAAGCGAATCTTTACTTTCTTACACAATCCAGTGTCCACCATGTAAGGGTAAATGCAAGTAAATTTAATCTGAAAGTTCAAATGCCAAGTGTTTAGTTATTAAAATTAAATTATCTTGATTTCCTTCAAACCTTAGAGCTTCCATTAGATTGCAATCTCAATTCTTCCTTCAACGCTTCTACATGACCACGAACTGCAAACTGTTTGAACATAAATTTGTGTTAATTAATTTTAATGATTGATTTATCTTTACTTTTGATCCACAATAAGGAACTAAATTCTGAAGTCCAACAATTCCAGCAATGCTTGACATCGACACAATGTGTCCGTGATTTTTCTCAATCATTTTGGGAAGGAAGGCTTGGAACATCCAATAATGTGCGAGTGTATTGATTTCATACAATTTTCTAATTTCAGCTTCACTGTGCTTGAAGATTTCATGTTGTGGCATAATGCCAGCATTGTTAACTAGAATCGTCACATCGCCGATCTCTGTCAGAACTTTATTGCCAGTTTCGATAACTCTCTCTCGGTCAGTAACATCGACACTAAAATTATTGATTATTTTTCAGTTCATTGAGTTCATTTCAAATACTTACGTGTATCCATGAGCCTTTCCACCTCTTGACTTGATTGTTTTCACAGTTTCCTGATTCATTTGTTCGTTGATGTCCCAACAAACGACTGTCGAACCTAAAGCAGAGTATTGAAGCGCCAACTCTTTTCCAATTCCATGACCACTTCCAGTGATCAATACAACGTCATTTGACACATCACGCTCATTAACGCCTTTGAATGCGCGGTAAAATGATCGGAATGTGTAGAACCAAAATTTGACGAGTAGAAATGCAAGATCAAGTACAATGACAAGTGCATTGTAAATCAACACACTGGGATTGTTTTGTTGTCTGTAAGATGAATCAATATGATAGTCATGATGAGTATGCGGAAAGTATAATTTAATTTCAAGTTTGAGTTCAATGACACATTTTCGAATAAATAAACAGATTTGTTTCTGCCTAGCAAATTATTTACATTCATAGAAAACCGGTTTCTACGTTAGTTTGAGTGACTTTGCCCTTTAAAAGGAGGCTTCAACTTGTTTACATTATGTAATAAACTTCAATTCATTGACGGCGTGAGAGTAAATTGTAAATAAATTTTATTATCATAAATTGAGAACAATGCAGCTGAATTGCAGCAAGGCTGATAAATTGTTGCAACACAATTGACTTGAAGCAATCAGCCGTGAATTATCAGCCAATTATTAGAACAAAGTTGAGCGAATGTGCGAACAACAATTTCACTTTAAACTTCTTAATATTTAAATGAAAACTAATCGGAGTGAGGCCAGTAAGTTGTAACTTTACATTGTCTTCCTGTTTATTTCTTCAATGACTTTCACAGTCATGGCCACTACTTAAACACTCTGCAATTGTTTTCATCATCATAAAGTTGTTAATTTTTTCATTTTTTATTTTAAAACCAAACAATTCTTATGTTTAATTTATGAACTTACAACTCATCTGTCATTTCGTAAATTTATTGTTTCTATTTCACTTGCAACACAAAACTTTTCATTAATATTTATCTTTGAATTATTTTTTAAGATTTTCACTAATCCACAGATTTAAATTCCTTTTTTCTTTTCAAAACTCAGACACGACACAATCGATACGAAGAATGAAAAATGAATGAAGCAACCATGTGTTTATGTGAATTTATCTGAGAAGAATACTTTTGAGCTTGTGCCAGATGGTGCCTTCACAATGAAATGTGTTTCGTATTTGCGTTCACGAACGTTGAAGCTAGCAAAGCGTACAAATTTCTCTGAGAGGAAAAACATTAAGTTATGCAATTAAATGATAAAAATTTCTCAAATTTTCTTTTAAGTTAAATAAAATTTATTTTCCACCAACTGGGACTTTATTCTCATGCAGTTTAAGGCTGCTAATCCCTCATTTAATATTAAATTGTAAAATTTTTAAAAATTCAACCAGTTGACAAAGCAAGAATTTGTACAAGAATGTCTTGCACTGAAATCTTTTGCTTGCTTGTTTCTTTCTTAATCCCATTTAAATACGTTTCAAAAGAAACTTCTCGACCGTTTTCATTCAAATGTACAATTCTTAAAAGTTTAAAAAATTGTTTAATCAACTAAGTACATCTCGTCTTCACGCTAAGTATTATCTAATTAAATTAGCAATTAAACAAGACAATCATCAAAAGAAGCGAGAGGTAGCTTTAAAAATAAGTTAAACAAAGTTCACGGTAAAAGTGTTTTTCTTAACACAGAACGCATTTAAGAATATTTTACTAGTCAAATTGAATTTCAATTGAAAAGTCCTCTAAAAAGATGTGTTAAACACTTCAAGGTGATCCAAGCGTTATATAAACACTGAAGTACCCAAATATAAAAACGAACAAAGTAGAAATTAGTACTATTATGTAGTTGAGAACATGCTAAAGAATAATAAGAATAATAAGACTTCTAATTGTTGAAAAGCTGAATAAGAAGTTCAATAAAAAGACCTACGACAACATTTAAAGTTCGTCGACAAAATATGACCTTGAAACATACAAATCGGTCGCTTGCTGAAGTTTTGAACGTTTTCATGATCAAATCTTCATATATTTCGTGCCTCTTCATCAATTCTGATAGCCTAGAGAGTGTGAATGAACTTGAAAGCTTCTTTCGATAGAAGACTTTATCGTTTTAGTTTAAAACGACCTTTGGAAATCAATTGGAGTAGCATTTGACGATGATAAAACAAATTATAGAAATATTCAAATGTTTCTTCTGTAAGTAGCTTCAATTAATGTTATTTTGAGTATCTTTTGTTATGTAATTTGTTAAGTTGACTTTAATCTTTGTGCTATTAAACAACATGGAATTAAAATTTCTTAAAAAACGTTTATTTGTTACTTCAGAAGATTTGATTTGTTCTTCATTATACTTAATTATGTATTTTGCGTATTTACATCATTCTTTAATGTTTAACATTAATTCGACATTTTAAAGTCCTTGAACTGAGATTCCTTGATTTCATCTATTCTGTAAGGAACTCGAGTAACCTTTGGGAGAGAAACTTGTTCTTCCTCAATATGAAACAATTTTCAATTCAATATCAAGTTGTTAGCCTTGACGGATAGAAATTCTTTCGATTTATTAAGCCGCAAAAGTCATATACGAGATGACTTTTATTGTTATTCTTGTAAATCTGGAGAGTTTAAAAAACTNAATCGGAAACATTCTAACAATATTCCAAATTCAATCGGAAACTAATATTCTTCCTTTTCACCGAATTAAACCGGCGACACATTCCAAATTTAATCGGAAACCGAAATTTTCTGTCAAGCTTCTTCACCGAATTTAATCGGTCGCCATCTTGATTTTTCAAATTTCTTCACGAACAATCTTTTCCCTCTTTTTTCAATATTTTGTGTGAAAATATCTTTTCTTTTATGAAAATTACCTCGAAAACTTCTTTCACAACGCTGCCACCAAATGTAGAATCTGTAAATAGGTGGTTGTACGCAATGAAACACAAGTAATGACGGAGCTTCAAACTATGCTTCCGTTCTCTTTATTAGTTTCTTAACAACTGACTAATATCTACATCGAGTTCTACTACCTACACTAATACATTCAAATATCTATTCTCTACACGGATAGAAATTCTTTCGATTTATTAAGCCGCAAAAGTCATATACGAGATGACTTTTATTGTTATTCTTGTAAATCTGGAGAGTTTAAAAAACTCTGAAATATTCTTCAAGTTCACGGCTTTTGAGTTTAACAACTTATGAAAGATTCATCTTTGGGTCTTAACTTGACACAGAATTTATTTTAAATTTAATATTTGATGATCCTGGTAAATAAATACGAGTCGTATGCTAATGAAACCAAAAACACGCATATCAATTTGTTTGACTATACTGTTAGAATAAGCAAATAGTTCAAATTCATTTACGTACATATTGGCTGATGTCGATTTTGGTCATTTTTGTTGTTCTGCGACAAATATTCAATAAATATTCAATTTCGTAATGAAAAAACTTTAAAATCTACATGTAATTAAAATGTAATTATCATTTGTTCTATAATTAGCAGACTTAAAATTATTTAAAATTATTTTTAGACCTTAAATTAAACTGAGGTTGTGACACGAAATTTTGCATAATTTCAAAATTCATTTGGCAATCTAAGTTTGTAACATCAAAATCACGAAAGCGCAGTTTCGAACCACAACAACATTCGTTCGTGATGTGAATGAAACGATTTATTTCAGAAGAAACAAAGCCGACGTGAAAAGATCAATAACATTGTACGCATAATTTATTCTTCATTAACTTTATTTCACATTTATTGTCTTCACTTACCGATTTGATTGATTATCCGAATTGTTGTTTTCCATTCTTATTTATTTTTTTAAACGAAAAGAAAAAGAATTTTAAAAAGAAGCTTCAAGTTTATCCACCTTAATGATTGCACCGATAAAAATTTATGTGCTTCACGATCGGATGTATCAAGTCGACTAACTGGAAGTGAGAAAACTACTTCAAAACTCAACAGCATGAAAAAAATTTCACACACAACTAAAAAAATTTTTTTGTTTACATTTCGACCGTTGCCATGGTGAGTTTTGTAAAACGCACGTGGATTTTATTTGTGTTGAATTTTATTTCCTTCATTAGTGTTTGAATTTGTGGAAGCTTTAAAAGCTCAAAGAAAAACAAGCAAAGATAAAAATTACTGTAATGTTGATAAAAAGCTATCAATTGCATTATCAGTTGGAAGAACTTGTCCGAAAGCTTCAAGAAGCAATACATCAGCTTTGACAGCAGTTGTGTAATCAAGATAAGATATTTTGCCGTCTTTATCAATGTCAAACTTTTTCAAAGCAATTTCTACGAGATCTTTGACACTCTCATCGGGATCATCGTCTTGAGGATGTTTGATTAAGCTGTTTCTGTGAATGAATAAAAAATTATTTTTTTGATTGCATTTTAATTTATTTAGTCCTACCGTAATAAAGTAAACATTTCGTCGCGCGTAATGAAGTTGTCAGAGTTTAAATCGTAAACACGAAAACAATATGCAGTTTTCTCTGATAGTGTTCCTTTCAAGAACACTGACAATCCACAAATCCATCCTTCAAGTCGAATCGGTAATCCTTCAAATCCTTTATCCCATGTACAGAAAATTCTTTCCATTAGTGCTTCTTCTGTCACGATATCAAATGTGCTGTGTAGCAACTCACGAAAAACCGATCGATCAATTCCTTCAATAGTTGCGTTCTGTTTGTTGGCAATCAGGGAGTTGGAATTCATTGCCAGTTGACGGCTTGTTACTGGGCAATTGGAAACAAGTTTGCGGTAGATTCGCGATAAACTTTCCAACTCATTCCTGTAAATTATGGAAGGAAAACATCGGAAATGAATTAAAATCGCTTTAAAACTTATAGGGAAAAGTTGTTTTAATGTGAAAAGTTTTCCTCTTCCTTCACTCTACGGATTTCCGTCTTATAATAAATGGAATTCGTTTTGTAATGTAGCAAGAGAAATGAGCTTTGCCGAAGGTTGATTCGTTTTTAAATGAAAAGTTTGCAAACATCTTGAAATTTCTCATCAAATACAACGTGAGATGTTTTCATATTCTTTAATAAGAATAATGAGTCTTAAAGAAATATGCTTGAAAAGATTGATTAATTAAGTATTTTTACATTTTATGAAAAAACGAAATGTTCGTGATCGGAAGGGAATTCTTTAAGAACATTTAAATTGTTTCATTTACAAAATAATTAAAGAATGTTTTCGTAATCATTCAACTTACTTATTAAAATGTGTTTTCCGTTTAAGACTCTCAAGCACCTTTGGCTGAAGCTTCCCCATTTGTTCATCAACTTTCGATAAAGTTTTCGGACGTCTTTTCCTTTCACCTATCTGAGCTTGATCCTTAAGCTGCTTACTTTGACGGCGATTACTTAGGAATAATGAAACGCTACGAAGCAGCACCGTGCCGCTAGTCAAACTGTTTGAGTTATCCATGGTGAGTTGTTGTTCTTTCTGGTTTTCTTTTCTTTTCTTTCTTTGTTTGGTTTCACCCCACCACGAATTGGATTTAAGCCTTTCATGGAAATATAAAGAAAAAATTGGTTTGGCGTAAAGCAGAGAGAAAAACTTTTTTCATTTTAGTTTCAGTTCCTTTTGTTGTCAAACGGTGAAGGAAAAAAAAGCAAGGAAAATATTCTTGCTGGCATGGTGAAAGTTTTAGTTTCTTCATGAATGAAATTGCGTTAGAAATCGTTTTTTCCCGTCATTAATAATCCCTCAAATTTTATGGCTTCACTCAAGGTGGATAACCGCAAAGCGAACATCAATCATGTAAAAGTTTTGTCACAATCGCTCATTTTTTTGTTGTTGTTCTTTCTTTTGAATTACTTCAACAATCTTTAGTCACTTTAATTTAAGAATTTAAGAATCAACCAACATTTTTATTCCACCCACGATAGGAACAACGAACGATAAAAGATTACAGATGTGAAAGAAGTGAATAGAAATGGATTAAATATTTATTTTGCATGAATGAAAAATGAGTTTGTGCCAATAATGCCAATAAGATTTTATGGAAGCATGAGAAACGTTTTTGCCTTGGCATCGGAATGTCTTACTCAATTTATTACTGCCAAATGACATAGCATGATATCTAATCGATGTATATTTCATCAATTTCTGTAATATGAAAATTTATTGTGAGTTTAACTTAGAACGATTCAGTTTTCAGTTGGTATCAGAGTTCAAAGGGTTGCTTTTGTATATTTATCTACGTATTTATTTAATCTTCTTGACTTTTCGTTGCTCTGTATGTAGAACATAAATATTAACTTAGGAGATATTTTGAGAGTCAACAAAATAAAAGAAAATCATAAAATTTATTTTTGTTTATGAAGAATCTACAAGAATAATTTTATTGTGTTACAGAATGCAGGAATTTGAACGCCTATAAAATTGAGCAAACGATGTTTAGACATGCAATCAATTTGGCTGTAACTTGTTATTCGATGTATTTGTTCTATGAATTGCTGGACCAAAAGAAATTAAAGTGAAAAATTGTGAAAAATTGAAAATTTCAAAAGAATTGTGATAAGGATGCAGTTCAGAAAGTTTCAAATGGAATATTCCAGGTAACAATTGTAAGTACATTGAATAAATCAACTGAATTCTTCAAATTCATTTGAATATCAATCAACCATCATAACTTCCAAACATTTATCAAAACTTGACATGTTTCGAGAACTTAAGCTTTCGAAAGCTTCTTTTATTTTGACAAAAAGCTTCGCATGAGAAAACTTGTTTAGAAAAAGCTTTCCGGCTCAAAGTTTATGACGTCATGAAATGATAGCGTAAAGAAGAATCGATTTTTAAAAGTATGCAGATTATATTTCCATTCTACATGAAGGGAGAACTTTAAATTGTAATAAAACTCTGATTTCACTTTATATGATTTTTCAATTTCTTTTATCCTTACGACGCTTTGATAAAAGATTCATTCGATTAGAAATAACTGTGCACTTCAAAGTTTTACAATTTGATTCATGAAAATGAATAAAACTTTTCCTATTTCTTTTCCAAACCACTCAATTTTCTACCTTGAATCACTGAAATTTACGGTTTGTTACACAATTTCTTCTTTTACTCTTACCTTGAATTCCAAAATACTTTAGAAAGATTTTTCCTTGAAAAATTATTTAATAGAAATTTCAAATTTCGTTGCGTTTTCCTTCCAAAGAAGGCAGCCTTTGAAGGTAAGCAGAATTTTCTTGCCGTAAAAATAAAATCTTTACAGCTGAATGACGTAAATATGTTAAATGTTGATTTTTCGTTGCGAAGCAACGGAATTTTATGCTACAGGTTGATCGATTTAATTTATATCAAAATGAAATTTTAAGAACGAAAGTGAAATTTTGCTGCTCAAAGTGTTATTTTTTATTGCTGAATTTCATATTCATTTAATTTTTAAGCGAATGGTCCAATCTTGAAGCTTTTTATGTCCATGAATCCTTAAGTCGATTATGCGAAATTAGGCACAGTTGTGACGTTAAGAGATGGTGTAGTAGCCCACGTGTCATTATCAGATGATGTCGTCAACCAGGTTGTGTTGACTGATGGTGGAGCTGTCCATGTAACGTTAGAAGATGTTGTCAACCATGTAGTATTGGCTGGTGGAGTAGTCGACCAGGTTGTGTTGACTGAAGGTGGAACTGTCCAAGTAATGTTAGAAAGTGTTGTCAACCATGTAGTATTGGCTGGTGGAGTAGTCGACCAGGTTGTGTTAACTGATGGTGGGGCTGTCCAAGTAATGTTAGAGGTTGTTGTCAACCATGTAGTATTGGCTGGTGGAGTAGTCGACCAGGTTGTGTTAACTGATGGTGGGGCTGTCCAAGTAATGTTAGAAGTTGTTGTCAACCATGTAGTATTGGCTGGTGGGGTAGTCGACCAGGTTGTGTTGACTGAAGGTGGAGCTGTCCATGTAACGTTAGAAGTTGTTGTCAACCATGTAGTATTGGCTGGTGGAGTAGTCGACCAGGTTGTGTTAACTGATGGTGGGGCTGTCCAAGTAATGTTAGAAGTTGTTGTCAACCATGTAGTATTGGCTGGTGGAGTAGTCGACCAGGTTGTGTTAACTGATGGTGGGGCTGTCCAAGTAATGTTAGAAGTTGTTGTCAACCATGTAGTATTGGCTGGTGGGGTAGTCGACCAGGTTGTATTGGCTGATGGTGGGGCTGTCCAAGTAACGTTAGAAGATGTTGTCAACCATGTAGTATTGGCTGGTGGGGTAGTCAACCAGGTTGTATTGACAGGTCGTGTTGTCAACCATGTGGTATTGTCCGATGGATTAGTCGGCCATGTCGCATTTACTGGTCGCGTACTCAAAATGGTCGTGTTTACCGATGGTGTTGTAGCCCAAGTGGCATTAACTGCTGATGTAGTTAACCAAGTTGAGTTGACTGATCGTGGAGCTGCCCATGTAACGTTAGCTGATGGTGTTGTAGACCAGGTTACGTTAGCTGATGGTGTGGTTATCCATGTAGAATTGACCGAAGGAACAGTTGTTGAAATCTGACGAGTTGTTTCAGATTGAGCATCAGTTTCGTAAGCAATGAAAGCAATTGCGAAGAACAATACTTGATTAATCTTGGTCATTTTAATTTGATTCTGTTTTCGTAGCGTTTGCGGTTTTAGCTGCTCAACTGTTAATTTTCTGCTTTCTTCTCATGGTTTTTATACTTTTGTTGGTTGTGATAAGTGTATTACCTTCAATATAAAGTTTAAATTTGATAACCATCGCAGTTGGAAATATCCAATTTATTTTTGAGGTATTATTTATAATCTTCAAAGAAAAAACCCTTAAGAAAAAATCAATCAAATGAATGACAAATCGTTTCTTTCTGATAATATTCTTGTGATGATTATGTGTGGGAATTTCCAAAGTTCAGATTTATTTTAAAGCGTGATCAAAGAGAAAAGTTTTTGTGTGTCAGATTGCAATTGAAGTAATAAAATTTGTAATCTCAATTTTTTCTTTCTGATATAAAATATTTAAAGCTTTCATTTAGGAATGAGAATTAAGTAAATAATAGTTAATTAGATTCTAAAAATTTATGAATTCATGAGCAATTTCTTAATAAGAAAATAAGAAAAAATGTTCGGATTAAGAAATTTCCCTTCGACCGACTACAACTTGTAATCGCGTTGCGCAATTGCATTGTTTTCAGTATCACTTTGTTTTGGTCTTCAGTTAACAACCAAACCTCAGCTGAAAAAGCATTGAAATGAATGTTTTGCCAATGTTTTCCATCTCCCCCTTTACTTTAAACATTCAACCATTTCCTCAACAGAGAACGATTCAATGCTTTAGCACACAACAGTTTAGTTTGCAAACGCGAGTCAAGTGTGTTTCACCTCTAATTAAGATATCACCTGAAAAAATAAAGTGAATTTTGTACACAATCTTGTGAAAAATATATCCAAATAATAAAAATTTGTAAGACGTAACAAGAAAACTTTATCTGAAAGAAAATCGTCAACTTTTCGTTTTAACAAAGACTTTAATAAATAATTAATAAAGTTAAAAAACTTTTCAAGTGAAATAGGAAAATCAATAAAAGCAAGTTTCTTATTTATTTAATAAGAAGCATTGTAATTTAAATATATATTTCAAGTGTAACAAATATAGCAAGAAAAATATCAAATTTCGTTTTCTTCACAAGTTTATAAATAATTTTTTATTGACATAAATGTTTCTGAATAATAAATCAACATAACAACAAAATTAATTAGGTACCTTATGGACGTGATTTTAAGCTGTTTTAGTTGAAGTTACAATATTTCAAGTGATAAGAGAGAAAGAAGAAACAAAGAACAAAAAATCAATAACATTTCCAATGATTTTCGTATTCATGCTATCGTGGGTTGACAGTTTGATGTTTAAGATTATTTAGAGAAAAGAACAAAGCATTAAAATAAATAAGAAGACTAAGAACTTAACCGCCTAGAAGGTGGTGGTTCGTCGAAAGACAAAACTAAAGAAGAAAAGATAACTTTTAAGGCAAACGATGAATTCGCGAAGTGAAGAAGAATAACGAAAAGAACAAGAAACAGTTTACTTTTTGCGTCGTTTTAAATTATTTAATGTCGATGGAACAATGCTGTTAATATTTCGGATGAGCAAACACTGTAAATAACAACTTAAGGTTTGCCGTTGACTTCTTCCTTTGTCTTCTATCAGTTTTTGGATACCCCCGCAAAGTAAGTTAACAAGACAAATCACTTTTTACCAATCTCGTTGTTTCCGCCGACAAATAATTTTCTGATGAATCTACCGAAAAAATTCGTAAAAAAAACTTTACTGATTTAATTTCTAACGATTTTATGTGAATTTTATTTGAGCTCTCGATGTTAAGTTTACTGTTAACTCAATTAAAAGAAAAATGATGTCGAAAGTTGGTGAAAAGGCACAGAAATCAAATACAAATGAAATTGCTATTGGAGAAAATGTTATCAAAACTTATGCTGTTAAGGTTGAAATGTCTGACGTCACGCAAGTTTAAATTCCAACTCGGAAGAATTGTGATTTTTAATTTCGGAGAGTGCTTTTAAATGCGAGATAAGATAAAACGAAACACCGTGACAGCGTCCAAGCATGATAAACTGAAGTCGCTCCTTGTAATTTGTAAGATTTGAGCTATTTGTTGTGTAAATTAAATGATTCACTCGATAACACATTCATCGTTGTTTGGTGAAGACAAAATGAGTCATTTGGGGATGTTTGCTCTTACTTAACAACATCAGTTTAACTGTTTATCCCACGGAATTTTCTTTTTTCTTCTGTACCACAAATATTGTAAGTTTCTGACCTTGAAAGTAAAAAAATTAATAAACATTAAGTTTCTCTCTTTTCTTGGATTAAAGGAAATAAAAGTGAATAAGAAAACTTTTAATGATTTCATTATGATCTCAAATCATGACACATTAAGCGATCTTTAACATTTCTATCCGTTTGTCATTGGGTTAGAGTAAAGAAACATTGTGGTAATGAGTCATAAAAAAGGTTAAATATTATTTGTACTTAAACCATCCACAGTCAGTTAAATGTTGTAAGGAAATGTTCAATGAAAATGTAATTTATCCGTTACAAGTATTATAAACACCGTGATTCTTTACTCTACTTTTCTGAAGCAATTCAATTTGATATACATAATGAGAATTGTCGTTCGCCTACTGGAAGACTGGTTTGGATAAAAAAAAATCATGTAAAGGAAAACATTTCAATTTTCATTATCAATATCAGCTTTCAAATGTCAACCTTATTCACAAACAAATTGATTTTCTATTGTACAAACGTGCAGGCAGTCTCGTCTCAATGATATTGGAAATGTTATATTAAGCTGAAAAAACAATTGTGAACTTTTCAAAGCTCTATACTCAGAACTTTGGTGTAAATTGATCCAATTAACATGATGTGAGAATGTATCGGCCCCACGTATCATGTGTCTCTCATTCTATTTTAAAATAAAACTAATTTGATCGAGAATTAAAAGAATTGAAACATGAGACATCGATTTTGCATTACTGTTCATTAAAATAAATTTTCCTGCGATTGATTGATGAAAATTTGCTTTTGTAATGAACACTTCAGATGATAATTTAAAATGATCGATGAACTTTGTAGTCTTACCAAACAGAAAATTTATGAAGGAAATTTTTTTCTCTGTTGAATAACAAAAAGGAAATAGAAGAATTTCCTCTTTGCAATGAACTTAATTGAATTTGTGAAAGATTTACGTTGAAATTGAATAAGTCGTTTTAGAAGCTGATTGCTTAAGTTTTTGACACGTTTAATTGAAAAGCTTTTAAAACTTTGCAGTCGTAATTGAAATCTCAAATATCCGAAATAACTAACTAAATCTTTGTCACAGTTTCATTTGGTATTTGAGTCAAATGTTTAGAAATTTTAATTAAATTCTCTAATGAAAGGAACGCCATATAAGAAAGATATGTTTAAACATTTGTTGCTACATAAATGTGAAGATATGTTTGTAGCAAATGAATTTAAAAGTTTGCAAAAGTCATTTGTGTGAAATTTAAATTGTCATTAACATTTGTTTTGTCTTCAAACTTTAATAATAAAAATGACATGCAAGCATCGACATTTTGATTGATTCTTTCCGACGCAATATGGACAGCTTGATGACCATAAAAGGAGTTGGCATCTAAAGACAAAACTTAAATCAAACAACTTTACTTTTTATGTCTTATCCTTCATCTGGCTAAATAAAATGTTTTTGAGTTAAATCGATTTTTTTCTTCACTCTTTGGGTTTTTAAGTTTTAATTATCAACAAATGTCAATGAGCCTCGAAAGGCGTTGAGCATTTTACTGAAAGATTTTCTTTATTTTGTATTACTTATTACTACTCTCGTGGCATTGAGAATGTTCATTGAGTATGAACGAAAGCGAGATCTTGTCGATAAATCAATTGCAGTGAAGTACGATTACGAATATCAATGAGAATCTCCGATTTGAAGTTCTGATGATTTAATATTCAAAACAGTCGAGACATGTTGTCGTCAACGATTCCTTGATGGTGAATATGAAGATTGTTAAATGAAAACCGAATGGAAACTTTTTTATTCATTTGTGTTGAATTAACTTGCCTTGAAAATGTTATGAAAAAAAGCAACAAAACGATATTTAATCGATAATGAAGCAGTGTGATGACGCTAATGAACCACTGTAGTAATACTTAAATTGTGTGGATAGTTTGTAGTTCATTTACTAGACTATTTCTCTATTTTTGTTTCACTTCACGATGATTTTCAACGCTGATTGAAAAAAAAATAATTTGTCACGAAAATTGCAATATTATTACGCAATAAAAAGTTTCTCGTACGCTTATAATTTGAAAAAAAATCATTGAAATTTGTTAAACGAGATCAGAAATATCTGAATTGAAATGAAACTTGAAAACTTCTGATATTTCTAAATTTCGGGTTTGTGCAAATGATCTTCAGTAGTTAAATGTAATTATAATAATAACTTTGATAAAGAAAAGTTCAGTTTTACATAATTATATTAAATGTTAATTAATTGCACTGCAAGACTTTTATTCGCAATACTCGCCAAGCATCTAATTTAATTAAAGCCTTCCACTCATAAATAATTATTTCTTAGCGCCATGTAACTCCCAGTAGTGAGTGTTGAGATCGGTTGTTTGCAATTGAAATAGAAAGTAGATCAATTAGTCAAAAAAACGAAATTTTTCGTAGCTAATGTAATGGAACAAAAACTATTGAGTTAGTATCAGGTAGCATTCGAGCTATACACAAATGTTTGCTTTATGATTACTTTTAGGTCGATGCTAAATGTGCTTACGTTACGATGAAAGAACGAATGTAATGTTTTGTCGATTTCAATGCCAAACAGAGAGTCGTTAGAAATGATAATAAAATCTTTGAAAAGAGCTAAAATATTTTTACGTTTTAGTTTTATGAATACAATTTCGTTTCTTTATTTATTTTTATTTTTGTAAAACAATGAAAGTTTCTCAATTTATTGCAAATGTTGTGCACTCAATTTTAAGAACGGGTTCATCCACGATTTAAATCTTTTTATCACAGTCCATGCAAGGAATGATAAAAATATTTCGTAGAATTTCATTTCTGCCATCCAATGTTTGGCTCTGTGGAAATAAAAAACAATTTTCATTTTTGAATGTTTAGTTTTTTGTATCTGAAAATAAATTTTAATGTTTTATTACCCAACGGAAGGTGAGGTGAAAAAAAAATCAATAAAATTTACGTTTTCACTGAAATATTTCAAGTTGTTCTTGTTGTTCAAAAATTCACTTGTTCATCATCATCATCTGTATGTTTGCCATTTGAAAATTATCTTTTGAAATGATGTCAGGAAGTGAGCAGCAAAGAAATTAAATTTATGGAAGGCAATATTGTATAATGTATCACATCGAAAATGACATTTCAAGAGAAAAGCTTCTGAAAAATGAATGATTTACTCGGTTTACATATCTAAATATAAAGTGGGAAATATTTTCAATTTATTCAGTGAGTGAATTTGTCTGCCAAAATGATTCATTACACCACTGAATTAAATGTATTGTAATGTAATTGATTGAATTATTTATTACACCATTCAGCATCATCATGAATAGGAAATCAATTAATGGATTAATTTTTTCTTGCAATTTTAGCATTAATCGCATCCGCAGTTCTCTCTCTCCACCTCTTACATTCGATCAAGTTCATTCACTTGTTCATTCACGACATATTTCGACTCTGAAATTATCAATTTAATGTGAACCACAAAAAAAGTGAATGAAACATTTTAAAATTGAATTTCACTTTCAGTTATCTCTCACGTTTCGCGTTCTTTCTCATTTTTTATAAGCGGAAAGTTGAAGCACGCTCGAATGTTAAATATTCAATGCAATTCGAACCTAATTTTGATTATACATTTGTAAAAAAAAAGAATGAAGAAAAAAAGCACCTAACAATGGTATAATTGTTTCCACCTATGTGAAATTCATCGTAAATATTATCATGAATGCACATTAGCGGCTTTATTCGACGTGTGGTTGGGAAACAATAGCAAAATACTTGCTTTTATCGTATAACTCGTATGAGAACAGCTAAGGTTATCTGCGATGGGCCACATTAATGTGCAACACCAAAAATGACAACAATTGTATTGCTTATTGCTTCACTTTTATTTATTATGTTTAGAAAATTAAGTTGTTAGGAACTGCAACTACGTACATTAATAAGAAATAACAAATTTGTCTCGAAGATTGAGACGAAACAAAAAAATGTTATATACGAAATCAAACAATAAATTCCAACGCGTCTGTCAAGCTTGAATCTATTGAATACTAAAAGCAATAAAAGCATGCCCAATGTAGATAGAAGTGAGATCATTGTGTATGAGATGCCAGTGGATTTAAGCATAATCTGTAAGATTAGAAATGGAAGTCAACAGATTACGTTTGTGTGAAATAACTAAATACCCATCGTTGTCCTGTCTTTGTTGGAATGAAAAGTGTTTTGACAAGCCACGGAAGTCCAAGGCATAAAAGAATATCAAAGATATTAGATCCGAGAGGATTTGTAATTCCCATGGAACTATATCCTTGACGTGTGACGATAATAGATGAAAAAACTTCTGGAAGGGAAGTTCCGGCGGCCATAAATGTCAGTCCTATGGCATTGTCTGAGAAGAGAATCGAAATAAAGATGAATATATGCTGAAAAAGCTATAAATTTTCGTTACACAATCACTTACCGACGTCGTTTGTTATGAAAACGATGATATATGAAATGCAACATATCCACAACGCCGAACAGAAGAACGTCAACAAATAACAGTTTTTAAATCTTCTCGAATCGGGAATGGTACACCACAACGTGAAGGTTATTGGCCATTTAAGATAATAAATCGTTGTGTTATCCGTTGTTGGAACCTTCCATGGGCTTGTTGCGTAATCGCAGTCATTATCAGATTCATCCACTTTCACAAATGGTTCGCTCAATTCTTTCACATTCACCACAAACCCGTCCATGCTGGCAATTGTCGATTTCTTTTGAGAGAATAATGGTGCAATCTCCGCTATTTCATGATATGATTGTCGTATTAATCGATGTCTGAACTTTTGAGTTAAAACCATCACCTTCTCTGCCATCAAATCGTTTTTATACATGACTTGAAAAGAGTTGAGAAATGCATTATCAAATAAATGTTTTGTGTTGTTGACAGTAAACTTCAATTACTTATTAAATAGATGGCGTAAGCTAACACTAAGCACGCAGCCTCATACCACATAATCTGGTTGTCGTAAATAACAGCAATGAAGACTATAACAGACAACCCGTAAAAAATACAATCACGACTGATTGGCCACCATTCAAGTTGAGTTTCTGTTCGTGTCACAAGTCCACAAAATGCGGGAACAGCTAGAACATTAAAAACAGCTGAACCGACAACTGTTTCAATTCCAATGTCACCTTCTGTGATGAATGTTCCTACACAACTGATGAAAAGCTCAGGAGCTGATGTTGCCATTGCCATAATTGTCGCTGAAGCTACATCTTGCTTAATGTTAAACTCTAAAAAAAAATTAATTTATTTCGAGATCAAAAGAGAATTGATTGAGAATTGAGCATACTTTGACACAATATAGCAATCGATCCAATTAAATAATCATCACTAACGATGGCCAGCATCCAAAAGAAATAACACGATGCTAATGCGTAGATCAAAACTCTCGCAATTTTCGACAAATCTCGTGGGAATTTATCACAAGTTGAATCTCCTTTCATTGCCATTTCATCAGTCTTATTGGAATCCCATTTCTGGTTCATTGGTTCAATTCTTATCTTTAACTCAGAGTCATCACGTGCAGATTGATCTTTAACATTCAGTAGACGACGAGATGTAAAATCTATTTACAAAGACAGAAACGAAAAGAGAATTGAAGTTTATTTATTTATTAGTCAACAAGGCACACAGTCTCGGCTGTTGAGTTGCTTAGATTTTTTTTTATTTACCGATGTCTTTATTGTTGTTGTCAATAAAGATTGAAACGTTTGTCAACATAATGTATAAACCGGGACCAATCAATATTACAGCAACTTGAATGAACAATGCGATTTTAATTTTTCGCTCCATTATGTACACAAAGAAAACGAATAAAATATTTAAATATTTATTTAGATTTTTTTTTTCTTATTTATCTCCAATTAACGTGAGTTGCTTGTATCCTTAACTCAATTGACAATCATTAATGAACACTCGCCCGGAAATTGATCACAAAATTCCTTGAAGAAGAAACATTTTTGATTATTCTTCTTTTAATCCAACTAACTCATCTCAACACAGATTGATTCAAAAGCTAAAGTTCACTAATGTCCTTTTTTTTATCTACATATCTTAACGATGGCTAAAAGGTGTGTCTAAAAATAAATAAAAATAACTTTCGACCCGAATATTTCACTGTTTATCGGTCGTTTGACGACTGAAAATATTTTCTTGCTGTCATTTGCCTTTTATACGTCACTTTATGATCTCAATTTTCGTCATCCTACAAATAGAGTTTTGTCAAAATTTCTGAAAGATAATAATTCTCAGATGTCACCAATAGAGACATTTCAAATGTGTGAATCAGCTGACAGAAATTGAGAGAGAGATTAATACAGACGATAATGAAGGTTGATGGATTTCAACAAGGATTTCAAGGGATAATCTCTCTCTCAGTAATTAATTTACGACATCGTCAGGTAGAAAATAAACAAATACTTTTAAAAACAGAAAAATTAAAATGGTGACCTCAATAGAATGTTAATTTATATTTCTATGGTTACGATTTTATGTTTAATTGTCAACACATTACATGCTCCGGGCATTGTTTCGTTCAACAAGACAAAGCCAAAAGAGTTTCAATTTTACATCATAAAAGATTTTCCTTTTTAGATCGGAAAATAAATTAAACAGATACTTAAATGTTTCCGTCACTTATGTCATCAACAGACATGGAAATCTGTCATGGAAATTATTTAAATTTAAATAAGATATTAAGTTAACAACACCATTTTCATCTTAGCTATGCATAATAATAAAAATGTTAATGAAACTTTAGATAAATGTTTGCTTTTGAATTTATATCTCTGCTGATGAAAATGATAAGTAAAGGATGAAAAAGGAAAATATGGAAATCATCGCACATGGAAATTTCATTTTTCTTTCCTTTGTCATTTATCATTGAAGGCTTATGAGTTTCTCTCATACTTAATGTAAGTAGAAAAAACGCTTGTCCTATTTTCTGATGTAAATCCATGGGCTTTTTGTCGTTCTCGTCAAGACAATAAACTTCTGTAGAAAGAAAGTCATTATCACTTCATCTTGTTAAATCCCTTGGAATATGAAATAAAAAGTTGAGAGCATAAAGGAAATTTAAACATGTTTTGAGAGCTGTAACTATGTACATGAGGTTGTAAGATCAAAAAAAGATGACGAAATGTCATCTCTGACTAATCCCATTGTATTTCTTATTTATGTAGTACATGACATCAATCATCAGCTCATCTTTCAAATTACTCTTATCAGTAGTTATGCATAAAAGAGACAAATATCTTATGCAGCATAGTAAAATCCAACATAAATGTTTTTATTGTTCAGTAATAAAATCATTCGAAAAGAAGCCACCACTAAGCATTTATTTGTTTATTTACAATTTTCACACGTTTTATATATTTTTCCATGTCGCGTTCAACTGTCGGAATTGAATTACAATTTATAATGCCGCCGCCACATTGTAAATTTGTCATTTGTTATTCAAGTTCTTTAATGAACCTCATGAATAACACGAAGAGAATCAAAATTTTCACAAATTTTACTAATTTAGAAAGAAAAAACTTCTAATTTGACTCAAATGAGACTTTCATTGTCTTCTTCATTTCGTTATTTTTGTGGAAGAAAATTCAATGTGATTAAAATGATTTTGCTTTTGGCACGAAACACTTGTTCTGTGAAGCAATTAAAGACTGGGATGAAGCCTTAGAAAGTTATCTTGTTTTTCGCTGTTATTGTTTCTACATTTCTGTTTGAATAATTTTGCACAAAAAATTCATTTTGAATGTTGGGAAGGTGAATAAAATCTTTTATGAAAATCAGGAAAAGGTGCGGCGCGAGAAAACATTGTTAATCCATTTCTCTCGGATTTATGTCTTTAATTGTTTAGTACGAACGTTTTCATGTCAGTCGAATCAGTTTGCACCAGCATAGCATATGAGAAGTATTTTTTTATTACACTCTTAATCCGACACTTTACAAAAGAACGGAGGACAATACAATATGGAAAATTTCTTCAATTTTACGTAATTTGAATGCGGAGCAGAGCAAATGCTGAATGCAATTGCGGTTTATGAATTTTCTGGCTTTAATCGAATTTAAAAAGTATGTAGCATGTGCTATATAATTTATGATTAAATTGAAGCACGCCAACTTCAGACATGAAACTTCTCTTTTGATTCTACACAATGTGGCAGTGGCTTTGTCACGAGTTTGTGCTTGACATGATCTGAAAAAGTGATAGCTTGGCTAAAATCAGGAAGGAAGTCCGTGCCGGAGAGTCTTCAGAATGATTTATAAAATTTTTTCGAGTATCTTTCAAAGAAAATGCTTTACAATCTTAAAAGAAAAGCTGAGAATTTTCTTTTCTCATCATCATTGATGTCTTTGAAAGATAAAAAAATTATTTCTGACGATAAATTTAGAAAACGATGCGGAAATTGACTAGAAATGAAAACCTTAAACATCTTTATAAACTTTCTCTTGTTTAACCTTGGTTTTGATCATCAAATGAATTATTTCATTTACATTTGATGATTCAGAGTCATTTTTTCACGTTAATTTAGTTCTTGGATCATTCATTTTTCTCGTTAGTAATTGGAGCGAAGCACGTTTGCCTAACGACAAAGAAATGAATGCTACCCGAACATCATTGAAGATGGAAATTGAAAAGATTGAAAAGCAAACGAGAACTTACAAGCACGCAAATGAAATCTCAAGCATGCTTGTTTATTCAGAGTTGAGCAATGAAATCTTTTAATTGATTTTCCATAACAACAGCTCAGCAATGTGTATTTGTTTGTTGTTTTTTTTTTCAATTGCGTACTGAATCTGAAACTTAAAACTTCCACAGAGTAATTAACGAAATTCTCAATTTAATGTGCTTAGGAAGTTGAAAATTATTTTTCTAACCAAAAATGTACTTGAAGTTGAACAACAATCAGAAAAGTTCCGTGAACTCTTAAAAATCATTTAGGAAGACACGATGTAGTGATGTCTTTGAGACTCTCGAATCAAGCAAGCTCGAACGTGATCATCAACTGGAAAAAGAATTTGTCTTGACTCACGTAGAAGAACACAAAATTATTGTCATAATTTATAACCACTCGCTCTATTGTTTCGATACGAAATTAAATTTAATTTTTATTATAAATTAAATATGAATCCACCAGTGTCAAATTCCGTATTATGTTAAGCGAATCGAATTTCCCGATTATCTTTTTGTCAAATTTTTGCTTCACATTACGTCATTTCACAGCTTTATTTAATTCAAACGATTCCCAAACGACGGCACATGCTGACAAATGTTCAAGTTGAAATAATTTCAATTATTACATCTGTTATGCTTTTGTTTCTCAAGCTCTCGAGGTGATCATCACGTTGACTAGTAGTCGTGGTGTTGCTTTAATGGACGATGTCTAATTACAATGTTAATTTATTCATCGATTGTTCACGTTACCATAGCAATGTAGATAAATCGGAACAAGAAGTGAATAGCGTCTAGAATTGTATCAAAATTATACTTTAAAAGATTTAACTTGATCTGCTCGTAAATAATTAAAGTTCACGTATTTTTCATTTACTTTTCAAGCGTCAAAATTTAATCCAAAATCCACAGAAAATTCACCATAATTTGTTAATTAAAATATCCTCTAAAAGTTTCGTTCTTTTATGATTTCGTGTCGACCTTTTACCTTATTGTTCAATATCAAGTCGAATATTTCGATGTTTTTATGACGGTAGCGCAGACAATTTATGTCGTAAGTGGGCGTCATAAGATTTTAAATCTTTCTTCTTTTTTTCGCAAGAAAACACTTCCATAGATTTCATTAATTTATTCATAAAAAAATACAAAAAACACCCACGGAAAAGTGAATCGTGTCGTTGCTCCAATGATGTTTATTAAACAAATCCATTTAAGGCACATCTGACATCAGACTCCCAGCTCATCTTTTTTAAGGTTTCATCGAATTACGGTAGATGAAGGCAAGATGGTTGATAATAATATTTCATTTCTTTTTATTGTTCTCATCATAAATTCTGAGTGTTTGGATGAGCGAGCTGAAAGCAACTTGTGGCATTTACATAGACTTAATAATTAACAAACGTGCCGCGATTTCTTGCGATGATTCACAGACATAGAGGTAACACTCTCAACCATAGTCTGATACTGATCTTTAAGAAACTTTTGTAAGTCATCTAAGTGAATTTGTTAAAAAAAACTTTCGAAGTTGGTTATTAAGATACAAAGATTAAGGCTTGTAAGATGGTTGCCATTATTTAGAGAGTTTCTTTAGCTTTCAGGTCAAAGTAAAATTATAATCAAAAGCCATATGCGTTGTAAATGAAGTTAAAGTCACGAAACAAAGCTTGATTCACCCTTGGGCTGACTAAACGCTTCTTATTTGTTTCTCCTCGTGTTATTGTTAACGCTTGAAAGCCAAGCTAGTAATTGTCTATTAATTTTCTTTTCTTTGTTGCTACCTGGTTGCATGCAGTAAATTTTTCAAAACAAATAGCAAATCGGAAGCTGTAAGACGCAATTGCGTAATAAAAATTTATGGCAAATTTTTGATCAATTTTTGTTAAAAGATTTCCATTTGACTGCTTCAAAGAAACATTTCATCGGTTCATTGATTGAAGTTTTGACTTCATTTTAAAGCAGTCTTGTCTAATATCCGGTGGTGTGGCTGAGAATTAAAAGTAGTTCCATTGTGGTTACTAATTGACGATGATTTATTGGAACTACTGTTCATGCTTCGTAACATTCAAAGAGTAGTTAAGCAAAAGAAAAATGTTTGAGAAAAAGTTCTTGAATTCTGTAACATGAATCCATTCATCTTCATGTTACGAAACATTGCAAAAATGTTGTGGTGCAAGCAGTATTACCGGTAATTAAAAACCATTTATCACACATTTGTACAACACCAAAGCATTAATCAAAAAAAAGAATGAAATCGAGCATAACATCACTTCGCCTTCAAATGCATGGGAAGAAAAGAAAAATCATTTAAATTGTTGCGTGGCGCTTCATTGTTTTGTTTCATGATAATAATATGTCAAAAGTTTACTTTAAGACGTTTTTCATAAGGTTTTATGGAGTCCCGTTTCACCTCAAGCACGGAAGACGAACAAATCAGATTAAAAGTTTTGTTTTCTGAAAGTGAAAACAATGATAAAAGTTTATTTGCCTCGAGCATATGGATTTAAATCTTCTTTTCATTCTCTCTTTCTTTATCTCTTTTTTCTTTCCGAGAAATTCATGTTTGAATTAACATCAATGATTAATTACTTACAAAGTTTATTAAGATGTTATAATCTAGAAATTCGTGTAAATTTTGATTAATCATTTTGTCGATTCGATTTCATCAATAAATATCAGCTCTGAAATCAAATGTGGGTTGAAGGCTGATGCGCATTAGAAAATCAACGCTAATTAATAACACATTTGCTAACTTTGATTCAAACACCTTTCAAGCAGAAAATTATTTGTCCATAGAGATCAAACCGAAGCGAACAATAATTATCGTTAATTAAAAGCTTCATTTCATTTAATTATTATTGAACTTAACTAACATCTTAATAACAATTTTGTTTGTAATTTGCAGAGAATTTTTTACATTAACATGAAAAGAAATACGAACAGAAGTAACATGACACTCGTCTACTGGTGGACACATTGGTTTTGGGTAACAACAATAATTATCAGTTGTTCATCTTCAACTGCGGTTCCGGTCACATCATTTGAAACCATTTCAACTTCATTAAAATCTGCTTTGATTCAGAACGACAATTCATTTCAAGAAACAGTAAATGACCAACAAAAGTTGGCAACAAGTGACAAATCCGTTCCAATGACTTTAGAAACCTCTGACACAGAAGATGTCTTTGGTGGTACTGAAGAAATTGCTGCCGAGAACTCTGCCAAAAATAATGATTGGCTTGAGAAGCCGACGACCACTACTGAAGTTAAACCAGTTGATGGTTCACTGGAGAAGAATGAAAATATTATTCCTGAAGTTGTAGCTTCATTAACTCTCACTAATGTTATCAATAGTACAAACAATTCATCATCACAGAACACAACCATGTTGAGTAGCGTCACGGAAGAAGTTGCTGCTGGAAGGTAAATCATCTGACCGAAAATTCTATAAAAAAGATAAATTACATTTGTTTCTTTCACAGCATCATCAACACAACCACAACACCCACAACAAAACTTATCAAAGTGGATGAACTTCCACCATCAGGTGAACATATCCTTACTGTAAAATCATTAAATATAACAAGCTTGGATGGAAGTGACAACAATCTGAACGATTCAAATGATACTGTTGAGATTGTGATGACAGATGATGAAAGTAATTCAACTGAAGTTACTGAAGTTTCTGAAAGGAAATCAAAAGGTTTATTGGGTTATAGTGAAGAAGCCAAAATTGTGAACAATATCAGCTCAAGATCAGCACTTCAAGTTTCACATCAAAGCCATAGTGCACCGACGAATGACGATTTACTCTCATCAGAAGCTTTATTTGATACTGATCAAGACAATGGTGGCATCACAATGAATGCTGGAATTATTTCCATCATTTGTGTGGGAATTATTGGATCACTATCTGCATTTAGTATCATGTTCGTTTATGTCTATCGACGAAGGTTCTTGAACAAACCTCAAACTTTAAGTGAACCCGATTCAAGTGGTTACATCGATGAAAGTTCAATAAGAGTAAGAATTCTTATAATGTTAACAAATGCTTAATAAATTGTTTCATTCTTTTTTTTCTAGGACAATTCAGATGAACTTTACAGTCTCGACAACGACTCTTTTCTCAATTCCCTTGAAGCAATGACGATACAAAACTATTGGACTGACAGCGTGAAGCATACAAAGTTGTAAACAGAATCAAAGAGATGGAGACAACGTTCATATTGTTGAGCGATATTGAAGTCACAAAGTATACAAATCATGAAACAAGATTTGCGTTAAAAAGAGAGAATCAAGTAGATGCACCAATGTAGTAGTCAAGAACCTCTCGAATTCCTTTTAGTGATACTAATAATAGTAATAGTAATGATATCATCACCCAACATCTCTAATTTTTGAAAATTTAAGACTCTAGATGAAACATTCCAAGAGACAAACGAATTAACTGTTGTAAGTTTATTAAATGGATGTTGATCACATCATATTTATATCAGGAGAAACAATTTATACGATTTAAGTATCAATATCTTAGAATTTTCAAAAATATTGACAAAACAAATCCAAATTTCTCTTATGATAAAATTTCAGAACTAAAATTTACGAATTGATGTCTTAACATTCTTTCCCATGATTCGTTTTTAAGTAGAAATATAATTTGATTGACATGAATGTAACTGATCAATTGTAAATTAAAAACTGAATTCGTTAACAATATTGAGTCTTTTAAAAACTTTTATTTTCAGGTATTTGAATCACTTTCTTTATTATTTTACTAACAAAACAAGTTCGTTCTAATTATTTTCAAATTCCGTTATCGCCCAATTTTAATGTCAGTTACAAAAATATTTGAATTTCGGCCAAAAGAGCTTTTACGGAAAGCTTTCATAATTTCGGTCAGACAAAGCTCTTTTTGTTCATAGAAGAAAGCTCTCTGAAAGTTTTTGAGAGTGAAGTGCGAGAAAATTTGAAAAAGGAGAGAATAAATTTTGAAGGTAAACAATAATTACAAATATTAAAGAATCTAGAAAACTATGACATCCCTGAATGTTTCAAAATTTTCCAAGAATGTCTCGTTTATCCTTGAAATATTTTAATTTTTTTTTTGTTATAGAAAATCAACAATGGTAAAATATCTCATACAATTCCACTGAAGATTCTAAAAGACTATCAATAAGATATGCAAGCAAATATCTGAGCAGTTAAATTCTTTTTATGTTCCACACAAAAAATCGTTTCAAGAGATGGAAACGTAGATAACGGAATGGCTTTTAGTAATCGCATTCAACATGTTGCAAATAAATTTTATCGTAAATTCTCATGACTCTCAGCTTAATAAATAAGTGATTTGTTAGAAAACAGATTAAGAAGATTAAAATCCTTTCATTAAACTTTTGATGACTTTTTCTGTTAGATATACTTTCACGTTTCATCTATAAATTCTTGAACTAATCAATTTTGAGTCCACCGAGATTATGTGTTGAGTAGCAAAAATCAATGAAATGTTTCCAAATCAAAGAACTTGGTTGATAGCAGGCAGACCCTTTTCAAATTATGTGGCACTTCAGGGTAGCTGCTTGCTTTTGTCATTTCACCTGAATAGGAAACTTCAACACGCACTCGATATTCAATTACTCAAGCGTTGAAAATCTTTGATGAAGAAAATTATTTCGATTAGTCACGGTGGAAGTTGTTATCAGCGCAATTCTTACGCTTTCACAGCCCATACATAATATTCTTTATTGACTTTGTTGACTTAAGAATGGAATTTCATTCATGACTGCCTACAGGAAAAAGGAAAATAGCGAGAACAAAGTTCACCGTGAGAAAAACATATTAAGAAGAATGTTTTTGCCATTGAATCTATCTTTAATTCACTACCCGCAATGTAATATTACTGCGTTAATGCAAAAACTCTTCTGTCATTGTCAGATCGTGTCGCTTTAGGATATAAACAAAGGATGAACTCATTACAACGTTTGATTGTTTCACATTCAAATATCTCATTAAAAAGTTTCATTCCCTCGCGTTTGAAATTTGAGTATTTTGTTAGCCATAATAGCTTGAAGCATTCTAATTAAAGTTTGAATTCGCACATGAAATTGTAAACATGATCCTTTAATAAATGAACGAGTACTCATCCTGTTCCTTTTGGGCTATATTTATAAACAAATTTAGCCGTAATGAGTTTTCATTGTGTATTGGAATACTCGATGGAAACATCAAAGGAAGTTCAGGTTCAATATTGTAGCTTTTTGTTAGATTAAATGACAAGATTTTGACTTTACAGTGAATATTTTCGATGAAATGGTGTGGAAATGTTTAATAAATATTTCTTGTTTTAGGATATTTTGGATGTTTGAGATGATTAAAGTTTTTCTTTCAAAAGAATTTAAAGCTTTAAGGGACGAGAAATTATTTTAGTATTGATGAGAGTTTTATTAATAAACCATCGAAATAAAAATAGAGAACATGAAACAATTGATTGTTTGTACCTCGTCTTGAATGAAACAACTTCATCTGATGCAGAAAAATAATTGAAATTAATGAAAATAAATTTCCAAGCTCGGATAATCCTTTACATCAATTAAACACACAAAAATTATTTTTCTTCTGGGAAGCATATCTCCGATGGATTGTAATTCAATCATGGAAATGTTATCAATATGGTTCATCGGAAGGTTTCAGCCAGAAAATTTGCTTTAAGGTAAATTTCCGAAATAATTTCTGGTAAATGAGAATTTAATTATGTTTCATGTTTGTAGCATTTCATTACAAATTTCTGAAATTTCTAAACACAAATAATCAATTTGGCTTTTACTATTTAAATATAAATTTTATTGAGATTGAAAGTTTCAAGATCCACAAGTCAAATATGCTGACCAAAGCAATCCAATTTGAAAAATAATCATGTTAAATATTAAGAGACATGTTTAAAAGGATTTCTTACGTTTAAAATTAATTTAATATTAAATTGAAGCTTTTTTATAAATTATAATTGACTCGATGACGATTTTATCTCCAACAATTGAGGATGATTCTCAACAATGTTAAGAAGAATTGTATCGATATATCGTTTGAGTCTTCGGCACTCATCATCTTTTTCTTGATATGCAGATTGAAGCTGAAAAACAGAAGGAAATTCATTTGATGTTAAATTTCACAAAATTATCTTCAAGTAAATAAATTAATTTGTTAAATTTTTCTTGAAACTTGAAGCTGTTAAGAGACATTTTAGAAAGAAAGAAAGTGTTGGAAGGAAAAATGCCAAACACCAAAAGAGCATAAAACCACCAGGCGATGTTTACCTGTGACAATGAATTCATGAGTGCTTCATCCTAAATGTTCAAGTAATTCCAAATAAAAAAGTCAACACAACTCATGTAGAATAATTAAATAGAAATTTACCTGATTTTGGCCCATTTCTTTGAGCTCATCAGCAAGATTTGCTATTGATGTTCCACCTGTCAAAAGGTTTCGACCTTCTTCGATATTTTTATTAAGTAACATGGCTTGCAACTCTTCGTTGGCGTCTTTTAAAACATTATTTTGTTGTTTCAATTCATCTAATTGCTCTTTCATATCATTATGAAACTCTTCAGTTCGATACATGTCTGATGAAGTGTTGGATTCGAGGGACAATGAAGAAGCTGATATCTGACGATGATATCCATTAGATTTCGAGCTTTTCACTGAAGCCATAACTTGAGCTCTAATCAACTCGATCTCCTTTTGAAGTTCGGTTATTAATTGCTCCGAATGTTGTTTCTCGTGCAAATAACGCTTCTCCGCTTCTTTTGATTCTGATAAATTCTCCTGAGCTATTGTCAAGTTAAATTTATAATTGTCGAGCTTTTCTTCACATAACGCAAGCTCTTTTGATTGCTTATCACATTGAATTTTCAGTCGTTGTATCTCTTCTCGTAATGACGCTGATTCAGCTTCCGCTGTACATATGCGAATTTGAGCATTTTCATTTCTCAATTCAGCTTCGCGTTCAACACGTGCTATAAGTTCACGATATCGTTTCTGTTCCTCTGCAAGTCTCTCTTCAGATCTCATTTCTGTTTCCCTAAGTTGCTCCTCTAAAATCTCGTATTTTGTCTGAAGAACTGCATTCTCAGTTTTGGCACGAATAGTACGATCGTCAGAGTTCATTTGCGTGTCAGCTAAAGTCGTAATCTGCCTTTGAAGCAGTTCCAGTTTATGATTTAAATCTTGCACTTCTTCGAGACTAACATCACTGTACATGTCTTCGGTCATGTCACAATTGGAACTCCTTCCAGACGAGTTGAATGAAGATGAACGATAAAGATGACTAAAAAATATAACAAAAGAAGCAAATGAGACCTCACACAACTATGAGAAAATATTTAGCAAAGTTACAAAACATTTTTCACAATTGACATTCATTCAACATTTTCTATGTACTCCACAAATTGTAAAAATAATGAATCAAAAATCACTGTAGAGTTAAAAATATTATTTAAATAAACTCTCTCGTTGTTGTCTCTCTTTACGCTTCACACAAAAAAAATGTCAAAACATTTCTTTGTTCACCTGTTTTGTGTTCATGTAAAAATACTCACTTTGCTAATACATTGGAACCAAGTGGCCTCTTCATACTGAAAGAGAAATAAATAATTATGAGAATACTATAAAGTGAAAAACTTTCCATAACTACGTCATTAAGATTTCTTAGATAAGTTTACGGTCGATAGAATTAGATATCTTACAGTTAAGTGAACTTTTACGTTGACTTTCTTTCGCAAAACATTTCGTTGCAACTTGTCAGAAGACAAAAAAACGTGCGTTTAATTAAATTAGTCAACAAATGAATTTTAAAATGTGATTTTGTAAACGTGATTCATACAATTTTTTGAGGTTTCTCATGAATTATTTAGTCGTGGTATGACGACGAAGCTTGACGAGTAAAGTTATCCAAAATCACGACACTCCTTAAATATAAATTCACCTTCCACGCAATCCACGTAGAGATGTTCTTGCCCAACTTTGTCGAGTGATTGCTGGCTTTTCAGCATCGTTAGTTTGTAATGCCAAATCAAGATCCACTCCAGAACTGTTTTCTAATTCATTTGACGTTGACATTTGGTCGTTTTCACCGAAACATTCATAAGATTCACCGTCTGAAATTGACGAACACTGTGATGATATTGAGGGACCTAAAATGAGTTTTCGAAAGATTAGTTGAAGCTTCTTAGAAGTGTTATGATTGAATTCACACTTTCTAGTTAACATTTTTATCGCGAAAAGTAAACAAACTCGAAAATAAAATTTATTTTCAAGTCTGAATAATGTTAGCGAAGATAATTGTTAGAATGTTTACACATATTTACCTGTAGAACTGCTAGGCTCAGATGAATCCAAGGTTTTATTATTAACAGTCAACTGAAATTTCGCTTTACGATTGTTATCGACACTCAAAAGCTCTGATGGTTGATTAATCTTGATAATCTCAGGCGATGGTGTCATTATTCGTTAACCATAAGATGACTCAAATCGTTTATTGACACCTACAATAATGAAGCAAAGAAATATAACTCAAACAACTTATTTCCTATTGTTTCTCTGCAATTATTCCATATTGTCTACAATTCCCTTCCTTGTAAATATTTCGCAAACGATGGTTAAAATTTGATTAGCTTTTATGATGATTATGAACTATAAAGTGAAATCTAAGAATCAAAAACAACGCAACAAGGAAAAAAAGTTTTGCGATTTCAAATCGGAAATAGAAAGTCTAAAAATGGAAGTGAAAAATTATCATGCACTGTCATTCAAAAGCGTTTATGTTCATCTCATTTAAAGCACATGTAATTGCGTAAAAATTATTTCTCTCTCTTTCATCACCATAACTGGCATTGTTCCCAATATTTCCCTTTAAAATGCGTGATCAAGCGACTAAATGATCAACTATAATTATAAAAATTTGAAACCTTCACAGCATTGTGTTACAAATTTAAAAATGTGATTAAAAATATTTTTAGCCAATGTTCGCGCACTAATTGACAGGAAAATTGGTTGCTGCTAAATATCGACAATGTCTTTGTAGATTCATTTCGCTATCTTGTTTGTTTATAATTATCCATAAGAAGGAAAATTCACACTTCATCGACTTGTTTCATCAGTTGAAACATGCTTTTGCTGAGTGATGAAACGAAACTTAGACTGGGCGTATTTGCAAACGAACCATTTTGTTAAAACGATCATTAATAAAACGCGATAAACAGCAGAAACATCTTCCTGCTTCAACTAAACAATTCCATCAGGCTGGATATCATCTTTCACTACTTGAGGGCGTCAATTATCATTCATCGAATTCGAGACTCATTTAGAATATTTCAAGGAGACATGTCCTTCCGTTCGAAGGGAATTTTAAAAGTTTTATATGCACAGATGTGTTTACAGCCCACCTGTTCTCTTCCTTTTAAGGTCTTAGAAGTCCCAAGAACATCATGAGTAATATTTTGGTTTGTTTTTCATCTTCAACAGAAAAAGAATGAATGAAGTCTGTAAATGTTTTATGTTTCATCATTTACAGATGGCTAATAGTTCAGTTCTTGCACATGCTGCTAAAATTACTTTGATATTTTAGGAAGCTAAATAAAATTGTGTCAGATTTCCATCCTACACATGAATTTATGCTTAAATGATTCTCGTGTTGCATCTGTTGTCTTTCATTTGTCATTAATCTTCTATCTAAATTCGGCTTGGTTTGAATCTTCAAAAAACTTTTTCTACTTTTAATTAAATATACAAAACTCGCATCGATTATAAATTATCGTGACGAACACGAAATGTTTTCCAAGTTATAAATATCTCTCGTCACAGTGTTTGATTTTATACTCGAAACGATTGTTGTGGATATGACTAAATAAGTATGGATATTTATTATTGCTTAATGTTCGAGTGATCGTGTCTCTCTTGTAAATCTCTTGTTAAAGGTAGCAACATCATGCAAGGCAAGTGCTTTAAAGACGATTTCAACATTTCTAAATCTTTACACTTTCTTGTTTATACTTGTCCATGTCTTGTTTATACTTGCATAGCTTTACCTTAGAATAATCTCATTAACGGAAACAGAGAGAAGAATAACAAAGAAGAACGAAGCAGAATGAAGAAGAAAAAGAAGGGAAAAAAATTCCACGACATTATTTCATGGTATTGAGTTGGAATGTTTCACCAAACCACTTTGCGAAATTTCCATCGAACACAAACAAAACATTGCACAACAATCATGTGTTAGACGTGATTCTACGAGAACCAAATTCCGATGAAAAAAAAACTCTTAAAACACTTCTCGGCATTCAGTTTAAAATGGAATTGTTAAAGATATTCAGCCCACCTTGAAATGTGTTTGTCGTTACTGTTTTCAATAGCTTTTGAGTCTTTTGTCTTTTTCTTATTTATGTGTGGTGGTTGACGTCAGTCGAAGCAACAGCACAAGCACTTAAAGCAAAGCAATGGTGCAAAGAAATAATCTTTTCGTGACACACAAAAAATTACAGATTTTTGCTTTTTTTATGTTTGAGTCGCTGTTTCTTACAATACGCGATCAAGCATTACAAATAAATATCTTTCACTTCTGCCACATACTTTCTCTACATGTAAAAGTCGCTTTTATTTCTGCACAAGTTATCTGAGGTTTTAAAAAGTTTTATAATCGAAGCATGAAACTGATTTAGAAACAATTTTCACTGACTGAACTCACATTTATGTTTATTGCGTTTGCTTTGCTTTATTTTCTTTCTTGCTACATAAATCTAGAAATAGCCGACCATTGCACTTGCACTCTTACAGTTACCTAGCACCTTTTAAACTGGATCTTCGTATTATTATTTATTATAAATAGATATCAAATTCTATTATTTTATTACAAAAACTTTCACAATCGACTGATGGCCTTTAAATAAAATAGAAAAATATCCAGTTTTTTTTTTCAATTCAATATTAGTCACTGAAGAGAAGAAATCATCACAAAATAAAATAAAACTGAACCAAACAACAAGACGATACATTCAATACTAAGCCGACAAGTCTCGTTGAAGAGAAAATGAGCAAATGAGAGACAAAATAAAAATTTAAAGTTTTTTTTTCACAATCTGTTAGTCTTTATGTGTATTTGAAGTTTTTTTATTTAACAACACAACTCTTGAGGCATTGCTGTGAGAGAAAATGAATTTTTATGTATGTTTATTGAAACATAATTGTGGGAAGATTATTATACAAAGGTACGGAAATACCTTTTTGGATGGTTGCTCACGGTTACCACCACACAAACATGATGCAAATGAACGTGTTCGAGCACTATGCGGTGACAAATGATGAGAAATGCAAGTGCAAGTGCATGTGAACTTCATTGTCACCTTTGTTGCTATGATCTCGGAGTAGTTTTCATCAAAGTTTTGTGGTAGCTTTGAGCACTGCTTAATGTTTAGCTATAAAATTGTCTCAAACGTCATAAGATTTCAGATTAAAAATGATTTTCCATTTTCGTAATTCGTCTGCGATACAAACCACAAGTTTTAAAGCTTTGAAAGTTAATTAAAAAAATTTTAATATCAAACACGTTAAACATTTATTAGAAAACTAAAACTTTACGATGACATTTACATTCGTGTGAATAAAAATACTTTTCAAGGTCTCGATAATGAGTTCAGGTTCAGGAGACAAAGGAAAATTTAATGAAATTCTCTCACGTTGCTTTGTCCTCTGCCATAACTTTAAGTTTGTAAATTAAAGCACGATATTGTAATAACTTTTTCTGCATTCATTTAAATACAATTTCTTTTATGAAACTTAATGTTTTATTTAATATTTCTTTATTCGTGTTGAAAAGAGAATCAAAATTTGTCGATAAATCACAAATCAAATTTCTGTTACTCGTCGAGTGAAGTTTTTTGTCGTTTTGAGTCATTACGTCTCATCATTTCGTCATCATCCTTATCTAATACATCTAAAATGTCATCAAGGCACAGTTCAACATCTGGCAAGCTCTCATCATCACGAAGTGTTGAAGATTTTTTATATTCTGGGAACAACTTGTCGACCTGACCCTCAAAAAACTTCTCAAATGCAACGCCTTTGCTTCGAATGCTTTTGTCTTCCTGGTAATGAATAAAAAAAAACTTTACTTGCAACCTCTAAATCTATTGAAGGTTGCTTACTTTGAAATAAAGAAATGCATTTGTGAAGAGTTGACGACAATCATCGATGAAGCTTTGAACACTTTTGTAGTGTTGGTCGTGATTTGTATCCAACTTCTTCCGTATGCAACTCAAAGATATTGGACTGTGAATGAAGATTCATTAATTCATTTGCAAATATCAAAGGCAATGTTGAGGTAGCCAATTCGACTATGAATTTAATTTAATTAAACAACTCACTTGTTAACATTTTGATAATAACTTTGATTTGTCTCTCTGTTCGGCAATTCTCGAAACTTTTGACTCAAGTCATATTCACAAAAGAGTTCTAAAAGAATTCTGTGAATTTTCTTTAACTCAATTGGTGATAATTCAGATCTGACGTTGAAACTAATCATGTCTGAAGGAAAGAAAGAAGAAAACTTTAAGAAACCACTTAAAAATCAAATAAAATTTCATTTTACCTTTCGGTGATTCATCAAAATTAAAGCACATTAAACAATTCCATGTATCCAACATTCCTTCTTCCGGACTTATCTCAGGAATGTGACAATCAGGATGAAAGACTTTCGGGCAATTATCACAACACATCAACTCCCCTCCATCCATACATGAAGCACACCAATCTTCATTCGGATCGTTGCTTTTACTTCGCCCTGGCGGTGTGTTCAGTCCAGTTGAACTATGAACGTGAGGCGATGATGATTTGTTGCTATCAGCAGGCGAATGAAGTTTCTGAATTGTTTCCAAAATATCCTTAATTGATGACTCTCCAACATTGTCCACGCCCTTCTGAACTAAGGGCGGCGTGTTTGGATTTGTTGACGTTACTTTCGATGCCAACACAGGAGATTTTAAAGCAATTTTGAATTTATCTTGAACTTGATTGCAATTTGAAGGTGCTTGAGGAACATTCGTTAAATTATCTCCTGAATTTTGTTGTGGGATGTGCCAACTGGCGCTGGCATTGAAAGTTGGTTGTACTTGCTGTTGTTGTTGGTTCTGCATTGTTTGAGGTATAAATTGTGGTGATTGTGGGAAGTTTTGCATTGAAGCCTGCTGCATTGAAGTCTGCTGCATTGAAGTCTGCTGCATTGAAGTCTGCTGCTGTTGAGTAATCCAAAAGTTATTATTATTTGTATTGGATCTTATAACAATTGGTAGAATTGTGCGATTTGGAGGCGGCTGTTGGACAGCAGGATTCTTCTGAAATTGATTCGGTTGTTGAGGATGAATGACAACTGCTGGTTGACGAGGGATCAAAGCTCTTAAAGGTCTTTTGGCTGCTTCTATGTTTGAATATGTCAATGGATCGACCATTCTTCGTTGTTGTGGAACTAAAGATGGGCGAAATACTTGCTGACCTGGTACGTTAGGAACTTCTTGTGGTGGCGGTGGTCCACTTCCTCCTGCTGCATAATTCATTCGAGCTTGATTGAGTTGTTGTATGTTTTGATTACGTAAATGATCTTGAAAATAATCTGGAATTAGCAAAATCGTAATAAAGAATGGAAGAAAAAGAATTTTTGTCATGAAATTTACTGTTCGCCATCGAAGGTTGATCGCGCGTAGTTGAACTGACGACATGAGGTTGTGTTGAGGGAATTCTTGGAAAATTTCTTTGATAAAACTGCGGACTTGAAACAGGAAAATTCGGTCGATTTTGATTGTTGTTGATAATGTAAACGCCACTTGTTGATGGTCCTAATGGTTGCTGTTGTTGTTGTTGCTGCTGCTGCATTCGAATTTCAATTTGATGAGGACTTCGAGTCATATTTGGATGTGTTTGAGGAATTTCAGTTAGATTTGGCGGAAATTCTTTGTCATTGACCAAAAATGTTCCACTTCGTGAAATTTCTACAAGAAAAGAATTTTTGTTTTCAATATTATTCATTCAAATGAATCTTTAATTACCATTTATGATCACTGGAATGTTCGGCCACGTTATTTCAAACTTTATTTGATGGTCTGGATTTGGTATATTAACTCGCTCTTCCTTCAATCTTGAAAGGTTCTTAAGTAATGTTTTTTTGCTGTAAAGCATTGCATTGCCACTCCCGTTTAGGACTTTTTCAACAAAATCTACACAATGATTGCTCTGTGTTTGGAGGTCGGTGATGGTTTGATGTGTTTCGTCAAGATTTCTTATTTTATGAGTGCAGAACTGATCGATGTTTAAAATTATTTTCTTCACTCGTTCTGTCGCTGCGTTTATGATTTTCGTAACTTGATTCTGAACATCTTTCAATATTTCGTCTTTCATCGATTCAAAAATTTGCTTTCGTGCTTCGATGTCGTTTACGGCTTTTGATAAAGAATCTTTTTTAAATTTGATAGAATTCAGCAGATCTTCTAAGTGTGTTCGAGTCTCGTCAACCATTTCTTTGGCTAGCATGTAAGTGTGATCGCGATGTTCCATTAATTGGCAATCACGACATGTTAAACGATCGCAAGTCTTGCAGTAAACACTCAAGTTCTCGTTCGGATGTGATTCACATTTAATCAGCATGAGTTTGCCTTTTTCCGCGATTTTCTTAGCGAATTCTTTCAACTTCATTGTGTGATCTTTTGTAATCTTTAAACGACGATGTGCTGCTACACAATTTTCACAAATTAGTGCTGAACAATCGACGCAATAACTTGAAGCAATCAGATCACAATCATTCGAACATTTTTCATTCTTTTCATCTTCCGATGTTTTATTCTCACTTTCTTCGTCAGTCAATTCATCTGCGTTTTCCGAATCTATCATGAAAACATTTTCAATAATGAACTCAGTTGAAGAGTTTTGCTTGCATATTGGACAACTAAGTAATGAATTAATGCTGCATGACTGATGTGATGAATTAATTTTCTGTTTCTCTTGACTTAAACACGATTCACAACAACTATGAAAGCATTCCAATAATTTTGGTCGATCTTTGAAAGACAATCGTTGTAAACACCAACAGCATTTGACCTCTGTTGTAATCTCTTTGGTTACAACCTGTTGACCGTTTGCCTAAAAATATATTTTTGATAAGAAGAGCTATAAAAATTATTGAAATTCAAACAGTTTGTTCAATAAAAAAACAAGTTTGAAATGAGATTTGAAGATTGGAACAAGTGTTTTTTAGTTATGTCGATATATTTAGGTAAACAAATATTTTTTTCCAATTAATCTACTTACAGTGTTGTCGACGCTATCAGGTGAAACTTGGTTATCTTTAGAGGTAGACGCTCCTTTATCAGCATCCATTGGGTCATCTTCTTCGTTATTCGATTCAATTATATCTTCTTCCATGTTAAATTTCATATCATCCAAAGTTTAAATGAGTTGAATTAGACAAAATATTTCTTGACAACTCTTCGTTGAAAAATATGATGAGGTTCTTAATATTTTCAATTTATTTCTATGATTATTAATGCTTCCTGCATTTTTCTACTAAAATCGATGTCAACAATGGCTCAATTGTGATAATTAATGGTAAATTTGAGGATTTTTTTTTATAAAAGAAATAATATGTTTGTTGCTTTAAAAGTCAACCGATTATAACAAACTCAAATGAAATGAACCCTTTTATGAACTGAAACGGTTTTCGTAGCTGTTCAGAAGTTCAGTCAGTTCTGTTCGCTTAATATCTAACGCAAGTTAATTTCGGTCCTTAAAGATTTATTAATTTGCACAAGAACTAGTGATAATCAAATGTCGAATAAGACTTTAGTCGACAAATAATACTTGTGTGAAGTATAAAAAATTAAAGTTCAAATGAAAATCCTTTAAAAAGTCTGTAAGTTTTGCAAAAATTCCTGCAGAATAAAGTTCTTGATTGAAGAGTGAAACCAAAAAAAAAAAAACGAAAAAGCGAGAAACAAGAAAGATAAAAAATTGAACAATGGGAAAATTACTCAGTCTTCTCGCCCGCGATAATAATACAAGTGATTGTTGTGGTCCAAAATCAAGCTATGATATTTTTCTTGATTTCGAGAATGCACAGCCATCTGCCGATGAGCTGGAAGTGTATCAAGAAGTTAATGAAGTTTTAATAAAGTCAGATAAGATACTTGAAGAGATACAAGTTTATAAGGTGAGTGTGAACGATCTGAAATTTCTATCACTCATTCACAATCTCGTAAAAGCGATGATAGTTGGAATTCATCCAATTTCGGCAGCTCATAAACAAATTTTCACAACAGATGCAAGATTAAAGACCGATGAGGTCATTGAACGAAATCACAATCCAATTAACCCAGAGACGATGAGTCTTTTGGTAAGGGAATGCGAAACGATGTCGTTTCAACCAGCAAAATATAAAAAGGGGGAAATGATTTTTGTAAATCCTTCAACAGAAGTTCTATGCAGCAGCAAATGAAAAGGGAAATTACTGCTTAAATTATGCTTTAGTTTCTGAATTGTGTGAATGCGTTGACATGAAAAATTATATTTTGTTTGATTCGCAATATTTCGTTCATTTGAAAAAATGAGAGTGAAAAGTATTCTCATGTTTGATTCATTCCCTAAATGACTGTTCTCGCATTAATGAATCTTATCCGTTTTTTTGTTCTAGCCCCTCCAACGTCAAATCTAATATTGTCAAGTTTCAATTATAATTCTCAGCTCTCATAATACAGATAATTAATTCAATCATGGAATTTCTCATGCAGTTTGGAACTCCTTGATTAATGAATCATGAACTTAAAGCTACCGCAAATTAAAAAAGAACCTTCGAAAAGAAATTCGATTAATTAAACCATTTAAAGCCGCCTTAATGTTTACTTCCAAACATTCAGTGTTTAACGATGTTTGTACAATATTTTATTTGTTGTTTAATTATGATATGGAACAAAGCAGCGAACGACAATGCATAAAAAATGTGAACATTTTTAAAACATCGTTAACCGTTTCAAGGACAATAAAGAAACGTGCATCATGCTTTACATAAGCAACAGCAATATCAACATTGTGATGTTGTCAATTCCTTCTTTCTTTGTTCTCTTTATTTTCACTTTTTTAAAACATCTTGCAGTCCGCGAATGAAAATCCTCTTTAAGCTTCTGAATGTTCAGAATATTTTACGATTCAAGTCTTGCGCATTTTTGTTTCTGAACATTTCGTTTGCTTTGCTCTGCTTCCATCTGATTTTGATTTCCGTGCTCTGAAATGTTTGTTATCATATCAGAGATGATTACTTAAAGAAGTTTTCACAAATCTTCTACCTGAGGTCTCTGTTAAGACAAAGAATAAACATTCTTTAGTTGTAACATGATGATGCGAAATGCTAACTTCCAGATAAATCTTTTGAATGCCTTCCGAGAAGAATGAAATGAAAATGAAAATCTGAGAATATTTCTTTGAAGAAATAAATAAAAGAGAGATAATAAATTCTGCTAAATCTTTTTGAATTTCTGGTTTTTAAAATTCTTCTTTCTTGACTGTCAAAACATAAAGCACACATGTAGATGTAGCTACATGAAAAACGGAAGTAACTTTATTTAATTCATTTATTCCGTTGTTTGAATGATATGTGGAAAGACGACATCAAATATTTACAATGCGTTTTAATTGAATGAAAAGCTGTTATGTTCTTGTTCTGAAATGATGAATGAACGACACTATAATTATCATTAACTGTTGCGCTCTTTGCTTTTCCATTTCACCTGATGAAAATGATTTGTAAGTGAAATGTCATGAGAAATCAGAATCAACGCGTTGATGTTTTTAAAAACTCGTCATTCATCATACTAAATGACTTGCAGAGTTCAAAGAGGAAAAAGTTGTGAAGCTTCTTACCACAAATGAGGTGAATGATAGACAGATAACGTATTCTCATGACAATTGGGTACGGTTACATTATGGCATGCAATAACCTGAGTTAAGGAAAGTTCATTGAACATTCTTACCGTAATCATAAATTGCATGGTTAATTAAAAATGATGTTGTGTGGCACGACATAAACATTACGTCCACATTTGCGCATTAAATAATCAATTGTCGTTTTTTTTTATCTTTATGTTTATCTTATCATCAGCAATTCAGCGAAATTCAAAGATAATGTCGAAATGTATTTTTGGAAACCTCAATGGGAGCAATTTTTCATCAAATTCATCAAAAATGATGCGAAGTTTGTTCATATGACGAAAGCAATTTCCGAGATTTCTTTTTCCTTTTGACGTTCATATTTTCTTTATGAAAATTTGATGATTTGATAAACCAAGCTTCACTTTCAGTATTCAACTTCTAAACCATAAAATAAAGGGAAAATCCTTCCATTTAAATAAATTCACAATGGTTTGAGATGAATGAATTTGCTCAATAAGGCGCACAAACACACAAATTTCCTTTATGAATTCCTTGAAAGATGAAAAATTTCTCTGCGGTTTAGGAAGAAGAAAAATTAATTTGATTCTCCCTTTCTCAAGTTTTTCACTTGAATAATTTGTCAACAACAATCTTACGGTTTTATCAATACTGCTTTTGTTGTTTGCTGATACCAACCATGGTATCGGTTTGGCCTCAAAATATTTGCTTTATCTCTTTTCTCAACATTGGATGTGTTTGTGATTTCTTCATTGCAATTTCAATTAGATTTTTATCAAGTCAATGATTTGCGGGTATTGACATCACGAAAGGAAGAAAGTCATGTTTGATGTTGTGAATGTGATGTCGATAAACATCTAGAAATGCCCCCCGAAAGTACTTTTCATGTTTAGAACCGAAATAAATTTCATGAAACATTTATGAGTGTACCAGAGATGCTTTGCACAGCAATTTCGTACTGTAAATAGTGAATTTGAAAGCTTAAGGGAGAACTGGAATGGAATTTTTCAGGCCTTTCCTTCATTAATGCATGTTAAGGTCTACGATGAGAAGAATTTATTGACGCTCGACATCATTCGGGTTGACTTTTATGAATTGAAAAAGTTTCTAAGGTGCTAAGGGAACATAAAAATTGTTTACAAGGCGGTTTAGGAATAAGAAAGAATGGACAGAAAACTTTATCCTTCCTTTATTATCTTCTTAAGGCTTTTGGCTTTTTAAATATTTTTGAGTGATCTTTGATGTGGGTCACGGTTAACACTCTGGAACTTATGGAACGTCGAGAATATCATCCAAAGCTCGAAGCTATGAAATTAATTCTATTTTTAAATGTCAGTAAACATTTTAACGAGAAACTTCCATATATGAAATCTGACAGAATTTAAAGCTAAATTGAAATGAATATTGGTTTGGGAAAAAAAAAGAAAACTTTTGACATCGTGAAAATGTCAGTGAAAATGGGGAAATGAAAGTTTTTAGAAGCAATTTGTGAGATAAACATGAAGTAAATCTCAATTATGCTTTGTTATTGGCTATAAAGGGGAGAAATGAACGAAGTTTACGAGAATGTAACACAAAGCGATATATCAAAACGCTAACGAGCATTAGATGAGATGCTAGAGTGAAATTGTTATCATCTTTCATTCCTTTTTTATGAAATCGTTTAATGTCAAAACATTACAAAATTATTTTATTTTCTGTCTAGAAATGATGATGGATTTCCATATCAAATAAATTATTTAAATCTCATTAAAAAAATTGTTTTGTTTCTCAATGATGTCCTTGAAACGTCTCAAGGCAAATCATGCGTCCCTTATCGCTGTCAGCAGTAACGGAGGAAGTTCTCATTTGACTTTCATCGCTCTTTTATGACATCATTTTGTTCACGCTTAAATTTGCATAAACATGTACTGAGTGCTTTGTGTTTCCCCTGAGCTACTGAAATTCTTTCTTATTTACTTTGGCTTTGTGTTATTTTAAAGAAAACGCTGCAGAATATTTAAAAAGAAATTTTTCTGTTTTCTTGAAAAGCTGTAGAAGTTTATCGTTTGCTCATTTTGCTGCTTTCAACTGGGTCAACACAAAATGAATTGTTTAAGGGTAGTAAACTTGAATTTCTATCGATTTCTTTCCTTGTCGTGTACTAACAGCAGAACATCTAAAGTTGAATGGTGGAGAGTCATGAAAATGACAATGATTTGTTATGTTGAAGGACTGTGAAAAGGCTTCACAATAATTGTTTTAATTCGCCATTGTTCTTTCCTTTTTTTTCTTGAAGTGGATCAATAAAACATTTCATAATTCATGTTGTGACTGAGTCAACATATATCAATGAGTCTTTGTCCTTTGACACGAATAACCAAAATGAATGAGCTTTGAAGTTATTGGAAAAACATTTAAAAAATGTTTTTTCCCTCAATCTTTGAGCTTTGTCGGAAGTTTCATTAGCAACTGTCAGGTCTGCCAGTTGTTAATAAATTTTTAATTCAAAACATGGCAGACAAATTTAATAATAATTTTTGTTTACATTATCCTAGCCTGTGATCGTTAAAAATTGTAGAAAATCCCTGTTTTATATCACATCACCTGCTGGGAAGGTTTGCACCAATAAACGCCATCATTGCATGCAATAAAATTGTCGTTCATTTTACCATCACATTTTAAACTCTGAAAGTGATTCAAAATTCATTTTCCGATAAAGATTTGCTTACAATTTCGGAAGCGTAAAATGATTTTGATATGCAATTTAAGTTTTTTTATTGAAATCAATTTCTGGAAATGTTGAATAAAATGATGATTGAAGATATTTATTGCATTTAAATTGAGTTTCACGAAGAACGATGTAAACATATTCAAGCTTGACACGAGTTATTTATTGCATCAACATGTGCTGAAGAGATTTTAAAATTCTTTTTTAAAGTCTTTTATTTCTTTTCCTTTAAATGCGAAATAACAAAGCAGAAATATTTCCTTATGCCCACCACAGAAACAAATTATTCTTTCAAGAAGGCGAACAAATAAATGTGCCAGAACGTCTACAATTTCTTTTTTAGGACAACAATCGATTCCTTTTTGTAATTTAAGATGCACTCGAACAATATTTGAAGTTTATCGACTTAAACAAAGCACAAGATTTTTCGTAACAAATCTTTTGACATAGTTTTGTCAACAGAAGTAGACACTGATTGATAACAAATAAAAAATATTTTTTCTGTCTGCTTTAAATGCTTCAAAATAAAATAAAAAAACGAAAGCTTTGTGATGTCAATCAAAATGACAACGCAGAAAATAAATTTCAATTTCTAATATTTATCTTAATTTATGATTCACACTCTATTTGCGAACAATTACAATTACAACAATTGCTATCTTTGATTCTCCATTTAATGCTTTTGTTTATGTGCAATGTGTGCACTCGTGTGTGATTAAGTGCTGCACATGCTGATTACTTTTACATTAAAAACAGTTTTTTATCTTAGATGAGGCAGAAATGGATGTAAATTGAATGTTGTTATGAAAATAAATATTTATTGCGAATCGCTATTAAAGTAGTTAAACGGCAACGTTTCAGTGTTATAGAAATTTCAACATAGTAACTTGAATCGCTGATAATATTCAACCAGCGGCAATCTTACGCGAATTGCGGTTGCGACGACGAACTCATGCGATAAAAATAGTTAAATGAAGTGTAAAGTTATCAGTCTCGACATATTTGATTGAATATTCATGAAAATGTCAAGTCTGGATAAATTTAGAGACTGAGTGGGTTGAAATGTATAATTAAATAACAATTTAATTTACGCGAGGGTGAAACTTAACGAAATGGAATTGAAATGTCATAGATAAGGAAAAGCGAAAGAAGTTCAACTCGTTTGGTTTTTCCATTCGATTTAAATCGCTCGTAAAATCGAGTCAAGTGACCAAAACGAGTCAAGTCTTTGAAACCAATCGAGTCAAGTCAGCCTAATACATGCAAGTAGATCAGCCAAGTCGAGTCACTCTCCTGCCAACATAATTTTTCTGCCATTTTAAGGGTCGCTTTCATAGTTTTCCTCAACTTTTTCCCAAAAGGCAAATCTACTGAATTTATTCCTCATTATTCTTTTTTAGTTTTCTTAATGGAATGACTCGACACACCTGTAGAACGTTTTACTGCGTATCAAAACTCTTTTTCAATGTCACGCATTTATATTTATCCACAAAACAGTAGAAATTGTATCGAATCAGACGAATTGTTGGGGAGCAGATACGAAATGTCACATAATGTCGTGAATGGAATTTATTTATTTCATTTTTTAAAAGCTTTCACAGCAAAAGAATTCATTCAAGGAATGAAAGCGAAACTTTTTTTTGACGATAAGTGATTATTGTTACTGCCTGTTTTAATGAAGTTAAAGCACGCAAATTTCACAGTTGACAGAAAGCGACAACAAGATTATCGACTTAGTAAGGTTTTTAAATAAAATGTTAGAGTGATTTATGTGAAACAAAAGCAAAGTCGAATTTCTTATGTTGCACAAATGAGAACAAATTAAATGTCTTCATATTAAAAGTTCAGAATTGTTTGATGCGAAACAATTTTGATATCAATTTGTTGATCATTGCTTCTAACAAGAATCCATTTAAAATGATATAAAAACGCAGTTTTATTGTTCTATTGTTAAATTTCCAAGCACCCAAAAACAAAAATCATAAAATGAAAATCACTTGCCGACTCTCGTCAATCTGTCGCTGTCAAGTTCACATAAACACAAAATAAATCTAGTTCGCATTTTAAATTTTTGAAAAGTGAGTAGATAGATTGTAATGTGAGCATAACATATTTATAACTTGGCCGCGTCACAATGAGAAACAACAACCGGAAGCGTATCAAAGAAGCATGAAAAAATAGCAACAAAAATCCCGGCTTGTTAGTCAATGTGTTTGTCCATTTGTGGATTCTTGCGTTGAAACATCAATTTAATTGAAATTTGAATTGAGCGAAGTAAGAATTTGCTACGCTTGATCATTATGATCTTTTGTGAATGCTTTTGACTGATGATCAATGATGTAATCGAATTTTTAAACACTCTCATGGCAACTCAAAATATTTCTATTAGCAAAATTAATATTTTGGCGGTGATGTTTCGTTCATTTATGGGAATGGCGTCATACTGTTTTGTTTGCTAGCGGGGAAAAATTTGTCTCATAATTAATGAAGTTTAAAGAAAGATTCTGTGCTACTTAAAAAACAAGAAATCGTTTCTGAACCGCAATCATTCACAACTTAAATTTGGTTTCCTTTAAAACATTTGTGTGGTGAACAAATTTTCTATTTTCATGAAATTGAGACATCAGCCACGCATTTCATTTCAATGTTGTTATGCATAAATCCGCAGAACGATGCGTTTAAATTTTACGAAGTTTCTTCTGATGTTTTACATCCCCACTTGTCATAGTCATCGTCTTAAGTTGTTCATAAAAATTAATTAGTAAATTCTCATCTTTCTTTCTTTAGAAGTGAATAAATTTTAAAAGCAAAATGTCTATTCCTAGAAAAATAGAACTTAATTGATTTAACGTCCAATGGAGATAGAATTCTTTGACTTACGTGACATCAGATGAACGTAAATTCTTTGCATTAATCGCTGATTTGATAACACAAATAAAAAGACATCATCAGAGTTTAATTGTCAGTTTATGAAGTGATAAATCAATAAATGTTTTACAAATTTGTTCAAACTAAATTTAAACACCATCATCATGATCATCATCACCCCAAATCCCCAATCTAAGTAATCACTCAATAAAAAAATCGTTGATTCATTTGACCTTCCATGTCGCCATTGAATTTCTTTTTTGTTCATTGTGTGAACTGCTTGACCGCTCTTTTGTCGGGGTTTCGAATTAGAACAAAAGAATTTTTATGACAACTAATTTATTTATCAAATGTTTGAATGGAGAAATTGGATATTATCGTATCTTCTTTTTAGAGGTAAATGACTAAGACGATTCGCGATTGGCCTTAATCTTGTTAAACGTCAATAAAGCGGTCGTTGAATGTGACAACGTTTTCCGAGATTTCATTTACCAATTGACTACATCAACAAAGAGAAATCATGAAATAATTGGTCGTAAACTTTGTTTTTTTGTCATTTTACAGGGCGCCGGTAAAGAGATACGAGAAGCGATATCAGATCCATCTTCGGAAGTGTTAGAACGAGCATGGAATGTTGTTTTACCTTTAGTTGAGAAATTGAAAGCGTGCTATGAGCACTCATTGGAACTCGAACGAATCGTACCAAAACTTCTCAGTCAACTTGTAGGTGGACGTCTTAATCCCACACAACATTTGGAAACGCAACAAGCTTTAGTGAAACAATTAGCAGAGATTTTGGAGTTCGTGTTGAAGTTCGACGAATACAAAGTGCGTTTGGTTGTTGTTGACAAAATTTCTCTTCGAAGTTAATCTTCTTGTTTCTTGTTTTATTTTTAGATGAAAACTCCCGCAATTCAAAATGATTTCAGTTATTATCGTCGAACAGTGAGCCGTCAGCGATTTGATTATAACAACCAGATGCTCATCAGCACTGAACTGGCGAATCGAATGTCACTTTTTTACGCCCATGCAACGCCCATGTTGAAAGTTCTCAGTGAAGCCACGTCAAAGTTTGTGCAAGATAATGCAAATGATGTCGATAACACAACCGAGACAATCGGGACAATGGCGAAAGTTTGTCTAAGGATGTTAGAGAAAGAGTAAGTGACGATGATTGTCGATTAATTGAAAACATTTTTAAACTTCTTATAAATTTTAGAAAACTTTTATCACAAATTGAAAGAGAAGAAACGCATCTACTCGTTCTTCGTGTTATGGTTGGTCTTGTGATTCTCTACGATCATGTCCATCCTGACGGAGCTTTTGTTCGTTCTTCACATGTCGATGTGAAAGGATGCGTGAAGCTTCTTCAAGCACAACCTGCAATCAAAGCTGAGCCGCTGCTCAATGCTTTACGCTATACGACGAAGCATCTTAACGAGGAAGCGACACCGAAAAACATAAGAAATTTACTCGCTGCATAATATTTGCCGCAATCAAAGCCGCTCAAGTCAAACGCTTGCTTTATCTTGAAAGTTTTAATCGTAGGATTTTTGGTGATCTTAATTGTAGCGATACGTTACGGAAGCGGCGCTTTATGGTCGAATTAGTTCAAACATTGAAATGGGACGAAATTCAGTTGATTTCTTTTATTTTTCCTGAGATTAAAATCACTTTTTAATTGTTGATGAATAATTTTTCTCTTTTGTTTTGGAGTGATTGAGAATAAAATTAGTTGGTTAGTTAAGAGATGAATGGAAATTGAATGCTGACTGAATTTAATTTACTTTGATTTATTCTTAGAGAGACAGAGTAACAGTGAGTGGAGTAAGCGATCGATAGTTGAGCAGTTGTTTACTCCACCAACAGATTCGCTTTTCTTATTTTTGTATTCTTTTTAGTATTATTTTGTTTGGTGACCATTAAATAAATTAACAATGAAAAGTAACTCCGAGAGTATTTTATCAGATTTTTCTTTCTTGCATTTGTTGAAAGCTTAATAAGATTTAACAGTAACAATAATAACCAAAAATGTGTTCGTTGAGATCTTCGTACGTTTTTACTTTTATTAACAAAAACATTTGTCAACACGACCAATCAATAAAATTTTCTTTGAATTCATATTTGATGTCCTTTTGAAATAAAGAAACTTTGGTAATGAACAGAAATATTAATTAAAATATGTTTCGCAATGTTTAATCGCTTTAAAGAAAAAATTTGTAATGTTAATCGCGAGAAAATTTTGAGCCTAACAATGGCATTGTGCCGTCATTTGTCGCATTGGGCACATTGAAGTATTTTTACTATTTAAACCGTTCTCTTTGATGAAATACAAAAACACAAAAATTGGAATTGGGAAAAATGAAAAAAAGCACAAGAATTTAGATAAAAAGTGAGAAATGAAATTGTTATTTTTCTAAATAAAAATATTTGAAGATTCTTCTCTACGATAAATAGAACAACTTTTGATTATCTAATTCTAAGCTCGAAAAATTTGTTAGAAGGAAAATTTTCTTTTATTGGAATCAAAAGCATAATAATAATAACAATAAGAAGAAGAAGAAACTTTATTCATTGATGTTAAATATCCTGAAGATTAGTAAAAATTTACAAGAACGCATAAATGTCCATAGAGCACAACTACAAATTCGCTTTTTACTTGTTCGTTTTTTGTTTATAAGAAACAGAAACCATCACCATGTGATGTAACAAGAAATAGTTAAAACAGACAAGATTCATACATAAATATTTAGATAAAGAAACATTATGATAACAATTATAAGTTTATGTAAATATTCACATAAATATTTTACAGTATAATAAAAACTTGACAATGTCATTGTCACGTGCATTAAATTACTTCCTAGAATGTCATGAACAGGCTGAAAATAAATAATTAAATGAAATACGAGCGCCTACACTTTTTTCTTATCTATCATTGTTAAAAAATAATAAAAAAAGATTTACAAAACACTTGTACACATCTTCATTAAAATATCTTATAATGTGATTGAACATAAAACAAAATTAATAAAAACCGGAAACAAAAGCTATGAAAAGCAATTTAATTGCTTTAAAATTTCACCTTGGAATTCATTCTTTAATAAAACAAGAGAATTCAACTCTTTTATGTTCATTCATTTGCATTTTTGCTGAAAGCTCTTCTATGTAAACTTTAAACATTACATAAATATTGTATAAGAAGCTCTGAAAGTGTTAAGGAAAATGAAAAGTAATAAACAGAAACAAAAAATAATAAAATAATTAAACAAAATTTTTATTTTGATGATTTATGTACTGATTTATGCGATTTAAAAAATTAACATTTTATTTACAAAAACATTTTCTTATAATCGAATTTACCAAATGATTCTTTGAACTTCATTAAAATCTTTCCAACGGACTTGTACTTGAAAGAAGATAATGAAAGTGATTTGATTAATTAAAATATTAACAAGAAGTTCAAGTAATGATAAGGATTTTGTCACTGATTTACGGTTGAGTTTTAATAAAAGAAAAGGAATTAAAAAATATCTCACTTCAATTAACTTTTGTAAGCACAAAGTCGCGATTGTTGATAGTACGAAAAAGATTTTAAATCCAATCGATCCATCCATGGAAGTGAAGATTGTTGACAATCCAAAGATGTAAACAGGAATTATTGCATACTTTGCAAGTGCGTGTCGTTGATAAAATCGCTTCCAAACATAGAACGTATAATGACGATTATCTGCTAACAAATATGGATGAACGAGCGTGTTGTACTTTACAGTTAAAATCATGAACAGAGTCAGAAGAAATATTCCTAACAAACACTTCCAACTGCTGAAAATCTTGTGAAGTCTGAAGAGTTGAGGCAACCATAACGAACATCCAAAGACAAGTACAAATAAACTGAAGTAATAAAGTTGCGGGATGTGAATCGATGCTTCATGAGCTGTTTTGTCACCAACTGTAAACAATTCAATCAAATTTCATTCTTATAACAATTCTTCAATCATAACTCACCAACAATTGATCCATTGATAAAAACAAATGCCATGAAGCTGAAAATGATAACAAAGTATCCAAAATACTCCGAAATGGATCCCACAATGAATTCAAGAAGAATTTTCGGATGCTTTAAATGCGATTTCAAAGCAAACAAGAAATTGTCGAAAGTTGCTGTTTCTCTTTTCATTTTCGGATAAATCTTCAACATCATTTTATCAATTAAATGAACTCCTAATGTTCCTGCCACCCAAATGACGTTGGTTTGTCTCATAATGACACTGAAAGCTCCGAAAATTGCTGACAATTTGTGATGTTTAAGAATCGAGAATAAAAGCATGAAAAGGATCATCGTGATTGAAGGAACGTCGGTATAGTAGACATGACTAAAGAAGTACATCGGTGGTAATGTGGCTAATGCCATTGTTTCCAAAAGCACATCATGATTGTTTTCCTTTTCAGCGTCGTACAAAATTAAAGATTTGATTTCATAGATCAGTAAAATATTGATGAAAGAACAAATCAAAGGAATAAGCCGGAGTGTGTAAGTCTCACAATATTCTGTTGGGATGAAAGATGAAAGTAGATATAATCCTGGAAACGTTGTAATCTTTGAATCCCACTAATAAAAAGAAGAAATTGCAGAATTTCAAGAACCGGCAAATGTAAACAAAGCAATTTTAACCTAAATACCTCAGAGAAATTTCCTTGGCAGTATTTTAATCCTTGTCGGATGTGAAAGAGCTCGTCAATCACTTCACCTGATGTTTCGAACACTTTTTGAAATATTATTATGGAAATAATCGAGTAGATTGATATGAAAAGATATTTTAGAAATCTATCCATGGTGAATTTTTCTCTATTACTTTAAGTTTAAGACTTTTATTTATTTCTATATGCTTTAGATATGCACTATTTGAACATCAAAATTTACACAATTTCATTTGAATCAGTTTATTTTGTTTTTAAAGAATTCACTTTTCCTGAAAATTTTGTGCTAAATAAATTGAGTTATCATAGTTTTGCTTTGTTACACATTTTGCTAAAATTTTCTTAGCAACTTGTTAACTTTTGAAATTTCCGTTATTTTTTTCAAGTTTAAACTGCTAAAAAGCTCTTAAAAAATCCATAAAAATTTGCCATAAGATAATTTATTATTTTATTACAAAAACTTTGTCTTACAAGGTTTTCTTCCTAATTTTAACAATTCTTGATCATGATTATTTAAATCAAACAACATAATTAAACTTTTTTATGACCTTCTCCTATACTGAAAGAATTTTTCATTACCAACTAAAATTATTTTTAATATTAACTGAAACATAGAAAAATTCGTGGCTTATAGTAATGATTTTTTTTCTTTCGATTCTCTGTCTTTTAAAAAGAAAAGTCTGAACCTTTCAGATTCTTTGAAATGAGAAAAATATTTTGTCCGAATCGCGGGTAACATGAAAAGATTGGCAAATCAGAATTATTTTTATATCATGATGGCTGATAAGTTTTCACTTATTTTAAAACATTCTGATTACCGTCTTTTCATTGGAAAAAGTCTGCGCAGTCTTCGAAAGTGGACCCAAAGAATCTTCAATGCATCGATTAAAACTGATGATCGTTTGAGAATTGAATCAAGACCGCGCATTATATGAGCAAAGAGAGATGAAACGAGTCAATGGCAATGTTCGGTGACATCAACAACGACACTTTTCTTCCATCCAAATAGAAGATAACCAATCATTGCTCCAAACACAACAGCCAAACATAGCCAAGTGTTGTATGTCATGAAGATCAACATAAGCATAAGTGAAAGAGTCACTTGAATAAGATGAAGAACACTCTGGTAGAAATGCATCCACGAGAAGATTGTCGGTCTAAAAGAAAAAAGAAAAAGACATAAAAATATTAATAAAAGATTTCCAACTTTCATTTTAATTAGCGTGCAGTAAATGTTAGAAGTAAGTTCAATAAATTTCATGCTATGTTAGTTGAATTTTATATTTTTCGTGCATCAACATACGACAATGAAAGTTTTAAGAAACTTACGGATCACGATGAACGACTTCTCCGACCATGCTAAAGAGTTCAATGAAATTCATGAATTCAATTAAATGTTTTCGATGCATAAACATAAAAAAAAAACTTTTAAAAAAATTGTTAAATTTGTCAACTTACTGGACGACCCGCGAATTATCTTCAGTTGCTCCATTTTTCTCTGGAGCAGACACAGCTCGATATTGTAGCGCATTATAAGACTTCCAGAAGAGATTTTCACGATAATATTTGAGTCCTTCATAAAGAACTCCAAGAATGAAAATGACCAGCATTGACCAAATAAGTCCTGACGTGCTGCTTATCGTCCATTGTTCGAATAAAATTGTTTCGTTGTGTCCACCATGAAACTGAATAAAAGAAGAAACTCATCAATTAAAGTAAATTGAAATGAATGAAGAAGAAAAGAAACTTACAGCCATCTGCATCATATGATGAAGTGCAGCATGACCATTACCGTGGCTTGAATGATCCATAGCGTTATGATCATGAGCTGAAGGCATTAAAGTTGTTGTTGATGGAGAATCTGGAACTGGGAGATGATGCCCATGATCATGATGTGAATGATCGTGACTCATTGTTCACTGGAAAGTTCAAATTAAAAAAAGAATGTAATTGAAGTCTTTGCTTTATCAATTGCCAATCAATTTTCTTCCATTCAACTTTTATTTATAATAAATAAATAGTTGAACATCAACTACCAACTGAAACACCACGACGAGTGTAATGGCTTAATTGATAATAAATGAAATTGCGCACTTTAGTTCCCATTCTGTAGTCAGTACTCGATAAAGCACTCCCAGTTTCGCTTTTTATTCCATGCAAACAAATGGAAGTGATTCGATAAGTCATGAGTGGGTAAACGATATAAAACAAAACTTTCAAATTATCGTGTTTATCATTCCGTCACTTTATTATTTAAGCACGTTTTTTGTTCTGTTTCATTTTGATTAACGCAACTGATGACACAACAAGAAGCGCGTTGATGTCGCAGACCTTGAATCTCTTCTTTTTTTCAATCACATCTATTCGACATACTTTGTTGAAATTATATTTGAGAGTTTTAAAACTTTATTACTGATTATTTGTTTTTCATAAACCTCATGAAGTTATGAGATCTTTCCTGATAAGGAAAAGACCACAAAAAAATCGTTTACAATGTATACCGTGGTTGATAAAAAAAATCATGATAATTTTTATTTACTTTGTTGTTAACTTTCTGAATTTATAAGTTTCTTTCCAGTAATATTCTTATCAGTATGGAATCCCTCAAAAAACTTTGATAATCACTTCAGTCTTAGTAGAATATTTATGTTGCTTTATGTCTGCTTCTTTACCTTGCTTTAATACTTGGAATTATTTGACTGATTTACAATATCAATTGCTGATCTTAAAACATGTCTTGTAAGTAGGATCGACCGTAAAGCAACTGTTCAAGTTGTGAAACTTGTTTTACTATTTCTTTTGTATCTGATCTGTTGAGTCGTTTACTTCATTTCATACCATTGTAGTTGAACAATTCACGTTTCAATTTATTGAAAGTGTCTGCTCTAAGCAGCAACCACTCGAAATAATCTGAATGTGTTCCAAATAAAAACAATGTAAAGTACTTGAGAAATGCAAAAAAGAAAGTTCAATCATTGGACCTCAATAAAGATTTTTTTGCTCTCTTTATCACAGTTTACATGACTTTCACTATCACTGTATAAGGAGATTGAAAACATTTCGCGGTTCAGAGACTTCACTGTTCTTTGTGCAATATTGTTGCATAATTTGTGATCGCAAGACTAAACACAAGAAAAACTTCAACCAGCATGTATTTGAAACTGTATTCATTTATGTATTTCATTTGTTCAACGTTAAAATTGACCGACAATTGGAGGAATGAAAGGAACTTTCTAATTGAGAAGCTCACCTATGGAAATCTTTGATTATGTATTAAAAATAATCAAAGTAGATAGAAAAAGTACAATATATTGTCTCTTTTTCACACTAATTACGTCATCCACGTTTTAAATCTGAAGAAAACTTTGAACTCCTACACAAATATCCTTCGATTGAATCACAATTATCCTTTCAATATTGAAGGATAAATGAATTTATTGAAATTACTGTCACAATTCACGCGGAAAACAAAGAAAAATAAACTAAAGAAAATTAAATCACGTTACTTTGTGCATGAATGACCCGAAGCGACTTTCAAACGTTCTGTATCGAACTAAAAACACTTTTCTTCTGGATATCTTTTTAAAACAAAAACACGAGAGCAAAGAATTAGCACTGAAGAGAAAAACTATGCTAAGTGGGATCTGCTAAAATAAATCCGAGGGGAATGAAAGGTTCGTTACGAGATTTTAGCATAAAATTAGTGCTAAAATTTATTGAAATTTAGAATATCGGGAGAATTAGATTTTAAAATTATTAATAAACATATAAGGAAGAATCTAACTCAGCTCAAAATTATTCTCCCCGATACTCAAGTGGTGAAAGAAATGAAATCTTATGGAATACAATAATCGAACGAGAGTGAAATCAATATAAACTCAAAAAAAGATATTTGGCTTGAATTCTCTCTCAACGGTCATTCTCAGAACATTTTAGAAGGTAAACATATAGAAAAGTGTGTTAAAAATCAATAAAAGTTACATTTTAAAGTTAAATCATGTTATAAAAGTAAAATAATCAACAGATGTATAAAGATTTAATTATTTTCGTCTTAAAATTCAATGCATTTTCTCTCATGTTTGAATGTGTTAGTGAGGAAAACTCATTTAAAAAAATTGAGTTTTGTTTTGTTATCAGTTCTCTTGAACGAAAATATGTCTGTGCTGCAGAGAAACGTAAATTAAAATAAAACCTTCTGTCATTTGTTGCTCAACTCTCGTTCACTGCGGATCTGAAAATCTCTGATGTAATTTTAATATTTTTTTTATTTCTGGATTATTCATTGCAAACTAGTGAACATCGAAAAGTGACTTGAAAAAAAAAGAAGAAAATTCTTTGCAACTTATATTTTTGTAAAAAAAGAGAACTACCTAATATATATTTAATAACGATATATTTTGTGTTGAGGACGTTCGCTTTGGCTCAAATTCACCACCCACATCATATGATCTCAATTCATTAACTCCTACAAAACATCATCACATCATTCAACTCTTTGACACAAAAATAACGGAAGACCGCCACAATGTTCAGTCCCGAATACGAGAAACGTTTACTCAAGCACTTCAGTCCGACGGCTAGAGCTTTGTTCTCAACACCAGAGTCGTCGTCACCATCGGATCGATTCATTCCATGCAGGTTGGTTAATTTACTTAATTTCATATGCACGACTAGATTATAATTTTTTTTTGCTCACTTTCTATTTCAGAAATAACAATAATTGGGAAACAAATTACTCAACATTAGCAAAATCAAATGAAAACTCATCACAATCGAATAAAAAGCAGAGAGAATGTGGTGAGTCAGCTCGTGACAGTTTAGCGTATTCTTGTCTCTTAAAAAACGAGCTTTTGGGTACCAGTATCGATGATATCAAGAATGTATCTGATGATAAAATAGGCTATTTGTCAAGTAGTAATAGAGGATTATTCAAATATCAACCGCCAGTGAGACAGGTAAGCAACAAATTGTTCTTTTGTGGTTTGTCCTCATTACCAAATTATCAACGAAATACTTAAAAAAAGCAAAAATCATTAAAAAAGTGGTCTGTGCAATACGGAACATTAACTTTTACGAGACACTTTTAATTGCATTTGGTTTACTGACCAAGACATTCATTTATTCCTCTTTAGTTATGTTTGAAATGTTGATAACATGATGAAAGATTGCATGTCTCAAAGGTTATCAATGACACAACAAGAACTTCACTCCAACGTGTTTCTTATGTTTCATTTCACTTTGCTTTGGGATGCGATAAGTTTTTTATTTATGTTTGTTTGTTGAGTACGGCACATTTCACACAACGCTTGAGTTCATACAAATTGAGAGTTTTTACTATGAGTTCTTATCGTGAGACTTCTAATGTGAATTAATTAAGCCAACGCAGTGAATTATTTGGCAATTTATATTTGGAAACGACGATAAGAAGTGTTTTGAGAATCGCTAGAAATTTTTTGTTAAATTGAAATAAATTAAAATTATCGTAGGGATGAAAAAAAAATATAATTATTAAATTAACAGATTAAAGTTCAGCCTTCAATTTCATTAATCAAAAAGTTTACATGTCAGATATTAAATTTCAAATCTTTTTTTGTCATCAACTCTTCCTTTGCAAAAAAAAAGCCAGCCGCTAATTTAATTTTATTGTTGAACGCTCCAAATTTTGCGAAAGCTGCGAATTCTTATATTTAACTAAGTCGTGCATAATAAATTTCCTTGTGCGTACTGATGCGTTTCGCGTCGATTTTATGATTATTGTAAATTAATTCAGATTCGCTTAAGAAACCTAATTAAACGTAATTCGTATGTTAATAGCTGCCAAAAGTTTGCTTTTTTCGATTCCTTCTTCTTAACTTTCCCATCAGGTCGCACGCATTTTTCGCGAATTTCTAGAAATTAATTTTTATTGACAAAATCCCGTTGCTGCTTCTTTTTTTATTCCTTTCAACTTACGACAACCTTTGAGTGTTTCTTTCCACTGCAAATGTGATGAAGAATGCATACAAATTTTTTACTTATTCAGTTTATAAAACGTTTGAAATAATTCAAGTTGATTGTACTTTAACAAATATTCTTCACTCATGACATTGACAACATATTCTCGAATTGCGTGATTTTTTAATTTATAAAAAACATTTCAAGAGTTTGTTGAAGACAAGTTTTGGTATTTCTGTTGAGTTATTCAATTAGCTGACGTCTAATGAAGAGGAAAATTGTCGTAGACTACAAATAAAAGTCATAAATATTCTTATCGTCTAAAACTACTCCTTCTGATTTATTTCCAATTGTTTATGCAAAAAAATTACCTTCCGGTGGTAAAACCATAAAATTATTCAATAATTCTCTTTGCTTCTTCTTATCTCGCTTTCCTTACGTCTCGGAAGTTCGATGACTTCATTTTAATGACTTTTTTTTCTTTCCTTGTGAGTGAAACCAAAATCCTAAGAATATAAAGTCAAAAACTAGACACTCAGTAGGTGGGTTTATGAAGTTGCTAATTGAGTCATTCATTTTTATTCTTTTTTCCCCTACAAAGAAATTTGACATTCCATTGCTGATGACACTCTTTTCTCCTTCATATTTATTTGCAGTGATTACTAAATATTTGAATTTTATTTTTACACAAACGCAAATAAGAATTCTTCTTGAGAAAGTCATCAAACTTCAGTTGGAGTGTTCTTAAGATTCCTTCTACTGTTTGCTTCTCATTTTTGCTTTGCTTTTGCACTCGCAGAATTATTTCGAAAAGTATTTCGTATAGCGGTATTTTGCAATATTTTTATTTTTATTTCACGTCTCTTAATTGTCTCCTGTGTGTTGTATCATTGAAAGTGTTGTAACTTACAACAACTGGAGAAAAAATAACAAGAAACGAGAAATAAGAAGAGAATAAACAACTTAAGATTTTTTTTGGTCAAACACCGCGTTAAGAAGAATGCAAACGAAGCAACATTGTTAGTTGAATATCTAATTATTAAAGAAGTCATTTAGTGGTTATTTGAAGACTTTTTTATATTTTTCCTAAGTACATAACATGAAGTTGTCCACTTGATGATCATTCACTCGTGTAGGTTCATCACAAGTTCATTTGATTATTGAAGTCTCGACAATTTCTGAATAAATGAATAAGACATTCTTGTTTGAACGTCTGAACATTCAAAATGCATGTCATCAATTAAGAATAATTCGAGAATTGCAGTAAGTTATGAAATAACTTAGTCGGATTACATTTGAATTTGCTGATTTTTGTTTGTTTATTGTGCAGTAAATTGAGAATGTTTTTGAATAGAATTTCATTCTTATTTTTATATTTTATCAATAGGATTTCAACGATCCATGTCCATATTCGTTGTCACCCGTTACTATTAAGAGCCAGAAACTTCTACGGTCACCAAGAAAAGCAACACGGAAGATCTCACGCATACCATTCAAAGTTCTCGACGCCCCCGAACTACAAGACGACTTTTATCTCAATCTAGTCGATTGGTCAGCCCAAAATGTTCTCGCAGTTGGACTTGGCAGTTGCGTTTATTTATGGAGTGCTTGTACAAGTCAAGTAAGTTCACTTTTGTTAACCTTTTCGAATATGTTATCGCTAATGGAACGTTGGAAATAGTTTATCAAAACACATTCCCATTAGTTACTTGAAAAAGATAAGAAAACATTTTAAATTGATAAAATTTCTTCATGGTTGTAATTAGGTGACGAGATTGTGTGATTTAAGTAATGATGGCAACACTGTAACGTCAGTGTCTTGGAGTGAGCGTGGTCATCAGCTTGCTGTAGGAACACATCATGGCTACGTTACTGTTTGGGATGTCCAAGCTAGCAAGCAAGTAAGTTGGAGTTAATTGTATAAAAAAATAAAGAAAAAGCATGCAAATGTGTAAACTGTGACATAAAAACGTAGTTTCTATTGAAATTGAAACAGTAGTTCAAGTACACTGAAATAATGTTATGTAAATTTACTTTTAAACGGTTTTTAAACGAAATATTTCATGACAAATACAAAAAGTCAGGATATTGACATTCATTGAGTAAGAACTAATTAAGGGAAAAGTTTCAAATTTCATTTCATTGCATTCAATTCGAAGTTGAATTTTATGTCACAAAATTTGTTACTCACTTTAAGTTTTCTATTTCTTGTTTCTCTATTCACAACATCAGAAACAAAAACAATTCTTCGTCTTTAAAGTTTAAACAAAACATTCATGAAGACGACTATGCATCAATAAATTTTCGCACGCACTAAATGACCTAATTTTTCTCTTAAAGGTAAACAAACTAAATGGCCATTCAGCACGCGTCGGGGCTTTGGCTTGGAACGGTGATATATTATCGAGTGGATCGCGGGATCGATTGATTATGCAACGAGATGCAAGAACGCCACCTCAAACATGTGAGAGAAGGCTTGAAGGTCATCGACAAGAAGTGTGTGGGCTAAAATGGTCACCAGGTGAAAATTATTAATTACAATGAAGATAAATTGTTGTAACAATGAGAAATGTTTTCTTTTTCTTCAGACAATCAATACCTTGCAAGTGGAGGAAACGATAATAGACTTTACGTTTGGAATCAACATTCACTTAGTCCAGTTCAATCATATTCAGAGCATATGGCAGCAGTCAAAGCAATAGCTTGGTCGCCACATCATCATGGTCTTCTTGTTAGTGGAGGTGGAACTGCAGATCGTTGTATTCGCTTTTGGAATACACTCACTGGACAACCAATGCAATGTGTAGATACAGGTAAAAAATTCTTTATTAATTCTTTCAATTAAATATTAATGCAAGATCATTAATTTAGGTTCTCAAGTTTGTAATCTCGCTTGGTCCAAGCATTCATCAGAACTCGTTTCAACACACGGCTACTCGCAAAATCAAATTTTGGTTTGGAAATATCCGTCGTTAACTCAAGTTGCTAAATTAACAGGACATTCCTATCGTGTGCTTTATCTTGCATTAAGTCCAGATGGTGAAGCAATTGTCACGGGTGCTGGTGATGAGACTTTAAGATTCTGGAACGTGTTTAGCAAGGCTAGAAGTCAAAAGGAGAATAAAAGTGTTTTAAATCTTTACACAAACATTCGATAGATCATCAATGGTTATAAACGCTTTGATTTCTCATCTTAACTTCAATTGAAATCTTCAAGCAAAACCAAAAACTGTTAACAAGATACGATGATTTTTAGTAGATAATTAAATTGGTTTATTTGAATTTATTCGAGTCATCATTTCTTTAATTTCTTTTTCTCTTTTCTTCTATTTACCTGACCTCCATTAAAAGATTTATTTGAAGATTTGTGATTTTTTTTTCTTGTTTTTGGCTTTATGAATTAGAATTTTTTAATGCTGCTTGGCTTTTCTATCTTTAAGATTTGCAGAGTACTAAATTATAATAAATAACTAACGATACTTAAGACCAATAGATAGATATGTTAATAAAAATATATCATGAACTAAAGATCGATGAAGAGGGGAAAAGAAGAATGTGTGAGAACAGAAATGAAATCAGAAAATTAATATGTTTAAAACCGAACTTTCAATAAATAAAAATAAATTTTTCAAATAAAAACTAAGAAGTTTCGTAATTTATCTTAAAACATTGATTAAACAATTTGAATCCTGTTGGTTGAAATTTCTACTTAGTAGCATACAAGTTCTGATGCTACTCAAGAGCTTACGAACTTTCAACATCTTCGAAAGCTTAAAAGCTTAGATGATTTCGAAAATATTTGAAGCACCCTATGTGAGTTCGAAATTCGAAATTCATGTTGTTTACTCGAAAAAAATGATAAAATTTTAAGAAATCTGCGCTTTAGTTACTAAACAGTGAAATTAAAGTAATGGAAAACGCTAAAGTGAATAAAAAAAATGAATCTGAAACAATAGATGTTGTTTCAAATAATTCTTTAATGGATTTCCTTAAAGATGAGGAGTGTTGTGAAAATGTTGATGAAGTGAGATTATTTAGTGAGATAAATCGACTTGCTGGATTAAGCAAGTCAAAATTTACTGATGAAAATGATGATCGAACGATAGAAGAACTGCTGAAAGAAGCAGAATCTTTAATTAACCAACCAATTGGTGTTAATAATGCAAATTATACAATCTCTTGTGAGAGCACACCCATCGAAATTCGAGAAGGAATAGTTGATCAATATGATTATTCAATACATAAATCATTGAGCCAACATGACGTGAGTAAATCAAAACTTTATTTCAACAATTTTAAGCTTTTGAAACAGCTTTTGCAATCACTCTCATGAACGCCATCGTTTCCTGACCACTACTAATAATTTGGTCAGCTGGAAGCATAAATCCATGACGACCAGTGTCTCGTAATTCAACTGTATATGAATATTTGAACTTCATGGTGCCCTTTGCCCAATCATCGCTACCTCCTGAAGCAGGATAAAGTGAACTTCCAGCTGGTCCAACTGTATAATGAAATCCGCTGACTTTTTTCATCGCCTCTGCAGCTTCTTTACCGACTGCGTCTAAGTCAGCATGATCTGGAGGGACTTTACGGTCGTAGCCCCATGGATATAAAATATATTGACCGTAACTGTGGAATGAAAGTGAAGCTTTAAAGTTTGCAGCGGATTTCACTAGGAAATCTCGGACGGCTTTTGTTTCGGGTTCACTGAAGGCTGAGGAACCAGCAAAAGTTTCAGCACATGGCTGTCGTGATGCTCCTTGTCCACCCCATTTATACCCATAATTCCTGTTCAAATCAACTCCCGTGCAAACGCTATTACGTCTTCGATTCTTTCTCCATAATCGATCATTCGTATGCGAATATTCGTAACCGTCAACGTTCATAACTGGCAGGAAATACCAATCGATGTTCTGAATGTCTTGACTTTGTTCATTCCAGTTCTCAGCAAATGAATCGATTATGAATGTGACAACAGCTGGAGAGATCCATTCACGTCTTTGAAAGAAAGTAAAAATAAGTAAATCTTGTGGGAAATTTTATGTCGTCATTCTCAACGTACGCGTGAATTCCGCCATCGATCCAAATAGCTTTGTTTGTTGGATTTCCATTTGAGACTCTCAAAACTTTTAATGGTCGTCCTTGAATGGATTTTCCTATCTCTTGTTGGCTGCATAAATCAGGGAATGTCTTCGTAAGATAATCCAAATATCCGAAAATATCAGTAAGACGATGATACGAAGTCCAAGTCATTGGATGTCCTAAATAAATGACAACCAAAATCTTTTAAATTCATATTAAAAATAAAATATTTCGTCTTACTATTGGCTTGTCGCTTGATGTTTGTCTTGTGACAAATGCATTCAACAATTTCGTAAATGCTTAATGAACAACAAGTTGCTGCTACAATTTTGTTTGTTACTTTTCAATTAAAATTAATTGTCAAAGTTTCGACAGAATTTCGGGAAGATTTTCTAGCATTTGTCTCAAGATAATTGATTAAAAAGGAAAAAAGGCGAAGGTAAAGAAATCTCGAAAATAACTTCATTGATTTAACAAACCAACTTTAACTTTTCTTTCTTCGCCCTTCGTGATGTTTATTCTTCTTTTTTTTTATTCTTCCCACACACCCACAGAGTTTTTCAATGCTTTTCTTCACACGTTTCACGAAAGGAACATATTTTTGATTGTTTTATTATATTTTTGATTGCAATTCTCCCCTTTAACAATGCGCCATTAAAGTATGCACACAAAACACTTTTTACCATTGAAAGTGAAGTTTTCGAACCCTTTTCGAGACATGTTATGAAATTTATTTCTTTCATTGATAGTTTTTGGGGTGAAAAATGTTTTGCTTATCGGAAAGTTTTCAGTGTTGAATCATTAATAGAGTTTGATAGTTGAATGGAATAAATTTTCCTTACCGTTTCTATTCTGCCATAAGTCAGTGTCATCAAGTGGTGGGTTTTCATTGTTAATTGCTTCTTGAATATCATTAATAACGACATCGAAAGGTACACGAACGTTTTCGAGAAAACTTCTTGCATCATCTACCATCGCACTTTTCACAAACATGTCAACGTATGGTTGCGTTATGTTTGTCATTTGTAAATTCCACATCGACACTTGGAATTGCTTTTGAAGTTCCGCTACAGCATTTTTATATTCTTGTTCGCTATAAGCGATTCTCCACAATTGAGCGCCATCGTACTTAATCGATTCAATGCCAGCACGATCTTTATCGAAAATTACTGGTGGCTCAGTGCTGATGTCAGCTGGAACAGCATCAATCACTTCTGCATCTATGACATCACAACTCGCACAATGAAGATAAAGTAGAACGAAAGACGAAACTTTAACCAGCCACGTCATTGCTCTTGACTTGATTCTAAGATGTTAACTAAACGATTGGTAACTTTTCTTCGGCCTTTTATATCCCTCCAAGAACACATCAACAAACTTTTTGTGTAAAAGCGATGACAGAGAAAGAAAGAGAGAGAAATGAGAAGACCACAACCAGTTATTGAATAAATTAAATTTACTTAAAAACCTCAGAGTGAAAGACGCAAATGTGTGCAATGGAATTAATGAATCAAAGCCGTTAGCTTTATAGCCCATCTTGATGGTTGAAGAACAGAAAGAAACAGAAAATCCGGCGTTTAAATGTTTTTGTTTGTTTACATTTTGATTATTTTGCTATCGCTTTATTTAGATGGTTTCATGGACGTTTAACAATTAAAACTTTAATTGTTTTTTATCTTTTCAGGACGACACAAGTGATCGAACATTGTTAAATGATCAGCTGAATTCATCGTGCTTCGATTCATGTCCATCGTCACCTTCGTCTTCAGCTGAATCTGTGTCAAGTATGAAGTCAAGAAAATCATCAAATGGTGGAACAAACAAAAAGAATGCAAAAAAGAAAAAGGAAAATTCGATAGAAGATTTAATTGTGCAACAAGATGAGGTGGAAAATGTCGAGGATGAGGTGAAATGTTTGTTTAATAAGTCAGTGGATCTTCCATCGCCAACACATTCCATGATGTCGTCAGCATCGCATTTTAGTTGGCAACGTGAACGCGAATTAGAAAATACAAATGAGAATCTTCAAGAGAAACTGAAAGATACTGAAGAACGTTTCAATAGTCTTCGCATTCAATACGATTCCTTGTCCCAAGTCCATCGTGTCTTACGCGAGAATCACGTTCAACTTCAAGAAGAAACAGAAAAGTTGAAAATTGATTTTCAAATTCTTAATGAATGTGCGAATGTTTTACGTTGTGAGTTGCAAACTGCGAAGCAAGATCGAGAGTCAGCGAATGAGGTTTCAAAGATTCTTCAACAGGAAATCGATGAAAATCGAGTGAATAAAAAAAAGTTTCAAGACATTGCTGATCGTGATGCCAAAACGATTCAAGATCTTCAACGACAATGTCGAGAAATGGAAAGAATTTTGATGCGAAAACATCCGGACTCGGTCTCAGCTTTAATTGTTGCGAGCAAGAATTCAAACGCGTCATCTCCAGATGCTTCAACAGCAGCACGAAAACTTCTCGAAGAGAGAATCGCACAACTCGAAGCAGACGCTAAAGAACAAGATAAGAAAGCGCAGGGAATTCTGGCAAATGTCCAAGCACGATTTAAAACTGTTCAAGCAAAATATGAAACTCACATTCAAGATTTAGAAACGCAAGTTTTGAGTTTACAACAAATCAACATGGAACAATCGAAAGAACTTTACGCCAAATCATCGACTGTTGCCAACTCAACTCAAACTCTTGATGTCCCTGAAAAGGAAACTGTCGAGATGCGAACAATTGGCAGTCAAACTAAATCGTCGTCATCATCATCAAATCCGCCAAGTCGCTCAGGAAGTTCACAATCAATTTCTGGCACAAAGAAAAGCACAAATAAGATTCCAAACTCACAATCTGATTCTTCAATTCAACCAAAGGAAGATGCACATTTAATGGCGACAATTCGTGGGATGAGAGTTGAACTTGCAATTAAAGAAAAAGCTGTTCAACGACTCACAAGAGATCTTGATGAATGTAAGAAAACAATTCGAAAACTTCAAAAGGAACGAGACAATTATTTGTTGAAAGAAAAGCCAACAACAGCTTCAGGATCCTTATCCACTTCAACATCCACCGCAACAGCTTTAACAACTTCAAAGAAGGTTTACGATCCAAAACATTACCAGGAGAATTCTGATTCTCAAGCTTTGAAAGCAGCTCTCGAGAAAATCAAAGTCATGGAAACTGACTTCAAAGCGCTTTACGAAAAGCGTGTTAAAGATGTGAGTTTATCACTTTAAATAATTTAAACTGTACTGCCAGAGGGACACGAGGTACTTCTAATATCCTTCGTGTCCCCCCAGTTCAACATTCAACCCTAAATGTATGAAAATAAAATTTTCCTTTCTTTCTCTCTCATCTAACAGCTGAAAACATTGCAGAATGCACATGAACGCGAAATCAACTCAAGTCATGAAACTATAAAAATTCTTCAAAATCGATTAGAAGAAAAAGTCGCACAAGTTGGGAATGTTAAAGAGAAACGACGTGGACCTGTCGATTATTTTGCACTCAAAGCAAAGGTTTGAGCTTTGTAAATTGTTCTTTTATTGTATTTAAACAAAAGTTTTGTGAGCTTATTATTAAATATTTTCACTGCTTTTATGTTTATCTTGTGATTGTTTGACTAATTCTTCACATAATTTCTCCTTTTTCATGAACGCCGCACAACTTTTACATTTTTTGTCTGCATTCGATTGCACAAAACTCAAAATTTGTTCATGGCTCGAATTAAAAATATTTAAAAATTGAAAAACATTAACATCGACAGAAAAAACGTTTCTTAAGAATTAAACGACGGAACATAAACAGATTCGGAATAAAGAAATTAAATTTGAGCAATAATTTGTGAATAACAAAACTTCATGGTGATAACTAAGCATAAATGAATAAAGATGCAAGTAAAATTTCTTTTTTACAAATTCGAAAGCTTTAGCTTTAGTTACAGATTTATTTGAAAAGTTCTGCTTTATTTCATTTATTTTTAATTTAAATTTTGTTACACCGCATGTGCTTTTTTATGATTAATTTTCTTTCGTCATAAAAGAATATAAATAAAAGATGAATGTCAAATGTTACAGGTGACATCACTTGAACGAAGACATTCCGATCGTGAAAAATCCCTCCATTTATTGATTGATGCTCTGAGCAAAGGTAAAGTAAGCAGCTTGTCACCTGACGAAAGTTCTTCGCCGCATTCGTGCACAAGTCCAGTGAATAAAAACTTGTAGAATTATTTAAAATGCTTCTGATGAAACATCTTCCGTCAATTTTCTTCTCGATTTAATTGAAAACTGATCTCAAATCTTCTAAAATTCCTTAGCGCTTAAGAGTCACCAAAGATATTTTTCTATTCCTTTTCTCACAAATAATTAAGTGATGTCTAGTTTAATTAAGTTGCATTTTTCATAACTTTGCACTTATTTTGGTGTGTTATGTGAAACATTAAATAAGATGATAAGAACGCGGAGTCGACACAGTTTCCAATAATTTATTTTTGATGAATTTAGTGCTATTAGAACATGAAGCGTCGACACCGAGTTCTGTATCGTAATAAATTTTATTGAGTGTTGGGAATTAGAGCAACATTAGAGAAAGATTTTAGGAAAAGTAAACCAGAAAATGAAAAATTCCGCCAGAATTGAGTGAAATTTAAGATTGAAAAAATGTTCCAATGATTTTATGAGTCAAAAAGTTAAAATAAATTTTAAAATTAAAATTCTGTGTTAGAGTTTTATGAAATTTTTATTTTCAGGTTGATAGACTGGAGTTTTAATTTCTAAACTTGGCAACTTCGTTTACACTTTAATATTCTCATAGCTGCTGATTTATCAAACTTCCACAGCAATCTTCTTTCCGTTTCATCATCACTTCCTCTTATTTTGTTGTTTATAAAGACATTAAGAACGACGAACTTTCACTTGATTGTAAACAAACACAAACTTTGTATTGAAAGGCCGATAACGATAAGAACAATCGTCCTTCACTCGTCTGATGATCACATGAAACGTGCAAAGATTTTTCGTATAAAAAGCAAAAAATCTTCTTAAAGTTCATCAGAAAGTTTCGCAGTCGAAATGAAGTAAGTCGATTTAATTAATCATCTATTTCTTTTTTTCTTACGACAATTAGTAAAAGAAATATTTTAAAGGATCCTTTTAGTTGCTTTCGTGTTTTGCTTACCGTTTGTCATTGAATCAGTACCAGCACGATTAGAATGTGAATATGTCATCAATGGTAAATCAGTTAAAATTAAAATTGACATTTGACAATTAATAAAAGAATAAAATTCAGATAATTTCTATGAATGTCGAGGAAAAACTGCGACAAAGGAAAATGATTATGCCATCGACACTTTAAATGGCAATCATGTCTCAAACAAGAAGAATGAAGACGTGACTGTGGTTGCTTTACGTGACACAACGATGGAAGTTATTCCGAGTAATCTTAGACGTTGGTTCCCTAATTTCACTGGCCTTGGCATTGTCAATATCAAAAACTTCGTGACTCTTGATCGTTGCCAACTCCATGAATATCCACAACTTAAGGAATTCTTCGCTTATAACATCCCTCAGGTGAAAACCATTCCGAAACGAACTTTCTGGGATCTTATTTATTTGACTGAACTTGTTCTTGATGGATTCACAAACTTGGAGAATCTTGACGGTGATTTATTGGTCAACAACACCGCACTTAATCTTTTCTCAGCTCGCGGCCCTAATAAGATTACACAAATTAATCCCGGATTCTTCCGTAATCAACGTGAAACTTTAATGTTTGTGAACTTTGAGTACACAAACATTGTGAGAATTTCCCATCAGGTGTTTGAAGGTCTCAATAAATTAAACATGGTGAGTTTCTTGGGTGGTGGATGCATTAATCAAATCTACAATCAAGAAATTGCAACACGTTTGACTGGCGATATTAAAACAAAGTGTCAAGATGTCACAGTGCAAGGAAATCTCATTTTAAGAAACAAAAAACAAGATGAGACATCTGGATCATCGTCAGAAGAAACGCAACAATGAAGTTTTTATTTTTAAATGAGTTGAACAAGTGAATGACATTTGACACTTGATGGGTTTTGTTTACAAGTTGAAATAAAGTAACAAAATATTCTCAAACATTCACGAGTATATGAAAGAAAAAGTTTCTTGTATTATTTAATATAAAATTCTTCGGTCAACACACCCCCAGCCATTCCCTTTAATTATTGAGTTGAAAAAATATTCTCTCCACACCTTGATTTGGTGCGCTTGTGAAATAAATATGAAGGAATTATGAATAAATTTCGATTCATTCGCGTTAGTCTCGTGTCATCCTGCAAGTGAAAAAGTTATTGAAGAAGTTTTAAAAGCAATTAAGATGGGAAATAAAATCATAACATTCACACATGATCAGTTGGATCATTACCAAGATTGCACTTTCTTTAATAAAAAGGAAATTTTAAAGTTCGTAAGAAAAGCTTTAAAAATTATTCAACATTAAAACCAAAAATTCTTTTCTCGTAGAGTTTTCAAAAAGTTTAGAAATCTTTCACCCGAATTAATTCCTCTTGACATGACAAGCCCCGAAAGTTCCAAAGTTCGAATGCCTAAGGAAAGAATCATTAAACTTTCAGAGCTTTTGGAAAATCCGTAAATATTTAAAATATGAAATGAAAATTCAAATAAATATTTGATAAATTTTTGTTTGTGCTTTTGAAGCTTCAAAGAAAGAATTTGTGAATCTTTCTCAAAAGACGGATATGGAAATTTGAACTTTGAAGAGGTAAATGAACGAAAAACGTAATAAATTGACAACAGAAATTTAAATAAAAAACAATTACAGTTCCTTGATTGCTTATCAGTATTCAGCGAACACGCTCCAAGGGATTTGAAAATCTTCTACGCGTTTAAAATTTATGATTATGATTCTGATGGCGTGAGTGAAATTTTTTGCTTTCCCTCATTAAGCGTTTTATAATGAAAGCTTTTTTAATTCATTCAGTTTATTAGCGAGGCAGACATTCGCCAAGTCTTGAAAAATCTCACGAAAGGCGAGCTGACTTTTGATGAACAGCAAAAGATAACAGAGAAGATAATTGAAGAAGGTGACATTGATAATGGTAATTACAATTAAATTTCTATCTTAAAGCTTATTCAAACTTTCTTTCTCTCTTAAGATGGAAAACTTTCGTTCTTGGAGTTTGAAACATTAATGAAACGTGCACCAGATTTCATTTCAACTTTTCACATTCGCATTTGAATTTCTGTAACCAAAGAATTAATGACTAAATTAGAATAAAAAGAAGTTCAAAGTTTTGCTTTGACACAACATCAAATCTAAAGATTATTTAATAAATATTTTAATAAGTTTATGTTTGAAACGATGATGATTAAAAATTAGAAATCATTTCCATTTCCCTTCACATTTCCCCCTTAAAATCTATTATGGTTCTGTTACAGCACGTGGACAACATTCTTCGATCCTTGAGATTCATTTATAAAGTTTCAATATTGGAAATCTTTTCAAAATATTTAGTTTGCCACATTTAAGTCGTAATGATAACTTTTGATAAATATTCAAGAGTAGAATTAATTTGAATTCATCCTAATGAGAACTCTTTGTGACTACATAGATTATTACTAGACATCGAATAATGTTCTAATTATTTTAATTTGATAGTGATTTGCTGCAGTAATTTTCTATGATGCATTAAAAGTAGACATTGAATGCTATAAGATTACGGAATCGGCCATTGATCATGATACAAAGTTTCTTTCGTCTAATATTTAATGAGTTTTCATTCCAAAGTGTCCCAAAATTTCTCCAATGACAGAATTCATTCTACAAAAATTTGTTATGTTAGAAATATTTTATCTCACAAATGTTTCTTTTGCTTACCTTTTGATATTTCCACTGGTTTCGTTTTCCTTTAAGAGCTTGTAAATGATAAAGCCAAGAAGTAGTGCTTGAGCAATCGATGAGAATGCTGAAGAGTTGAACGATGTTTTTTCAGGTTTTTCGAACAATTGAATATCCTCCTTATGCATACCATTTTGCCGTTCTAATCGATTCTCTCGGTCGTTTTCCATCCGCCAGGAGCGTGAGTCGTCAACAGTTTCTGATCGTGAATCTAAACGAGCTTCACCTTCTCGTCTTTCTTCAGATCGTTCTCGTCGTTCACCATCAACTCTTCGAGAGTCTAAACGAGCTTCACCTTCCCGTCGTTCTTCAGATCGTTCTCGTCGTTCACCATCAACAATTCTTCGAGAGTCTAAACGAGCTTCACGTTCTCGTCGTTCTTCAGATTGTTCTCGTCGTTCACCATCAACAATTCTTCGAGAGTCTAAACGAGCTTCACGTTCTCGTCGTTCTTCAGATTGTTCTCGTCGTTCACCATCAACAATTCTTCGAGATTCTGAACGGGAGTCTAAACGAGCTTCACCTTCTCGTCGTTCTTCAGCTCGTTCTCGTCGTTCACCATCAACAATTCTTCGAGATTCTGAACGGGAGTCTAAACGAGCTTCACCTTCTCGTCGTTCTTCAGCTCGTTCTCGTCGTTCACCATCAACAATTCTTCGAGATTCTGAACGGGAGTCTAAACGAGCTTCACCTTCTCGTCGTTCTTCAGCTCGTTCTCGTCGTTCACCATCAACAATTCTTCGAGAGTCTAAACGAGCTTCACGTTCTCGTCGTTCTTCAGATTGTTCTCGTCGGTCACCATCAACAATTCTTCGAGAGTCTAAACGAGCTTCACGTTCTCGTCGTTCTTCAGATCGTTCTCGTCGTTCACCATCAACAATTCTTCGAGATTCTGAACGGGAGTCTAAACGAGCTTCACCTTCTCGTCGTTCTTCAGATCGTTCTCGTCGTTCACCATCAACAATTATACGAGAATCTAAACGAGTTCCCCGGTCGTTTTCCATTTGTGTGGTGCGTGAGTTGTCAACAGTCTCCGACCGTGAACTTTTTTGGTCTCGACCTTTGTCTCTAATGAATTTATTTTGGTCATCATCTGGTAAGCCTCTGCGCATATCAGGCATTCTACTCTCTCTCAAGTTATGCTTCCATTCAAGTTCATCTCGATATTCAATTCGTTGTCGTTCACATCTTCTTCCATCACAGTGTGATGATAAAAATCCATCGCTCGAAGCCACCAGAAAGCTCACAAAAATTACAGAAATTAAAATATCGACAATTTTAACAGCCGCCATTTTAATCAATTTATTGTTTTATGTCACAGAGTTCTTTTTCAGTATTTTTATTCTTAATAATTTTCTTTCAAGTCTTTTTTAAATGCTTAAAATTTTCTCTCCTTAGAAGTTGCAATGCAAAGTGTTGTTTCAACACTGATGCTGGTAGTGAAAATTCTTGCTACTTTTATACAAAACTTCACGAATGGCAATTGCGAGATAACGAAATTTTACACTTCATTGTCCTTAATTCATTTACGCGACGCTTTTCAAGTGAATGTGGAAAATTCTTTATTCTTCAACACTTTTCAACAAAGGGTTGGTTGGCTGATATTTCGTGGATATTGTGGTGGGAGAGACATTCATTCATAAAAAGCTGACATATGTGGCTTCTCAATAGAGAAAGTGAACTGCTTCCGTTTATCCACCATACACTCCTTGTTGACGTCACAGTGAAAGCTAATCAGATGAAAAATTGATTTATTATACATTCCAATGAACAACAGAAGCTCAGAATGCGATTTAAGAGTCTTTCAAGTTCAACACTAAAGTAAAATGTGAAATTATGAATGAAACTTTTTGAAGTGAAAGAATTACGTCATTCGGTAACCGAAGTTGGCTTAAACTTATTCATTTTTTAAGAACTTTTCATTGTTTCTCTAAAAATTCCAATAGCCATGAAGGCATTTAATTTTATTTGCACAATTGCACCAGAAAATAATTCAATCGAACGAATTGAACGAATGATTTATAAAGGAATGTCAGTTGCACGATTAAATTTAACGCATGGAACTCATGAATCACATTTTGTGACGATAACGAATGTTCGACTAGCTGCAGAACGATATTTCGTTAGAACAAGTTACGTTTGTCCACTTGCAATTGCTTTTGATTTAAGAGGTCCTGAAATGCGAACTGGTGAAATTATAGAAAGAGATGTGAAAATTGGTGAATCTGTGACTTTAAGTTGCAGTGCGGAATTCTTGACTAAACCAGATGGAAGCACAATTTATGTGGATTTTCCAATAGCAAGAAAAGTGAAGAAAGATCAAGTGATTCTTATTAACGATGGATCCGTAGCATTATCAGTTGATTGTGTTCTTGGCGACAACATTATGTGTCTTGTGAGAAAAGGTGGAATTCTCAAAAGCTTCCAAACATTGTACATTCCAGACATCGTCAATCAACTCTCTCAGCCATTCTTATCCGAGAAGGATAAAAACGACATCGACTTTGCCATTGAACAAAATGTCCAATTTCTATTTGCATCGCATGTCAAAGATGGAGATTCGATTGATAAAATTCGTGAATATCTCGACGACAATTCTTCATCGAAATCAATCAAAATTTATGCAAAGATTCAAAATCAGTTTGCTGTTGATGAAATCGAAGAAATAATTACAAAATTTGATGGAATAATCATTGCACCGACGATTGCAATTAACTTGAGAACAATTCCAGTACTTGAACGTTTAACATTATGGAAATGTAAACGAAAGATGAAACCATTTCTGTTGACAGTTGAATCTGAATTGGAAAGTGCGGAAATTTATCAAATTTCGAATTGGAGTCTTCAGTTTGTTGATGGAATTATTTTGAAACGTGACGCTTGTCGTGATAAATTTGAAGCGATTCAGTCATTAAAAGTGCTTCAAAAAGTAAATTCAATTAAATCTGAAATGTCAGATGAAGAAAATGAAAAGTTCGTTGACTTTTCAGCATTTGATTTCATGAAAGTCGCTTTAGCTTCTTCAACAGTAAAAGCTTCAATAACAAGTGAAACATCTGCTATAATCATCATTACCAATTCAAGTCAACTTCCTTTTCTCGTTTATTATCATCATCCTAAATGCCTTACAATTGTAATCATTGAAGATGAAATGCAAGCTCGTCAACTCAACATCTTGAATCGAATAATTCCTCTCATTGATAACCGAGAATTGAAGACTTCAAAGGAGAATTTTGCTGTTGAATTCACTTTAAAAAGTAAAATAACAAAACCAGGCGATTCAATTGTCATATTAAACGATGAACAGAATTCAATGACAATTCATTACATTCCTTATGATAGACAAAAACAATTAAAATTTTAAATTAAAAACAGAAAAACTCGTCAAATATTTTACTAAAATTTAGTCTCGAGAAACGTCCTCGAAATTGCGGTTTTTATTTATTTATTTAAAAGTCGATTCATTTATTTATTTATTTAAAATAAAGAAACGAAAAATATTATATTAAAATTAAATATATTCACAATGTTTTACTTTCAGGTGGCTACGATTGCTCCATTCACTGCACCATTTGGCATACAAATTTTCTTCTTGAGATGAACTGAAAACTTTTGTTCTGACGTGAAACTTACAAAGCAATTAGTACATTTCGGTTCAATTTCCAGATGAGAAAATTCATGCCATTTGAGATTAAATTTGTTTTTGAACGTAACATTGCACTTGTTGCACGTCAAATTTAAATGTTTACGTGAGTGAAGTGTTAGATGGCTTTTGAGTGAAAATTTCTTGTCACAATGAGGACAGTCGAAGGTTTTCAAATCTCCATTGCTTCTAAAATAAGTTCGACAATCCATGTTGACTTCAGCTGTAATAAAATGACAAATTGAATGATAATTTGAGAGATTTTTAATCACAGCTACTTACAATATTTCAGTTTGTGCTTTTTAAGTCTAAAATTTGTTTTGAACTTTCGATGACACATTTCACATCTGATGTTACTTATCTCCGAGTGCTTCTCTTTAATATGTCTTTTATACGCTTTCATTCCTTCAATAACTTCGTCACATTTCTCGCATACTTTCTTTAATACTCGCGGTTTCAGTGGTGATCTCTTCACTATTTCTTCGGGTGGATGTTTCTCTCTTATGTGAAGTTTTAATGCTTTCTTGCCATCAAGAATTAATTCACATTTGTCACATTTTCTTAGTCTAATTCTATTTTTAACTATTCTATCGGGATTATGATGCATCCCATTATGCTTTTTCAGATCATTATTGCGTTTTGAAGCGTACGGACACATAGAGCAGAAGAACTGCGGTTCAGTCAGATGCGTGTTCATGTGGGACCGAAGCAAGGCTTTCTTCTTAAAAACCTTCTCGCATAAATCACAGATAAATGGATCCTTGTTGGAAGATGACCGTCGTTGTCGTTTTTTAAGTGTATCAGCCGGAACTGCTTCTTCGAGACCATTTGGTTTCCTTCGATGGCATGTCATGTTGTGAATTTTACGAAGTTTCCGACTTTGAAAGAAAATTGTACAACGTCGACATACAAAAAACTGATCTGTGACTGCTGGTGCATGTTCGGGAACTAAAAAAACAAAGAATTTATGAATGTGTCTTGAATATATTATAATTTTACTCACCAAACTGAGCTTTTTGAAGTCTGATGCTTTGTCGCCTTATTACAGGTTCGACTTCTTGTTCGGGAGTTACAATACCATTAGTTAACTCTTCCTGTGGTGGTGGCTTTTCTTCTTCAATTATTTTTTCCTCCTGTTGCTCTGAAACTTTCACAACTTCGTCTGTTTCCTGTTTACATTCAATGGCTTTACTGTCTTGGAGAAGTTCTTGTTTAATTTTTTGGTACTCCTTCTTGCTTTCAATGGCTGTGCAAAAGTCAAGAAGAGTTTTCGCAACCAAACTTTTATTTCGACATGATGTTGTGTCATTGAGTAATGGCAACGCTAGTAGATGATCTAGGTAGTCATCATCATCAGATTCTTCATCTTCGCCATTTAACTTCTCACTTTCTGTTTCTCCATTTTCTTCTATTTTAATTTGGCCATTTACTAACACCTTCTCTTCGATTTCTTTATTCTGCACCATTTTTCATACACCCAAACTTTTGCAATGTCGATTTAATTCATTAAGTCAAGTTTTAAAGACTTTTCGTGATGGAAACATTTAAAAACTACAAAAAGTGGGACAAGTTTACAATTTGAATTTCGAATTTCGAACATAAACAAATTTTTTTTCTGAAATGAAAAAATTTGAATCTAGATCCGTTAGAAATTAATGAAAGCAAAATCGTTTTTATCGAGAAAGATAATAATTTATTCCATAAAAAAAGTTCAAAAATATAAAAGAAAACAACTTTATGTTAGAGAATTTAAATTTAATCCAATTCGAGTTTGAATTTCTTGTTTTGTCTTCGGGCCTTTCGTCAGTGGCTTTTCTGCTGATGTCTGAGGATTCGTTGCTTCATCCTTTGGAATGCGCTCTCCACGTTCGGCTTTAGCATGATCATATTCTTTCAACTCATTGAGTTTAAGATAGAAGCTTTGTAACTCCATTCGTTTCATTCTAAATAACAAAAACTGCATAAATACCTACATAGAAGTTTGTATTAACGTTAAATTCGAAAAAGGAAGGATGACNATATGTGGCTTCTCAATAGAGAAAGTGAACTGCTTCCGTTTATCCACCATACACTCCTTGTTGACGTCACAGTGAAAGCTAATCAGATGAAAAATTGATTTATTATACATTCCAATGAACAACAGAAGCTCAGAATGCGATTTAAGAGTCTTTCAAGTTCAACACTAAAGTAAAATGTGAAATTATGAATGAAACTTTTTGAAGTGAAAGAATTACGTCATTCGGTAACCGAAGTTGGCTTAAACTTATTCATTTTTTAAGAACTTTTCATTGTTTCTCTAAAAATTCCAATAGCCATGAAGGCATTTAATTTTATTTGCACAATTGCACCAGAAAATAATTCAATCGAACGAATTGAACGAATGATTTATAAAGGAATGTCAGTTGCACGATTAAATTTAACGCATGGAACTCATGAATCACATTTTGTGACGATAACGAATGTTCGACTAGCTGCAGAACGATATTTCGTTAGAACAAGTTACGTTTGTCCACTTGCAATTGCTTTTGATTTAAGAGGTCCTGAAATGCGAACTGGTGAAATTATAGAAAGAGATGTGAAAATTGGTGAATCTGTGACTTTAAGTTGCAGTGCGGAATTCTTGACTAAACCAGATGGAAGCACAATTTATGTGGATTTTCCAATAGCAAGAAAAGTGAAGAAAGATCAAGTGATTCTTATTGACGATGGATCCGTAGCATTATCAGTTGATTGTGTTCTTGGCGACAACATTATGTGTCTTGTGAGAAAAGGTGGAATTCTCAAAAGCTTCCAAACATTGTACATTCCAGACATCGTCAATCAACTCTCTCAGCCATTCTTATCCGAGAAGGATAAAAACGACATCGACTTTGCCATTGAACAAAATGTCCAATTTCTATTTGCATCGCATGTCAAAGATGGAGATTCGATTGATAAAATTCGTGAATATCTCGACGACAATTCTTCATCGAAATCAATCAAAATTTATGCAAAGATTCAAAATCAGTTTGCTGTTGATGAAATCGAAGAAATAATTACAAAATTTGATGGAATAATCATTGCACCGACGATTGCAATTAACTTGAGAACAATTCCAGTACTTGAACGTTTAACATTATGGAAATGTAAACGAAAGATGAAACCATTTCTGTTGACAGTTGAATCTGAATTGGAAAGTGCGGAAATTTATCAAATTTCGAATTGGAGTCTTCAGTTTGTTGATGGAATTATTTTGAAACGTGACGCTTGTCGTGATAAATTTGAAGCGATTCAGTCATTAAAAGTGCTTCAAAAAGTAAATTCAATTAAATCTGAAATGTCAGATGAAGAAAATGAAAAGTTCGTTGACTTTTCAGCATTTGATTTCATGAAAGTCGCTTTAGCTTCTTCAACAGTAAAAGCTTCAATAACAAGTGAAACATCTGCTATAATCATCATTACCAATTCAAGTCAACTTCCTTTTCTCGTTTATTATCATCATCCTAAATGCCTTACAATTGTAATCATTGAAGATGAAATGCAAGCTCGTCAACTCAACATCTTGAATCGATTGATTCCACTTATTGATAACCGAGAATTGAAGACTTCAAAGGAGAATTTTGCTGTTGAATTCACTTTAAAAAGTAAAATAACAAAACCAGGCGATTCAATTGTCATATTAAACGATGAACAGAATTCAATGACAATTCATTACATTCCTTATGATAGACAAAAACAATTAAAATTTTAAATTAAAAACAGAAAAACTCGTCAAATATTTTACTAAAATTTAGTCTCGAGAAACGTCCTCGAAATTGCGGTTTTTATTTATTTATTTAAAAGTCGATTCATTTATTTATTTATTTAAAATAAAGAAACGAAAAATATTATATTAAAATTAAATATATTCACAATGTTTTACTTTCAGGTGGCTACGATTGCTCCATTCACTGCACCATTTGGCATACAAATTTTCTTCTTGAGATGAACTGAAAACTTTTGTTCTGACGTGAAACTTACAAAGCAATTAGTACATTTCGGTTCAATTTCCAGATGAGAAAATTCATGCCATTTGAGATTAAATTTGTTTTTGAACGTAACATTGCACTTGTTGCACGTCAAATTTAAATGTTTACGTGAGTGAAGTGTTAGATGGCTTTTGAGTGAAAATTTCTTGTCACAATGAGGACAGTCGAAGGTTTTCAAATCTCCATTGCTTCTAAAATAAGTTCGACAATCCATGTTGACTTCAGCTGTAATAAAATGACAAATTGAATGATAATTTGAGAGATTTTTAATCACAGCTACTTACAATATTTCAGTTTGTGCTTTTTAAGTCTAAAATTTGTTTTGAACTTTCGATGACACATCTCACATCTGATGTTACTTATCTCCGAGTGCTTCTCTTTAATATGTCTTTTATACGCTTTCATTCCTTCAATAACTTCGTCACATTTCTCGCATACTTTCTTTAATACTCGCGGTTTCAGTGGTGATCTCTTCACTATTTCTTCGGGTGGATGTTTCTCTCTTATGTGAAGTTTTAATGCTTTCTTGCCATCAAGAATTAATTCACATTTGTCACATTTTCTTAGTCTAATTCTATTTTTAACTATTCTATCGGGATTATGATGCATCCCATTATGCTTTTTCAGATCATTATTGCGTTTTGAAGCGTACGGACACATAGAGCAGAAGAACTGCGGTTCAGTCAGATGCGTGTTCATGTGGGACCGAAGCAAGGCTTTCTTCTTAAAAACCTTCTCGCATAAATCACAGATAAATGGATCCTTGTTGGAAGATGACCGTCGTTGTCGTTTTTTAAGTGTATCAGCCGGAACTGCTTCTTCGAGACCATTTGGTTTCCTTCGATGGCATGTCATGTTGTGAATTTTACGAAGTTTCCGACTTTGAAAGAAAATTGTACAACGTCGACATACAAAAAACTGATCTGTGACTGCTGGTGCATGTTCGGGAACTAAAAAAACAAAGAATTTATGAATGTGTCTTGAATATATTATAATTTTACTCACCAAACTGAGCTTTTTGAAGTCTGATGCTTTGTCGCCTTATTACAGGTTCGACTTCTTGTTCGGGAGTTACAATACCATTAATGAACTCTTCCTGTGGTGGTGGCTTTTCTTCTTCAATTATTTTTTCCTCCTGTTGCTCTGAAACTTTCACAACTTCGTCTGTTTCCTGTTTACATTCAATGGCTTTACTGTCTTGGAGAAGTTCTTGTTTAATTTTTTGGTACTCCTTCTTGCTTTCAATGGCTGTGCAAAAGTCAAGAAGAGTTTTCGCAACCAAACTTTTATTTCGACATGATGTTGTGTCATTGAGTAATGGCAACGCTAGTAGATGATCTAGGTAGTCATCATCATCAGATTCTTCATCTTCGCCATTTAACTTCTCACTTTCTGTTTCTCCATTTTCTTCTATTTTAATTTGGCCATTTACTAACACCTTCTCTTCGATTTCTTTATTCTGCACCATTTTTCATACACCCAAACTTTTGAAATGTCGATTTAATTCATTAAGTCAAGTTTTATAGACTTTTCGTGATGGAAACATTTAAAAACTACAAAAAATGGGACAAGTTTACAATTTGAAATTCGAATTTCGAACATAAACAAAATTTTTTTTCTGAAATGAAAAAATTCAAATTTAAATCCGTTAGACATGAATGAAAGCAAAATCGTTTTTATCGAGAAAGATAATAATTTATTCCATAAAAAAAGTTCAAAAATATAAAAGAAAACAACTTTAAGTTAAAGAATTTAAATTTAATCCAATTCGAGTTTGAATTTCTTGTTTTGTCTTCGGGCCTTTCGTCAGTGGCTTTTCTGCTGATGTCTGAGGATTCGTTGCTTCATCCTTTGGAATGCGCTCTCCACGTTCGGCTTTAGCATGATCATATTCTTTCAACTCATTGAGTTTAAGATAGAAGCTTTGTAACTCCATTCGTTTCATTCTAAATAACAAAAACTGCATAAATACCTACATAGAAGTTTGTATTAACGTTAAATTCGAAAAAGGAAGGATGACCAAACGGTTCAAATAAATCAGTCACGGTTCAAAAATTTAACTTCGAAACAAGCCCAACCTGAACAAAACAATTTTCAAAAGTTCTTACTTAAATTTAAAGATTTAAAACTACATTCTAACTTTCAAATTATCTCTCATTTATAAATATACATAAACAAAATGCTGTATTTGGAGGATTACCTTGAGAGTGAGTTCAATTAATGATGAAATTTTAGTTTTCTTAATATTTCCCTTGAAAAAATTGAAGGAACGTTTTCCAACTTTTCGAACTTCCAGTCAATTCTGTTTGTTTTTATTTGCTTCACTGGAAAGCAACAATAACAAAACTTGTATTTTTTATTGTTAGGTATCCTGATTAATATGTAACAAATGATAATTTTTGTTTTCTCATACCACAGTGATTGAACATCTTCCTCAAGAACTTCGAGATCGCTTCACTGAAATGAGAGAACTCGATTTGTCAGTTCAAAGTAAGAGAAAGCCGGCAACTTTCTGACATAAGCTTAAAATATAATAAATTATACAATTAAAAATTTTTAGATGACACTGATACTATCGATAAACAAATAAGAAACTTTTTCGGACAGTGTCGTCGTGGTGAGTTAAACGGTATTCATGCTGATGCGCAGTTTGAATCAATAAAGAAAGATTATGAAAAAGTTCGTGAAGATTCAGATGAGAAAGTTCAACTTGCTAATCAAATTTATGAGCTTGTTGATCGTTATCTTCGCCGGTTAGATACAGAATTATTGAAATTTAAATGTGAGCTTGAAGCAGACAATCATGGGATCACAGAATTGCTAGAAAAAAGATCTCTTGAGCTTGATGGTTCATCTAGTGGGGTGAATCAAAAAGAAAATCGATATTTCGGATCGCTGTCATCAAATCGTGTCGATAGAACTGAAAGATATCGTCATAAAGTTGAAAAAAGACGCGATAGTGGAACTCCTTCTCAACTTGGAGCACCTCCAGAAAAACGTCAACCTATAAGTTCTGGCTTAACAACTCCAACTTTACGTCCAGCAACTCCTAATCTTACTCAAGTCCTTCAATCAAATCCATCAGTTAGTTACACAGGTAACGCGACAATAATCGCACAAGCAGCTGCTCAAGCTATCGAAAAGACTCAACAAATGCAACAAGGTCGACGTACAGCAAGTCTAAAAGCATCTTACGAAGCAATTCATGGCAGTGGAATGAATACTCACGAGCTTTTAATGGGACGAGATTTAAGTGCATCTCACGCACTTCAATCAATGGATCGAGATGTGTCGTTTGCATCTACCGCATCTGGTAGCAACAACAATCCAAAACGTTATAAAAAGAAAATAAATTCTATCGGAATGGGATCATCACAGTCACCTCAAACAACAGGGAGCTTACTCCATCAACTTCAGACTCATAGCAATGATTCAGATGAAATGCCATCATCCTATATCAACAAAGACGGGATGGTCGTTGAACAAACGGCTGATGGTGAATGGACTTACGATCCCAACGAACCTCGATATTGTATTTGTAATCAAGTCTCATATGGCGAAATGGTTGCTTGCGATAATGCCGAAGTAAGATCATAGATTTGCGTTATTTATGAATGAATTTCAAATATTTATTTTTTTCTCTCTCGTCCTTTAGTGTCCACTCGAATGGTTTCATTATCCTTGTGTGGGTATCACAACATCACCGAAAGGCAAATGGTATTGTCCAATGTGAGTATATTTGATCGAATAATGTTTATAAATGACGAGTTCAATGTTTTTATTATATTTCTCTCTATCATCACAGGTGTACGAAGAATCGGAAGAAGAAAAATGTTTGAGAAATCGACTGAATGATGAAATATTTTGCCAACATTTTTTTTATTCATTTAAACTTATTAAATAAAAATGTAAGAAATAAAAGACTTTGAAATCTACTCGGAAATTTATTTTTTCTTCCCTATTTCTTTGAATTTGCATTCAAAACTCATTCAAGGCCTTTCAAGGTGATGAAAATTTTTGAAAATCTACGAAGTTCGAGTCTTGATTAAGTTTACTTGAATTTCTGCTTATTTTATTCATCCTGATCAATATTAGTGAATGTTATTATATATTTCGTCATCAGTGAAATATGCAAACAACGCTAAAAAGCTGAAGTAGGAAATAAATTGGGTGTATGGTTCAACTTATTTACATAATTTGTCTTCAACTCGAAACAATTTTTAAGAAGAATTTGCCTATTGTTTCATTATAAAGGAAAATCAGGGTTCTTTACATTTATTTCACCCTTTTTAAAGACGTATCTACAAAGATACTTTATGAATAAAAATGTTTGAAGAAGGAAGGTTTTTAAGGAAATCTCCCACCCATCATTTAAATAATACGTGAATTTATTATGCTTATGATGATGATGATGATTTCATTGGTTTGTTTGTTTTTCATCATCTTACTGTGTACAATAACGACACAACATCTCAATCTCCCAGCTGTTTTTATTTTCATAACCCTCACGATTGTTTCTATTCGAAGCCATCAAAATTACTTAAATCACTTTTGTCATCAAAATGAAAATATGAAATTTGAAATGAGAATTATTTGAAGACCTTTGAAGTGGCTTTTAATTTCATTTCATATGTTTCATTGTGAATGCTTCCCGGACAAATGCTGGAGGAAAATTCAATGAAAGTCAATCAGGCTAGCAGCATCAAATGCACAATTTTGATTTAAGTTGTTTTGTTATTTTGTTTTATTTGTTTTTGTTATTCAATGATGCATTTTTAAAACAAATATTTATTAATTGAGTGCTTTCGGATGGCTATTTGGTAAGTCAATTATTTTACAAAGCAAATAAATGCAAATTTTGAATAACTTAAAGAAATTTAATTGAATGTTTTATTTGAATGTATTTTTGATTCGTGAAAAGCATACTAACGAGAGATTGAAGGGATTAAATTACTTATCATTGATATAATTTTTTTCTTCCTTTTGTCTTGGTAATAAAATTAATAAAATTTATATTTTATTAAATATTTCTGACAAAGTTTTAAATTGTTCAACAAAATTAAGTTTTGTTCGACATTTAGTTAATTTACTTTTTTGCATCATAGTCGGAATGTGAAAATGTCATCAGTAGTGGGAATAGCAAAAAATAAATGATGCAAGGATGTTTTAAACATCACCATATGTTAAAAATATGGTTTTGAGAATTTACAAGAATTGTAGGCGAAGTTAGGAAGGAAATGAATGAATGAAGAGGCTAAAAAAGGAAACTTATGCATTGAAGTAGAATGTTAAACATATGGACTTGGTAATTTCCCAGAATTGCGTGCGAATTTAACAAGAGGCTGAAAAAAAGAAACTCATTTACTAATCATAGAAGAAATTTAACATCTGGTTCTTGCAATTTTCTAGAAATGTAGGCGGAGTGAAGAAAAGTTAAAGAACCAGCAAAATATTTTAGCTCAGTAACAATTCGTACGTTCAGTGGTTAAGACTTAAATAAGAAGTTATTGAAAAAGTTGAATTATATTTTTCTCAAGTATTGTCAAATATTGAGAAAAATCTGTTCAATGATAATTTCGTGTTTAGTTTTTTGACTGAATCATCTATTCTGAATTATTCTTTACTGATAGAATTATTTTTTATCAGTTATAATTTCTAAATAATTTAATCGGTGTCAACATTGGCAGTGTGTTAGTAGATAGTATTTGGCGCCGCAAACGCAAACCTGGTTTCAGGTTGAGTTCTAAGGGAAACGCAAGCAGGTTACAGGTTGAGTTCGCAGGTTTCGCAAGATAAGTCCAGGATTTTAGATTATATCTTGCAAGTGAAATGTGAGAAGTGCATGACGTGTGTGTGAGAAAAAAAATGATCGTTGAGGATCATTCTCGATGTATGTATGTGTGTTTTCATGTGAGAGTAAAAATATTCGTTCTCAAGGAAATTTATATCATTAAATTTTTGTCTATTTAGATCCTGTGAGAAACGCATTGTAAGATTCAAGATTGAATTTTTTTTATTTCGGTATGTTGAAAACAAAAGGCTCTAAGGCATATGTCAACCATTGGAAAAATTAAATTATTGAAATTGAGTTTAGATAAATATTTTTTATAATGCGTAACTCTATCTTTATCACGCAATTTCGATTCATATTTTTTCGCCAGCACAGAGTATAAGAAACAATAATTATCTGTGTTGTGAATATTGATTATACTTTTCTTATATTTAAAACATTTCGGCAAAGGTATGTATGATCCACTTTTAATTGGATTGTATTTATTGATTGATAAAATGAGAAAATTATGACTCTCTAAAGTCCAACCAGATCCTTCATCTTCGTAAATATCTATTTTATTTAAAATTGAATTCAACTGACATTCATAAAATTCGTTAAAATCTGAATATCTTGTGAAAACCTCATATTTTGGCTGAAATTCTCTTTGTGAAAGAACTATTTCCTCGTATTGATCAATTAAATCTAGTTTCAAATAGGTCGATATTAATTTTAATTGTATTTTACAATTAATTAATTGAATTAATTCATATTCAATTATTTTTTTTATAGTTTCTTTTAAATCTATAAATAGTTCATGAACATCAAATGAGTTAACCGAAATTTTATACACAATAATATTACAATTAAATGCGTTTTGTAATATGGTTACACAACTAAAATTATTTAATGTTAAAAAATTCTGACGACTTACGTTATAATTATTTTCTACAGCTTGATTCGCAACATTATTAGCTGGAGATTGATTGATATTGTCATCATTAACCACAGGTTGATTAATAGTCTCATCACTATTCAAAGCTAGATTGTCAGCTACATCAAAGTCATCAGATGGATTCTCTGTTTGTTTCTCCATTGCAGTATCAGGTTGATTTGCAGCATTATTCACTGGTTCATCCATCAGAATTTCTCTATTCCCTTCTAAATTTTCAATTCTCTTATTCAAAGTCTCATTTTCTTTATTCAGAGCATCAATTTGATTTTGGAGAAGCATAATTTTTGAAAGAAGATCTTGACTATTTTCACTTTTTCTTTTATTACTGCTTCCCTCCTTGGTCGTCGTCGGAATCGTTGTTAGAATCATTGTCATCTTGAGAAGATGATGGAATGGTTATTACTTCCATTTCTTCATCTTCTGATGACTCGATGACAATAATTTCAGACACACCACTTTTTTTTCACGTTTTTTATAAAGAATTTATTTTAAATTTAAAAAAGATTTTTTCACTTCTTTTCTAAAAACTTGGATTTGAATATGAAACCTGAAAGTCAAAAAGATAGTTTTAAGATTCCTTTTTTCTTTCTTTAAAATTTCATCATGAGAAAAAAAATCGTAAAATTAAGGATACTTGAAACTTTTCATAAGTTATTAGAAAACTAATATTTATCTGTTAAAATTTTTTTAATATCAAAAATAAATTTTTATTGTATTCCTAAATTAATTTCTATATTCTATTTCTATTTTCTAAATTGTAACAAGTTAATTTTCAGGACGTTCCGATGAAGTTGAGTCGCTGTTATGTTGAAATCTGTCATTTTGAATGTATCAGTAAAACTTTCTAGTTGAGAGAAACTTCTCATATTTATTCTTGATCATAAATTGATGTTGTCAAGGGACTCAGGGATTAATGATGATAGAAATTAACGCTTGACCTGGCACTTGTAAAGTCAAGCAAGTCTTGAAAAAGTTACTTGTTAGTAATTTATCAGTTGAAAAGGTCACATGATAAGCTCCAGCTTTCTCTTGATGTCAACTTACTATGTGAAAAAAGAAAAGTTTCATACAAAAAAAAGAAGAGATTTGTCATCAATAAATTTATTCCCAAATTCTACGTTCGACTTGATGTTTTAAGCACCATCATTTTTCCCTACCCACATGTGATTAAATAAAGATTTGCTTGAATTTTCTTTATGTCAGATTACGTTGGATAACAAAATGAAACCGACAAAAATTAATTCTACGGAAATTGAAACAGTTAAGAAGGTTTTCACGTAGTGTTGTTCATGTCATGACTTCAATTTTCCTCATCACTCGACGTTAATGTCGGTCGATAAAGTGGATCAGAATGAAGTGTAAAAGTTTTTTAGGGGTTGCAGTTGAAAGCTTTCCAGCACATCGCGAATTAAAAAGTTAAAATTAATTTTTTCTTCCCTTTCTCGCGTTGAAAATGTTAAATAAATTTCGTTCTTTTTTAAAGTTGCCAGAAGAAATTTAAAGAATTTCTCTTTGAGAATTTTAAAATCAAACAAACCAAATCGAGATATTTTTCTTAGCGTATTTAGAGATGAAAATGTTTAGCAATGAAATCAATTTAAGGATAGTTTCTACTAAATTCTCATATCATATCAACAAAGATATTTAAAAATGTTTGAAAGAAAAACTAAGTTAAACTTTTCCCATTAGTGAGTCTCATTTTATTCGTCTTTTGTGTTCTGTTTCATATAATGTTCTCTTCACTTTCCACATGAAGTGGTTAAAGGACGAAGAAGTTGTCTTCTCAGCAGTTAATGTCATAGTCAAATGTTATTTGTTATCTTTATTGCTTAATGCACATGGCCATGGATGGGTATAATATGTTCATGAAGTTACAGCACGAATTGTAACAAACATTCAACGAAGATAGAAATTAAAAGTTTACGACGAGCCGAATAGGTTGAACAACCAAAGAAACATTTTGAAATTATGAACCGGAACAGAGGCATTCAAAACTGTATGGAAAGAAATTTTAATTAATAAATTATGTGGTTTTAAGGTTTAAGTTATCTGATTTCACTATAGACTGACATCTTCTTTATAAGTGTAGATGAAATTATGTTGATACATCTTCATGAAAGACATCTACATAATAAAAAAAGAAACTTAGATTCAAGGGAGACGCAGAAAGTTTACGAGCCATCATTAATCTCCAGCATTTAGCAGCATCTTCTAATTAATTTTGCCGCCTTTCTCTTACCTCTTGTGCCAACATGAAGTAAAATTGTAGGAAGAGAAGTAAAGCTACAACGAAGGAGACCAGCAGAACAAAAGCATGAATTATTTTAATTCCAGATCGTTTGAAAACAAAGAAAATAAATAAAACTTTTCGCCATTATTATAAATAATTAAAAGCTTTCATTTGTGCCAATTATATCCTTATTTAAGAGCTTGTAAAAGAAAGTTCATAAAAGAAGAAATCGATATGGTTTCATTGAAAACTACAGAACAACGATTTCATTTACTTGAAAGAATTAAATTATCAAAAGCTTATAGGACTCGCCTGAGGATTTTCCAATATTTTCAATTAAACTTTCACATGACCAATGTTGTGGTTTTTATTAAACATTTTACTATATAAAAGATATTCGAACATATGAAATAAAATGTTGTCTTAATTAAATTATTGACCAATTTACACTCAAGTTGATTTCTCGTTTTGTTAACTTTCCAATCAAATTTTATTTTAAGTTTTGTGAGAGAAGTTAAAAAATTATCGTAACTTCGATGTGCATTAAATGAATTGAACATTTTTGACCACAAGAACTCTCAAAACTTTTCTTGAGAATTTTCCTTTTATTGGTTTTGAAATTTCAAGTCTCACATCGAATTATTATGTAAGTATGAAGTCAATTTCGTATTCGAAAAGTTTTATTAAAATTAGGTAACAATAAATATTGAACTAATCGTTTATCACAACAAAAACAAATTTTGATAACGTACTAAGTCACGTTACAAATCACTTGTTGAAGCAATTTAAATTGAATTGTTTCAAACTGTAAGATTTCTTCGAATGTGACACTGTAAATGGTAACAAAAGTTTAAGTTCGAGTTGATAACAATGTTCAATGTAAATTACATTTAGAATCTGCTTTTAATGTTCAAGTCATGAGTAAAAGAAAATATAACTGGGGCAAGTATTTGACAGCAAATATCTGAGGGAAATTCTTAATCAACATAAAGACATTCCATTTAATATAAAAGTTCAGTCGATGAATTTCTATAATATTTGAAGCAATTGCCACACCTCTCACATTTTAAGTAGAGACACTCAAAGCTTTTCTACTCTGTTCTGTTTATATTCAAATCAGCATTTATATAAATTTTCAAGGTTTCGTAGTAACGTAACATTAAAGAGAAAAGCTTTATGAATTAATCGAAAGACATTATGCTGCTTAAATTTATGATCACACACATTTCGGCAGAGTTGGTATAAAATTTTGTTCATTTAACAGCGACAATCCTAAAAGAATTTTTTAAAGGAATAGAGAAAAATTTCTCTCGTAACATTGTTAGAAAAAAAATGAATAAAAATGTGATTTCTGTTGATTATTGCTGTGTTGAATCTCATGAGCTTTCTCATGAGAAACTGTTTTGATTTTTATCAAGCTAATCTTACTCGTTCCATTCATGCTTATTTGGATACCTTCCTATCCCATTCATGTATTAAAGTATTCATTTGGTTTAAGAGATTGAAACTGGTAAAAGCATTCAAGCAAATATCCAACATCGTTCACCCTAATTAATATTGTGTCCGTCCGATTAATTTCTTTCAAGAAAGGAATTACCGATAAGTGAAGGGAAATAATCTTCCATTCTTTTCAAAAGATTGCCTAATGGACATGCTTTATGATTATGTTGAAAGCCATTCAAATCGGATTTATCTTCTAAGTATTTATAATCCTTATTTGAGAAAAGGAATGAAAGAAAAGAAATCGTTCCAGAAATTGAACAGTGAAATTACGAGATACAAAGATTTACGGAAATTAGAACGAATCTTTTTGATTTCAACTCTCCTTTCAGTCGTATGGGGGTGGATAAAGTTTTTATGCATTGTCTTGTTTGTAAATCTATTTTTAGTCTTGAAGCTTTTTAGATTAAAGTCAAACTTCCAATGGCATAAAACGTAAGTAGATTTGAATATTTCTGTTTCATTCTACTTTTATAAATAAAGAACTTCTCTGACTTCAAGTTTAAAGCAACAAAAAGACCATTCAATAACAAAAAAAGCTAAAAATGTTAGGATTCGTTTGATTCAGATTAATTTAATTTTTTGAGAAAAGCTTCAAGGAGAAGAAACGAAAAATAAAATTTCAATTTTCTGTCATGAAAAGATCTACTTAACGTGATTACAAAAACTTGATACATTTACATTGTATTTATGAAAATACGAATCCCTAAGATCAAATGCAAAGTATGTAATGAATTAAATGGGCTGATAAGCATTATTGTTTGTTCTTTCGTTTCATTTCAGGCCTAAATAAATTTCCTAACTTGGCATAATAAAATTGTAAAAATTGTTTTCCTCAGGACATTTGAACAGATAAAATTAACAATTATAAATAATTTTAAAATTGATTAAACTTCAAAATAAAAAATTAAAGCTCTGTCAATTTTACATCGACGAGCTTATCATCTGAAATTGAAACGAAGCTTAATTTATGAATTTATTGAGAATGAAAAATTATTATTGATTTATTATCATAAATTATTAATGTCTCGGTATTATTCATTCCATAGATATTTTCAAAGATTTTCATCATGTTTCTTTAAAAAATATTTTATTAGCATCCATTTTATGAAACATTTAAAGACTTTTAAAGCACATTTTTGATTATATAATAAAAGAATTAATGAGACTGAGCAATTAATACTTTAAAAGATTAAATTACATGATTATTTGTAAATATCATGACATCTGAGACAGCTTTACTTGAATATGAGAAAAGCTATCTTTATCTAATCTAAAAAAACTTTGAGACACATAATTGTCAGTTTATGTTGATGTTCAAAAAACTTCTATTGAAATCAACTAATTTATTCAATTTAAATCACTTTTATTACATGGCTAGATTATAATTAACTTAAAATTACATTTATGTTATTAAATTCTGAATGCACTTAAATAATTTAATCTTAATGAATTGAATGGCATGAAAAAGTAATTATAATGAATCATTTTTCCATTTTAAAAAACGCGAAAGATTCAGAGTTGAATAAAGTCTATAAAATCAAATCAATTACGCGTTGTAATTCATCATGTATCTCTTCAGGTGTTGCAGTAAGTAAGTATTTGCATGGATAATTTCATCATGCATTCATATGTAAGAAGACTTTAATGTTTTCACCTTTTCCATATGAAGTTTGAGATAAATGGAGTGAAATTCGCCGGAAATGTGCATTCCGGGGTAGGCTTCATGTCCATCATCCACCGATAGTCAATTACAACAACGACGAATATGCTGACGACGAGGGAGAAGAGGGCCGTTACGAAGAGTATGAGCTGATCAGCGATGACGAACAAGATCGCCATCATTGTGAAAATGATGATGTGTTCAACATAAACGAACACAAATATGCTTATCCCTACGATGGCAATGTAAGTAATCTAAGCAACCTAATTTTAATATGACGAGAAGAAAATAAAAAAAAATAAGTTTTAAATTTTAAAAGTCTTTTTATTATCTCATTTATTTTATTGATGTTTGATGATTTTATTGAGAAAGAAAATTGTCTCAACTAATGAAAAGTAAACTCTCAAAACATTTTTCAAACTTTTTCACATCAATTGAATCGATGAGTTGGGTTTATTTTTAATTTTCTAATTTCTTTATAGAAATAGAGTTATTTAGGAATACAATAAAAATTTATTTTTGATATTAAAAAAATTCTAACAGATAAATATTAGTTTTCTAATAACTTATGAAAAGTTTCAAGTATCCTTAATTTTACGAATTTTTTTCTCATGATGAAATTTTAAAGAAAGAAAAAAGNAATATCCTGGTCTGGTGGAGGTGGATCCACCAAACAACAACTTTGACGACGCAGATGATGCTGACGACGAATACGCTGATGACACGATGTATGATGGGCAGATGGAGCCCTACACCGATGAAGAAGATTGTGAAGATGTGTTCAATATTAATGAACACACCTTCGCCTATGCTTATGACCTGGACAACGGAGAAGACGATAATGTTACTGATAAGGAGAAAGACATCAACAAATTTTGTGTCATTTGCACCTTGAAATTTTTATTGAACGCATCAGTACGTCGAATGCAATGCATGCACTTATTTCATAAGGTTTGCATTGACTACTGGGTTTAAAAGAGCATCCACAATCGAACATGCCCATTCTGCAGAGAGCTCATCAACGCCGCTGAAGCAGTAACAACACAATACTAAAAATAGAAATAAAAAAACTTGTATTTTCAGATAAGAAGAAAAAAAATTTAAATTGAAATTTTTAATTGAAAAACAAAGTCTTTTTATTATAACATTTTATTTTTATTGATTTTTTTCTTACAGCAAATAAAAAAACACAACACTCTTATCCTCACATTTTTCACTTGCGAGATACTCAAATTTCATTTGACATTCTTCTCACTCTCAATTCATCATGGATTGCGATTAACATACAAACTCACATACTTCTTATCTCGTATTGCGTTTGCGATGTTAAATACAACTCTTCCTCTTCACTCTTCGTTAGCGTTTATGACGCTATATATTATCTACTCCTATCATTTTATTTTTATTAATTTTTCTTACCGAAGTGGAAGCAGTAATAAAAGAAAAAGTGAAAATAGTCAAGATCTTCATTCAAAAATTATGCTTCTCCAAAATCAAATTGATGCTCTGAATAAAGAAAATGAGACTTTGAATAAGAGAATTGAAAATTGAAAATTTAGAAGGGAATAGAGAAATTCTGATGGATGAACCAGTGAATAATGCTGCAAATCAACCTGATACTGCAATGAAGAAACAAACAGAGAATCCATCTGATGACTTTGATGTAGCTGACAATCTAGCTTTGAATAGTGATGAGACTATTAATCAACCTGTGGTTAATGATGACAATATCAATCAATCTCCAGCTAATAATGTTGCGAATCAAGCTGTAGAAAATAATTATAACGTAAGTCGTCAGAATTTTTTAACATTAAATAATTTTAGTTGTGTAACCATATTACAAAACGCATTTAATTGTAATATTATTGTGTATAAAATTTCGGTTAACTCATTTGATGTTCATGAACTATTTATAGATTTAAAAGAAACTATAAAAAAAATAATTGAATATGAATTAATTCAATTAATTAATTGTAAAATACAATTAAAATTAATATCGACATATTTGAAACTAGATTTAATTGATCAATACGAGGAAATAGTTCTTTCACAAAGAGAATTTCAGCCAAAATATGAGGTTTTCACAAGATATTCAGATTTTAACGAATTTTATGAATGTCAGTTGAATTCAATTTTAAATAAAATAGATATTTACGAAGATGAAGGATCTGGTTGGACTTTAGAGAGTCATAATTTTCTCATTTTATCAATCAATAAATACAATCCAATTAAAAGTGGATCATACATACCTTTGCCGAAATGTTTTAAATATAAGAAAAGTATAATCAATATTCACAACACAGATAATTATTGTTTCTTATACTCTGTGCTGGCGAAAAAATATGAATCGAAATTGCGTGATAAAGATAGAGTTACGCATTATAAAAAATATTTATCTAAACTCAATTTCAATAATTTAATTTTTCCAATGGTTGACATATGCCTTAGAGCCTTTTGTTTTCAACATACCGAAATAAAAAAAATTCAATCTTGAATCTTACAATGCGTTTCTCACAGGATCTAAATAGACAAAAATTTAATGATATAAATTTCCTTGAGAACGAATATTTTTACTCTCACATGAAAACACACATACATACATCGAGAATGATCCTCAACGATCATTTTTTTTCTCACACACACGTCATGCACTTCTCACATTTCACTTGCAAGATATAATCTAAAATCCTGGACTTATCTTGCGAAACCTGCGAACTCAACCTATAACCTGCTTGCGTTTCCCTTAGAACTCAACCTGAAACCTGCTTTGCGTTTGCGGCGCCAGATACTATCTACTAACACACTGCCAATGTTGACACCGATTAAATTATTTAGAAATTATAACTGATAAAAAATAATTCTATCAGTAAAGAATAATTCAGAATAGATGATTCAGTCAAAAAACTAAACACGAAATTATCATTGAACAGATTTTTCTCAATATTTGACAATACTTGAGAAAAATATAATTCAACTTTTCTCAATAACTTCTTATTTAAGTCTTAACCACTGAACGTACGAATTGTTACTGAGCTAAAATATTTTGCTGGTTCTTTAACTTTTCTTCACTCCGCCCACATTTCTAGAAAATTGCAAGAACCAAATGTTAATATTTCTTCTATGATTAGTGAATGAGTTTCTTTTTTTTAGTCTCTTGTTAAATTCGCACGCAATTCTGGGAAATTACCAAGTCCATATGTTTAACATTCTACTTCAATGCATAAGTTTCCTTTTTTAGCCTCTTCATTCATTCATTTCCTTCCTAACTTCGCCTACAATTCTTGTAAATTCTCAAAACCATATTTTTAACATATGGTGATGTTTAAAACATCCTTGCATCATTTATTTTTTGCTATTCCCACTACTGATGACATTTTCACATTCCGACTATGATGCAAAAAAGTAAATTAACTAAATGTCGAACAAAACTTAATTTTGTTGAACAATTTAAAACTTTGTCAGAAATATTTAATAAAATATAAATTTTATTAATTTTATTACCAAGACAAAAGGAAGAAAAAAATTATATCAATGATAAGTAATTTAATCCCTTCAATCTCTCGTTAGTATGCTTTTCACGAATCAAAAATACATTCAAATAAAACATTCAATTAAATTTCTTTTAGTTATTCAAAGTTTGCATTTATTTGCAAAAAAATTGACCAACCAATAGCCAAGTGCCAGGTCAAGCGTTAATTTCTATCATCATTAATCCCTGAGTCCCTTGACAACATCAAAAGGTTTATGTTGTTATCTGCCTTTGAAACTTTTTTTCGAGATTTTTATGAAACCATTAAACTGCTTAAGTAATTAGTTATTCTATCATAGAATAAATATGAGAAGTTTCTCTCAACTATGTATAAAGTTTCACTGATACATTCAAAATGACAGATTTCAACAAAACCAACAGCAACTCAACTTCATTGGAACGTCATGAGAATTAACTTGTCATGATAATGAAGAAAGATTTTTATTTTGATCAAAGGTGAGTTTCTTTTATTATCTTTGAATCAAAATTAGGGGAAATTATCTTAAGCTTTTTTTTGTCATGATTCAGTTTTTCGCTTGTATATCAATTGTGATAAGAATTCGAAATAAAACCAAAAATAATTTGAAGTTTTATATAAAACTGACTTCTTCATTTGGTAGCATTTGTGTTTGATCAGTGAAAGCAAGCAGGTGTAAAAATGGGCTTCATAAAAGTTAATAAATTTCTTTGTTCCATAAGCTTGGAAACCGGGGGGAAGATTATCGGATGGGTAGTTAGAATAAATACTTTCAATTCTAATCATGATAATTTAAATTTAAAAACAAATTTCTTTCATCGAACAGGTTCACCGTATATGTAAGCGTGTTTGCAATATCTTTTATTGCAACAGCTCTTGCACTATATACGGCAGCTTATAACAGGTTAATCAACAGTCCAACGACTACTCCTGAAGCAATTGCCATAGCAACATTTCTCTTAATCGGTAAATTAGTTTCTCAAATAAAAATTTAATCAACAATTATCAGATTTTAAATGTATGTATCATTGATTCAATTATTTAACTTTGTATTTAATTTCAGTTTTTGTAACAGTTTACTCAATTTATTTGATATATTTCGTTATTTATTTGGCTGCTGGTACTCTCCTGATCAGATCTGTCAAGAGAAGGACGTACGCGAATATGATGTTATACATGGTCATACTTGTTATTGGAATAATTGTTTCATTTCTTCAATTATTTTCTTATTCTATTCCTGGAGTTGTTGTCGCATTACTGACTTTGGCTCTGAATATTTACCTCTTGATCTGCATTTATTCTCTTTATGATTTGTTCAGAAATGAAGAGCTGAATCGTGTACAAAGACAACAAGAACAATCCCAACAACCTTCTTCCTTTAATCAACCTACAGTTGTTTATCTTCAAAATGAGGAATCAAATCAACAAGTATCATTTCAAAATTCACCAACAGCACCTCAACTATCACCACCAGTAGTTAATAAGAAATATTGATGAGAAAATCAGTTGCTAAATTCAATTTGAAGAAAACTGAAAACTTAAAACTGTTAAAAAGTTATCAACAATAAATCCATAATTAAGATAAACATTTTTTCTTTTGATTGAAAGCGTGACTAATGCAGTTGTCAGCACCATTTAAAATATTATTAAAAACTTGATCAATAATAAATATTAAAGAATTAATTTTTTATCTCGTACCTAAATTAACTTTTCATGATTCACATCTCTAATTTCGTAAAGTGCTTTGAATAAAATTTGTCTATAAATAAACATTTTTTGATTGAAGAGCACGAGTCGTGTGATTTATTAAACAGATTTGGTTACTCACGAGACTTTTTTTTTCATTTCCCTGTGACAAAAAATCTTCAATCAAGTGTCATGACTCATCTTCGAACTTTGATCAACAAAAATAATATGAAACGTTTCACGATTAAGATAAAATCGATTTTAAAAGACATTCATTCAGAAAAAAGTTTAATTTTTACGTCATTGATAAAATTTGATGTTGGATTTACTGATAGATGACAATCACCGAAAAGCAAAAATAGATATGATAAAATCTTATCACCATTTTTTTTTCAAGTGATATAAAAGGAAGAGAAATTTAATTATAAGACTTTTTACTGTTCAGTGTTTCTTTGAGCTAACATAAAGCAAGAATCTAAAGCAAAATGGCGTGTCCAACTTTCAGTAAATGTTGTTGCTGTTAATACACTCGAAACTGGTGGCTTGATCAATGGTTAAACATACTTGTATCTTTCCTTGCTATTTTTTGGAATGGTTTTATGCTGACTATGAATATAATAGCATTAACTGTAATGGAACCGGATGTATCTCTATTAATGTTAACATTTATGCGATCAATAATGGTACTTTACTATATAACAGTACTTGCAGCATCTATACTGTTGATTGTTGGTATAAGCAAGGTAAAAATACAATATTATAATTAATGTTTTCAATTGTTGTATGAATTTAATAATTTTAAATTTCCAGAGGGATCATACAAAAATGATACTTTTCATGATTTTGATGGCTGTTGGAGTTATAATTGAATTTCTTCAAATCACCCTTGGCAACTGGTTGACGATTTTATTAATTGTTCTCTTAGCGCTGATTCGTCTTTATTTTGTGATTTGTATTTACTCACTCTATGACAAAATTAAAAAAGAAAAACAAGGCCAAGTTAAAGTCTAACTAAGGCTAAAAAATGTTTCAAAACTGAAAAACAAAAGTTTAGAAAGGCTAGTAATAAATTAAGAAATATTCAAATAAAGATTTTACATTCATTAATGTATAAAGTTTTATTAAAAGTTCAGAATGTTCTCGATGAGAATATTTCTACTTTAGAATAATGTTACATACGAAAAACTTTTCGACGAACCTTGGAAAGTTCCAAGGAACTTGTTGCGTTTCTTTTAATGTTTACTGACTTGTAAACTTCTAATTATGAACACTTCAAGAAGGTTGTTTTCAAACGAATTTGAATAAGTAATTTAATTTCTTCTTTATGTTCTCTATAAATTCCACTCCGTTAACTCATTAGTTTCTAATGAGTGCCAAAACTTTATTAAAGTTTATTGAATTAAAGAGCGATGAATTAAATTATAAAGATTTTGGTTTGTAATACAATTCTTTATCGTTAATCAATTCCAATAAATTCAAGGCTCTTTCACCTTCCTTTCATTATAAGAACCCCTTAAGTAAAGAAAATCGTGGAATCAGCATTTGATGATATGCTATCATTATTCTGCCAGTCACGTTTCATTGATTGATGACAATGAGAAGCTTTTAGATCAGAAGACTTTGATATCATGCCGGAAGGGAAAAAGCTTGAACAAATTAGTGTACACTCTTGTGTATCAGAAGTCCCTAAAGATAAACCAAAATCACAGAACAAGAGGTTTCATTATTAAACGATTCATATTGCTATACATAGAACTCCCCTAACGTCAATTTCTTTTGATAAGAATTCATCATATTGTGTACAAAGTATGATGGACTTTTATAGCTTTGTTTGCTTCTAACAAGCAGATCATTTCACTCACTGACTTTACTGTCTATTTCCATGGAAATGTTTGTAGTTTGTCACAACACCAAATGACAATTTCATCAACTTTCTTCTCATGAAATATCAATTTTGAGCTTATAAATAAAAGCCGATTATTATATGTTTACAACGTTGTGTTTATCCAAACTTCGACCGTCATCCATATGTGGCATGTTAAATAATTCCATGAATTCCCAGGTCTATTTGTTCTGTTTATTAAACATGCCTCAAAGGAGATTCACCTGAATAACCTTGAATATCTGCATGTTAGGTTTCAAATTGACGTTTAACCCCATGTACATTTATTTTACGCATCAATCTTAAATTGCAATTTTAATTAAAATTTCTGGGCACATTTTCATAGAACAAGATTTTTTACGATTTTAACTCCTGTTGCTTCAGAAACATTTGTGAAAACTCATAGCGACATAAAATTATTCCCAATTTATTTCTAAACATGTTTACTACTGACGTGATTTTTACGATCCATAAAAGTTGCTGCTTTTTTCTTGTTACTTTCAAAGAAATCCCTCAGACAGCCTTCGGACATTTGAAGAAAACGATATCAAACGATTACTCCCTGAACAGTTTATGTAAGCATTGGACAGTTTATATAAGTTGTGTCTCTATGTAGATATAGATTTAGTCAAACCACTTTTCTCTAGGGATAAAGTATGATCAAACTCTTACTGACCCATTTACATGTCGCAAAAATTTATCTTTATTTCCTGAAATTTCTTTAATGCTCTGCAAACGAAAGGAAAATCCTTAAAAGAAACATAAATGTTAGAAATCGCATAAGCATGTCGGATTGTTTTAACACGGCACCGATAAAAGCTTTCTTTTTCTATCACCAATAAACCATGAACATAAACTGAAAATTTTGTTTAGTTAAGAAGATTACAGCAAGGAACGAAAAATCAAAAAAATTATTTTGAGAAATGTCTTGAGGAATTAGCCAAAATAATTTTGTAACTTTTTATGATGATGTCGCGTACTGCGTTAAGTTCCAAATCTTCAACGATTTAATTGAATTTTTTTGCAAAATTATAAAAAGTGAACGTCAAACATTTATGAGTTAATAGAAGCACTCACATGTATCACCCCATGATAAAGCATGAACATAAACTGAAAATTTGCTTATTATAAAAGATTACAGCATTATGAATCAGCAACATACAATAAATGTTTCACTGCAAGTCATTTTCCACATTTTACTGAAATTTTTTATAAATTTTGAAAACAAAAAGGGAATCGAAATGAGTTTGCATAAAAAATGTTGTTTACATAACTTTTAGCATTATGTAAAAAATCATATAAATACAAAATGTCGTAAATATTCAAACATACTTCGAAATTGTTTTTCTTTCTTCTAAGATGGAAAAAAAAAAAAGATTCTTCGAGCTTTGAACGATAGACAATTTATTTTTATAGAAACTTTGTTAGCTGTAAGCCCCCGAAGATTGTCTTTCAAGCGATGCCCATCAATTCAGCACTGAAGTTCTCAGGCAGTAAAAGCAACATCGAAAGCATTAGAAAAGGGAGTTGATGTTGATGTTTCTGATGTCCATTTGAGAAAGAAACAAATTTCTTTAAGTAAGGTAACCGTAGATAAAGATTCTGTAGATTATCATCTTGCTGTCAACAGTTCAGCGTCTTGGGACATAAAATATTGATCTTAAGTATGAATGTTTTGAAAGCATGAACAATAAGAAAACATTTCTTGGTCCTTCATAGAAGGATTATGAAATTCATTTTCAAGCTTTTATTGGTCAAAATGTGGGTTTGTATCTATTTTTTCTCTTAATGGAATTGTAAATATTTCAAATAACAAGAAACCTTTCGGTCTTCGGTTCGATAATTTTATATGTTGAAAAATCTAGAATAAAATTTTTCTTTCAAGATATAATTCGAAGAAGATTCGCATTGAAGATCTTTCCTCCATTTTTATATCACTTTCACCCTCTCCTCTTCAAATGATTTTTCCGAAACTTCAACATTGATAATGTTGTTTCAATGTGATAATAGAAGGTTATTTATTGTAGTTGGATGCCTTTTACAGGTCGTTTCAGCGTGATGCTAAAATATATCTTACCCTGCTCCCGAAAACATTGATATGAAGTGACAGCAAACAAAAAAGAAGCATAAACATAAAAATTCTCTTATATGCTTGACTTGAATGCGGTTGTGCCGCTTGCGTTACTCGGGTAACGATTCAATGAATTCTTATACATAACAAATTAAGTTAATTACGAATTTCAGATAAAAACTTTTACCTTTCTGATCGGAAATTCCTTCTGAAGAAAGAAAGAACTTCTGAGAGTTATTAAAGGTTTTAAATATTAATCAATGAAAAACGTCGGAAATAATTAAATTTTAAACTTTTTATGAATGCGAAACTTTTGACATTCATTTTCACTTAAACATTGAATTGGGTGAAACTTTATTTATTTTAATTATTTTAATGAAACATAAATAGATAAAATATGAGTAACCTATTCAGTTGGGCATTGAAAAACATATTCCGAGTTTCTCACATAAGTTTCTCAAATGAGAACATGGAAAATTTTACAGTTTTTATAAAACTTTTTCCTAAACATCAGTTGCACAAGATCAAAAGGAATGAAGGAATTTTAAATTGCATTTGAAATAAAGTTGAAAACTAAAAGTTGTAATCAACTAATCAAAACTTAGCCTTACCGTCCTTAATTATACAACTTTTGTTTCATTACTTTTGGGAAGTATTAAAATTTTTCATTTAAATGAATTCAATTGTTGGAGGAAGGTCAAACTGAGACGAATGAAATAAAAAAGCATTTCTCAAGGGCATCTCAAAGAAATGTAAGTAATTGAAGCATTCCAGACCCGAGATTCTTTGTGTATGTCGTAAATTTTGCACTGTAAACTTCAATTTCTCAGAAGAAACGAAGCAAATTGCATAGAAATATTTTCTTTTTTCGATTATTTACAGAAATATGTTATTTATTTTATTGTAAACAAGCTGTCATTTCAAAAATAAATTCCACTTTTTATTGTATTTCAGTGCTCGGATTGCTGTGGATGTTGACATTGAGATTAAAGATGAAATCAGAGTGCGTGAACGATTCAATGCTAAAGCTTGCGAAATATTTTTAAACTGATGCATTATGTCGGGATTTCGTTGATATTTGTTAAATAACATAAAACTCGATACGATAAATTGAATTTCCATCATTGAATGTATGGGCAAGGCAGCGTAAATGTTGAGGTGAATATTTCATGAACAGGATTTCAGGGATATTTGTTAAACAACCTAAACCTCGATACGATAATTTGAATTTTCATCATTCAATGTATGGGCAAAGCAGCGTAGATGTCGAGGTGAATATTTCAAAATTTCGGGCCATTTCAGACTTTTGAAGACGATAAACTCGTCAATCATGCCCGTTGTTACTCGAAATACTTCCAAGAAGTCTTCAAGTGTCATGTTTCCTGACAAACTCGCTTCACCTCAATTTCCATGACCTGAAAAACATCAAAACTTTTCTTGACTTTCTTAAACAAACAACAAGAAATTTTGATATTTTCACAGCAGAATTTCTTTTCATTTCTTTTATTCAGCAATTTAAATTTCAACTTCATATTGTATATCCATAAATAAGTGTTTTTCTTTTTATAACTATTCTCTTTTTCTTATATCAAATTGTTTTTTATACAATGATTCTTTGAATGCTTACAGACACGTTAATTAGTATTTTTGAGAAAATAAATTTTCTTCTGGCTATTTTTGTTTCAAAGATTTCTGCAAAATTCTTTCCTTCCGTAAATTCCTTTCCTAGATATTTATATGCTAATATTTCATCATAAGTCAACATTCCATCAATTCTTTTTATGTTTATTTTTCTTTTTTGGTTCCGCAATCGCACAGTAACGTTGCTTAAAATCCTTTAAAATTTGTTTCATAAATAAAGGAAAAATTGGTCAAGATCCTGTTATCAACTTTTTACAGATTTTCATTTACAGAAAATATAAATTCGCGTTTCTTGCGGATTTTTATAACATAAAATTTATTGACAAAGATTAACAGTCGAAAAGGAAATTGTTTGAAAAAAGAATTTAACAATGTTAGCTTATTCAAGGATTATGCTTGCTCCATTTTCATGATTATGTTTCAATCGAGCATAAATAAGCTTTTCATATGTAGAAACTTCACAAGCTACAAAGCCTGCAATCAAAATAAAAACTCTTTCAAATAATAAAAACGTATTCATTGAGATGTTTCGTTTGATAATCTCATCATTTCTGTTCAATCTAAATTGATTGGACGTACGATGTATTGCAAGTACCACAAAACAGAAGCTGAGATTGATTTTCTCGCACTCCTTTTAAAATTGAAAAATATTATTTTAATAAAATAGCTTCATTTATTTTCAAATTCGACATTGAACTCATATTGAGTACGAGAATCAATAGAATTTTGTGTAGGAAGCGTTAATAAATTATTTTCAGTTTATAAATTCATTGAGAGGATCTTATTTTTCATCGCACGTATACATTTCATTCATTCAAATTTAAGAATAGAAAAACTCATTTAAATCTCAAATGATGTTTTCAAAGCTATGTTTATGAAGAAATTCGATTTATTTCTTAAATTGACCATTGATAAGAAAAATAGCTGCAGAAGATATTATCGATAGAAAGATTTTTAATATGATAAAAATAATAATGAGAAATATTCCGAGCACATTTTCATATAACAAACAAATTACTACAACTATTGGAATTGCGTCGTTTAACACGCAACGACCTCTTAAACTTGAGGAAAGACGTGAGAAATAATTTCGTGCGATTAGAGAACCTGTTGATGCATCTGTCATTGCTATCGCTTTCAGCACCTGAAAGGTTTGATTTTTTTGGCGTTGTTGGTTGACTGACAGATGTGTTCGTATCATAAGACGTTAAATCGCGTTTATTTGTTTTTGTCTGATTTGTTGATATTGACGATGATGTTCCCGGCGCTGACGGATAAATAGACGTGGGCGTACTACACGAAGATGAACTTAAATTATTATTACTATTTCCAACGTTGCTTTTGTTATTATTAAAGAAAGGATTAACACTCTCATAATGTGAATTCATTCCAGGCGTAGCATAACGACGCGAATTCAACATTTTATTAAGGTTCATGGCCGCTGAACCTTCACCCAACTTTGCGCTATGTTGCGGTGTTTTGTCGTCAAGATTGAAATATTTCTCAATATCACTTTCTTCACCATCATCCGTTGATCTTTCATCATCAGTTTCATCTTCGATTGCTTCATTGACATTTTCCTTGTTACTCGCTTCGTTTTTGCTGTTTCCCCCTTTACCCCGTGTAGCGTCCGCAGCGTGTTTCTTATTGCTTTTATTTCTCTCATTACGACGCAATTGCGTAAAGTGATCCGCTGTGCCTTTAAGATACTTTTGTTGCATTGAAGTACACAAGCTGTTTCGTTGCTTCTCAGAAAGGTTACGTATACGTTGAGGGTTCAATTTCACTTGAGCAACGATGCCAACCAGTAACTCATCGACATTATGATCAAGGCCGCTTGAGGTTTCAATGAACTTGCATCCAATTTCTTTTGCCAACTTCTTTCCAGCTGTTAGAGGAAACATTAGCTAAATTAAAAGTCATAATATCAATTATGATTAACTAACCTTGCATCGTCACTTCTCGTTGTCTCTCCAAGTCAGTTTTATTTCCGACAAGAATCGCTCCCCTCGTTAGCATCATTTCGTTTTCTTTTAAATACAAAAGAATTCTTTCAGCTGTTTTAAAAGTTTTCCTATCCACTACAGAATAAACGATAACAAACAAGTCGATGCTGTACGTCGAACAAAATGCTTCCACCTACGCAATGTGAAAGAAAAGAAGAAAACAAATTTCCATTTATTAACAAATAATAAGAAAACAGAATAATAAGAGAAATTGTTATGAATGTCAAGAAAATTTCGAGAAATAGATATGATAGAATGGAAAGAGACATTTGCCTTCCCGCAATGATTTCGATATCAATCACATGGAAAAGAACATTAATTAATAATGAAATATTGTCACTTACCGACATCTCACAAGATGGATGATCAATTATTTCCAAGTCAGTTTCTTGATTGTTCAATAGAACTGAAACAGTTTTTTGTCCATAGTCATCGTCTAGGCTCAAGTCATAAGCGCAAATGTATTCAGATGTTGTGAATTGGTACGTAAGTGCCGTCTTTCCTACAGCTGAATCACCTAACATTGCAATCTTGTAAGCCACATTCTTCTCTTCATCTGAATTTTTAGACAATTCTTTTATTTCATCCATGTGTTGTGATCCCGTGCTGCAAGAGTCGTAACAAAAAATAAACAAATAATAGCTTTTGGCAGAGATTTCCGTTCATATTGTAAATAAAAGTTGTGTATATACATTTTCGAAGCTTCCTCAGATGTTTACATTCTCTGAAAAAGCTCATTTTCGGCTCAATTCTAATACTTTAATCTCATTACAAATATTTAAGTACTCGTTAATAATTTAATTATACTTCTCGTAAGATTTCTCTTTTTCAAGCTACGTTTGCTGATTTTTTTTGTTGAAGTAAATACGAGAAAGATGGTCGCGATTCAATTTCCTTACTTTTTCCTAGGTTTATTAATAAACTTTTTACTTTCACCAAAATGGGATCATGATCTTTATTTAAAAAAGCGTTCTGCTGGCTGGGTGGGTGAAGGTTAGGGGGAGTTATTATAAGCAACTTTTATATTCGCTTGAATAAGCTAAATGAGATTCCCTTTTTCTTCACAAGATTTAATGGAGTTTGAGAAAAGTTGAATTAAACTTACGTTAAACTTTAAGGTTTCTATGAAAGTTAATTGAGAAAATTAATAGCTTGGACTTTTATTCCATGGCCAGGAAAGATTAAACCTTGTGATAAGTAGAGAAAGAGTGAGGCAAACCTCAAAAGCAATCGCATCTTAAAACCCAATTAATAAGTGCCAATGATAAAGAAGTGAATTGATTTTTAATTAAAATTATTCTTCTACTCAAACTTCTTAAGTATTTCCACAAAATTATTCTACAATTGTAAGAAGCTTACGCAAATAAGTAATTTGAATGACGTTAATAAGTTTAATAATTCACTTTTTCAAACAATTTTCTCTCATTTCCCAGGAAAATAAAAAAAAATTCTTTTCTATTTCAAACTTGTACACGAAATGAGAAATTAATGAGTTTGTGTAACTCATTTTAGAAAAAGAATTTAAGTCGCATCAATTAATTTGTCGTATTGTCGACTTTTCCATTCCTTTCAATTCCCAAGTTGGTGCACTGCCATCAAGAAATTACTTTTGAGACCTTTCATATCTCTGAAGGATGGAAAAAAGCGAAATGTAATGTTTAGTTGACATGATGTGGAATAATCTTTCATACAGCGTACCTAATAATAAAAAATAATTTGTTTTGAAATGTTATGTAAAGAATGATGAAATGAGATACAAAACTTTCGGTTTTCTTCCTCTCCCTTTAAGTTTTCACCGACTTTCCAAGAAAAGTTTCCTTTTCGAAATATCTACCAAATAGTTTCATGATTACGTTTAATTTAGATAAGAAATTCCTTCTCATAGATTAAATTAATTACAAGAAAACTTTCATTTAAAATAATTTAATTTCTTGAAAGCTTCGCTTGCTTCCATAGAGACAATTTCTAAATTTATCTTGCTTTTAACATTATTATTTCTGCATTATAAATTTAATAACAACTAAACACACTTGTGACCAGATAATTCTCGCATTTCTAAGCTGTTTTTAATTAAATGAAAACAAATCGCAACACTTCAAATTGAAATATTTTATGAACACTCAACAAAAACATACAAACATGTTTAACATAAAAACAAAATGCATTTAAAAGATTAAATTGCATGAGTTTTGGTCGTAAACAAAGCATAATAAAATGAAATGAAAGCTTACTCCTTGAGATTATGATTTGATGTTTTCATTTCATTCATCACGTAACAGGATTAAATGTTTAATGTTTAATGAATTCGAAGGCTTACCTATTGTTACGATCTCTGCCACTGTTTGATGAAGTAACTGAATTAATAGAACGTGAACGTCTACTCCTGAAGGAAGATGAAAATGAATCATATTTTGCTAGTTTATTGCCCATTCTGATGACTCACCTCATTGAATCCCCCAGATTACATATTCCGTGGGATGTTATGCTGAAACTTCGCAAGCGATAATACTCAATGTCCATGTCAGCACAATGAATAGCTGAACGTCTGGTATCTGCTAAACGTGGCTGAAAATAGAAAACTGAACCTTAGTTACTTAGTTCTAAATATTGACGAGGGTCAAAAACAAATTGTAAATAACGTGCCGTTAAATTGCCATTAATTGAAATCAAGTTTCGAGAGTTGCCGTGGTAAAGGTTTTACTTTGAATCCTTTTCATTACAAAGAAGGTTCTTTAATTGAATGGAAGAAACAAAATTACGCTTCATTCTTAATGAGAAGACCTTCCAAAAGAACGTTAACATTAATCGAAAATAACTTTGCCTCGCTTTATTTGTCTTGTCAGAGTTTGGCTACATAAAAGGTGACTGAAGCGACCCATAAGTTATAAACAACACAAAATTTTCGTTTATCTAACTTATATGAACCTGTTAGCTTTCATCATTGAAAGCATGATGAGTTAACTTTTTTTTTCATAAAGAAATATGAATGCTTCAAAGGATAACGCGCCATGACGCAAGACAAAAAGATGATAAATTACCATGAACTTCAGTAAGTGATAAGAAGAAAAGGACAAACAGTTCCCTGGTGTAAATTTGCTTAGACTCTTCCTTTTTCATAATATTACGCATCTCATATATTCACGCCGTCTTTAACGTCCAATGTTATGTTATGGTCTGGTTTTTCTTGTTTAGATACAATAATATGTGATTTGATGGAAGCAAAGTTTTTCGATCCCAAACAATCAGCAATGGAATGCAAACAAACCAAAACCCGACGTCAATTTTTTTTAGGGAACTTCCGGAATTTGATTAACTTTTCATTTTCTGACTTGACTAGCATAACAAGCTGATCAGTCAACCCAAAAGTTAACATTCACATGGGGTAATTCAATCATTCTCTACTGGCTATTTATTTGCATAAGTATGAAATGTATACATGTGGAAAAATGATCTAAATAAATAAATGAAGCTTCATAAAACATGATATTCCTCATAACTCAGTTGTACTAATGAGAGAAAATAAATTAAATAAAGAACTTCATGTGAACTTATTAATTAAAAGAGTAAAGAAATGAAATTCTATTCAGAAATGTATCCGTGAAATGTATCATAAAACCAAGGAAATGTTATGATAATAAATGTTAAAAACTTTTCAATTTTACACTCATTTTCAATGGGAAATTTTGTATAAACAGAGATATTGCCTTTCAAAGCTTTTAAAGTTCGAAAGTTCTTGGAAAAACATCGTTCGGGTGAATTTTGTCAGCATTCAAGTTTCGAAACAATTTAACAGGCTTTAAAATCGGCTGATTGACTAAATTTGCGTAGCAATCGATTACAAACTTAATTAACTATGTTAATTTGTTTCGAATTAAATTATTCACGAGTTAATCGAGAGAGAAAAATGGATTGAAACCATGCTGACAAAGGCATATTTATAATAAAAACAAAAAATATATAAAAATGATGATGGATGAGTTTTTAATGCCTTTTTGTAAGTTATTAAACATAATTCATTCTCAAATTTGATTAAGCTATTATTTTTCAACTTCATTGATGCATGAAGCTTACCAGTTGATAATAAAATGAATAATAACATTACGTTTACTTATCCAACCTACAAAAGGCTTATGAACCTTTCCCTTTCAATTACTTACCTTTCGGTTTTCAGCTGGCATAGAAGCAGTACGTGCACGTTGCTGTTTCTGATCCGGTGGGTTTGATTTAGCTATAGCCGGTGTGCTGCTTTCAATCGTTTTTCGATTAAATATATTTGGAGATTTGCTTCTTGAGAATTTATCACGACTCTCGAGTCTATTGGGAAGGAAATATATAAAAGAAAGAGAGAGAAGGAAAGTGTTATGGTTGAGAAAACGGTCGATAAACAATCATTACATTCACGTCACGTAGCATGACAGCCTGCTCGCAAAAAAGGGACAAAATATAATTTGAATCAATAACAAAATGGATAACGATTGATATTCATATAGAGTAAGGTATGAATTTGCTGAAGGCTCTAAAGTCATCTCAACAGCAGCGGTAACTTATGTACATCGGACAGACACATTGACTGCGATGGGATCAAAGTAACTTTAATTGATATGAGTTTGATGATTCTAACATATTCTAAGGATTAACATAAATGAAATCGCGCCTTTCAACCTTTCAATCACAAACTCTTCTTCTTTTTTGCATTTGTTGAAAGCTTTTGAGCTTGGAAAATTTCCTGCGTGTTTTAAATCTATACAAAACATCAAAGTTGAAGCCTTTTCAATATCTACGTTACCTGCCGCTTTGTGAAGTTTCGTTCCATGACTGTACATTTTGACGTTGTTGTTCATCATTTTTGATGTAGCGATATAAGTCGTTAGGATTATGTGCAGGTTGTGATGCATTTGATGATGGATTTGGTGCGAAACTTGGTATTGTTCTAGCTAAAGTTATTGAGGAAGCACGTCGACGATTAAATATCGGTGACTTTTGTCGACTTATGTCCTTGTTGGGAAATTAATTTTTAATCATTTCTTTGTATCATAAATTAAATTTATTTTACAATAAACTTACTTCTTTGTTTCGACTCGTCGTTCCTGACGACAATGGTAAAATTGTTGAATCTGTTGATTTTTCATGCATGATGCTGTTGCTTGTGCTGCTGCTGCTATAACTGTAAGGTAAAATACTTGCGCCACTAGAGCTTCGTTCATTCCCTCTCATTGGTTGTGTGATGTTTCTATTGTGACGTAGCAAGCAGAAAGATGAGTTGGTTGATTTGAGCTTTGACGTAAATTCGTCGCTTGACTCGTTATTAAAATCCTGACAACAGTTGTCTGCATAAATATTGAAAGAGAAAATTGTTAAATAAGAAATACAAAAATGTAAATAATTTTAGAATCTGTTTTCTTATTCTTCTGTTTTTAAATGAGACAACAAAGTATTGAAGATTTTGAGTTAATGATTTTTATGTTTTGCTAATGAACGACGTTATGAATAATTAAGTGTTTTGCTACAGAATAGCAAGAGTGTGCAAATATTGCTGTGGAGTGAGATTATTTAGATGCGAGAAGGAAAAAAGTTTGTTTCTGAATTATTTACAACACCGTTTATTGTTGTTGAGTATAAAGATACAAAGAATAAGGTAATTGATTAAGTATTAAGAAGAGAAACTTCTCAATTGAGTTTCCCATTAAAAGTAATTAAGTTGCTTTCTTCAATCCTTCTTGATTTGTCACTTTGGAAACAATTTTTAATTATGTAGAAATTATTGTGTCGTTCCATTTGAAACATTAATAATGAAAGAAAAATCGATTAATGTTTTCCGTCTTCGACGTTTTTCTTCATGGAAATAGTATGAAACTCAATTGCCTAATCATAATCATCGGAAGAATTTCTTATTTTCAGTTATGACAGCGACAATAGGATAATTTTCAAAAACAAATAGATTAACGTCTTGGGTGGGAATCGATCTATTTAAAGGCATTTGAAGCAATTAAATACTCAAACAAGGGGAAGTTCTAGCTTCATAACAATAACCACGCATAACTTAATGAATAAAAGAACGTAATAATGTAAACTACACTTATAGAAGTGTAAACACGGCAGATAAACGAAAAGAATTTCCCAAGACATGAGTGATTTAAAACTCTCTCATTTCAGATGTTTGCACTTTGTTGTTAAGATTTCAGAAGCGAAACTTGAGAATGGCTTTCTCGTAATAAGAATTCTCCTTCTTAACTTTTCCGTTTCTTTTCCAAACAAAGCCGAAAGCGTGTTTATCATCATGTCAGAGACTAATATTTCAATATTATTGACAATTTGTTCAAAAGAAAATTTTCTGTCTATCCGCGCCTTGCTGACGGTAATTAAACTCCGAGGGGGAAAATAATTTTCGTTGAAAGCTTTTCTTACTCTTCTCTTCATTTCATTGCAGAGAATGAGCGAGCAGATTTTGATTAAATTCTCAATCTCATGGATAATCAAATTGATGACGCAATTTTCTGGTTGAATGTTCGACAAGTCTTCGTTTTGTAGAAGGTAATTGTGTGACGAGATTCTTTGGGAATCAAGAGGAAAGTAATCGACTTCAATGTTTGCATCGAAATTAAAGATCAATTCAACTTTCTCTAAATCCGTTTTGGGTAAAAAGTAAATTGCGCCATTTTATTTACGCTTTTCAGAGATCTCTCAAACTCATCAGCAACCATCATTTATGAAACATTAATTTGTGACATTATTATTACAGTCAATGAGCAGACACAAAACAATTTTCATAAATGCCATTCACTTGTTAGACGTTGGAGTTATCAAAACACTTAAACAAGCATAAGATGTCTTAGCGTAAAAAATCTTTATCTCTTGTATCTGTGGAAATTATGCCGCAAGTTTTATTTCTTTCCTTTGATTTTTTTAAACACTTCCCTTTTCCAGCCTTATCATAAAGCAAACAATTTTAAGTTGAATATAAACATGAACTTTTATGCTGTCGCTTTAGGATGAGCTTGAGGAGAAAAATAAAAGGCAAGAAATGTTTTCATTTTCAGAAAATGAAGGAAAATGCTTATATTGCGAAATTAAATATTAAGATATAAAAGATCAACGGCAACGTTAATAAGCTCTCAAGAATTGTAGGCTGTTCATTTTAAGAGATGATTAAAGTTTTGTAGTTGCTTTCATTGAATTTTTTCTTACTAAATTTAAGAAATGATAAAGTTTGTTGTTAGGTCGACTACAAAATCTGAACTTTTATTAAAGGAAAAACTAATCTTACAGATGAAACATAAATTCTTAAATCATCTGATGTTATTTTCGTCACATTTGATATTTTTCTGTTTAAACTTCTGAAGTCAAATCAATCAACATTTGTTTTGCTGTAAAAGCAGAAAAAAAATTATCTTTCAATCTTTCTGTCTTCAAAGGCTTCAATGTTCATGATATCTTCATGATGAGTTCAATTTATACGGAAATAAATGTGCGATATTTATTTTCGTAACTGTCAGGATCGTTAAACGTTTCGTTTCGTGTTTCTGATGATGTAACTTTGTGTATTGTCTGAAGTTGTTAATGTCAAACAGCAATCGTCAATATCAGTTGAAGAAATCAAGGAAAGACATAAAAACTTCATAAGTTACACCTTCGATGATTTCCAATGACATGATTGAGTAAAAAAGTCATTTTGATGTTTTGCAAGAAAACAAGAAAAAAAGACTGGAAATGATTAAATTGAATTTCAGAGAAAATTATTCGCTGTTGCTGTTTCTCTGATGAAATTTATTTATAGCGTAATTATCTAAAGCTAGAATAGAAATATTTATCGTTGATAATTTATGGCATTAATAACTTTTGTTGATGTTGTGTTGAAAAAGCCAAACGAAGCGCTTAAATATGCTTAGCAATAAATGGTTTCTGATAGAGTCATTTGAGATAGAACTAATTGTTCTCTCTGCTGATTATACGAGATTAAAGAGCGACAATAGAAAAACTTTTTCAATTGTGAATCAAAAGAATAACTTGAAACCACTTGGCGCTAATGATGAGTAATTTTCCATTAAATTTATTGATGTCTGTTATAGAATATTTTCTTTATCATCAAGTCTAGTTATTTAGGAGTTATGAGTGACTGTTCATAATGTTTAATAAGAAAACAAAAATCGATTATCTAAATTAACAACTTTCATCATTTCAAATCTTATTATTTAACTTCTTCAGGAAGAATTTTTTCCGAGAAAGTGTTGAGCATTCATTTCATTTCAAACTTCATAGAGTGATTGATGTACGACGAACAAAATGGAGAAATGTTAGAGGAATGAAGCATAAATAACAAGATATCTACAATGATGAAAAATATGAAAAAAAAAAATCAAAGATAAGAGAATTTTGGCGTGATGTAAGTTTACGTGCTTGTCTCTTTAATGTAACGATGAGAGATGAAGTGTACTGTAATGAATTCTTCTACCACAAGCGTCCCTAAGCAGCGTGTAAATATTTGCACAAAAACTTACCGCAATTACATTTGCGATTCTCAAAACCGTCATAATTTGGCTGTTGTGATTTATTGTGAACGCTACTCGTGACGGGGTGAATGTTTGCATCTGCTGAGAATTTTCTATTAAATTTCATCGATTTCTCATCATCACTAAAGTTACTGTAATTGTTGGTGTTGAGTTCATTGAATTTTAATTGCGATCCTAGACTAACGAAGCGTCCATCGGAAAAATCATGATTTCTACTCGATCTATCTAACGCGTCGTTATCTAAACGGGCACTATTAATATTCTGATGGAGGCAACAATATTTAATGTGTTTACAAAAGTCAGGTGCGACGGTACCAGCCGTGCTGCCAAAAACATTTTGGTGCTTTGGTGTTGTGCGGTTGACGCGGAAGGAGTTCGACCGAACAGCGACACCTGCTGATGGAAGAAGTGATGTCGTGTTGCTATATTTGGCGCTTGATGAACGATTCCGTCCCCTCACATTATATCTTGGAATGACCTAAGAATGATCTCATTAAAAGGTGAACAAAAGAAAAGTTCTTAAATTGATTAACTTCTTTCTTCATTTTACCTTATCTTCCAGTACATTAGAGACAAGTTCAACTTGGTCCTCATCTTCATTAATCATTGAAAAAAAATCTTTAAAGGTTTCAGGAAAAGTTGCTGCGGGAAATTGACTGCCACTTGAAGCAATTTTATTAGCTTTTCGATTTGTTTCCATTATTTTATCATAGTTGTTGGTTGATGCTGCTTGTGAAAGAAAGAAAAATAAAAGCAGACAACAAATAAAAATGTTAATCTTTTCAAGAAGGATTTGAATTGAAAAGTACTAAAGAATGCAAAGTAAGAAAACATAACAGAGGAGAAAAAATCGATAAGATTCATTGAAATATCTTGTAAAGTCGAAACGTTTTTGCTTGTTGGTGCTGACTTAATTGGGTTTGAGATCCTGACACAACAAAACAAAATCGCTTCAAAAAACAGCGAAAAGCTCAACAACAGAAATAAAATCGCCTCGCAACGAAAAAATGTTTCGTACTTGAGATTTTTTTATATTTAAATTCAATGTTGAGCAAATAAGTAGCATTGTCTCGAATGAACTTTATTTTTATAGCTTTCGAAACAAAATGAACAAAACTAAAAGACGAGCAAATTTCTTCTCACAAAATTTAATTAAAGTGAAAGCATTCAGAAGTGTTAATCCCAACAAATTTAATAATTGGAAGTTCAAATTTGATTTTGATATCTAGCATAATTAACTGAAAAAATAAAATACTGAATAAATTTTCCTTTACCAATCACCCTTTTCAAGCTTTTCCTTTTTTTCTGATTGAGAAAATATTGAGAAAAATTCTTGGAAACGCTTTTCTCTTAAAGGGAATAAGATGAAAAGATTTCTTGTTTATTGTTTGACTGTTTAAAGCTCTTTTTAAATCAGATTTTCTTTATTTATAAGATTCGATTTTCAGGCAATGAAAATTTAATAGAAAAAATGACAAAAGTGTTGAAAGTTTTATGTTTCATCGATTCGTTGTGACTGGTTTAAAGTTCATGAGTTAGAAAGCTTCTTAAATATTTCAAAAGATGTTTGTTAGACATTTCCTATCTTAATACATTGAAATGTTTTCCCATTTTTATTCTATTCAAAGCACCGTATGTTGTTTTTCTCTTCTGTTCTTGTATTCAAAGTGCTCCACCTAGGAGTTCATCATTATTTTCAAAAAGTTCTTTGATAAAAAGAAGAAAATTTTATTCCTTCGCACTTATTTTTGAACTCTTGTTATGATCACAACAGAAAGTTAAAAATAGAAAATATTTTAAAGCTTTTTCGACTTGAAAGAATTTCAGATGTTTAAGAATCTTGCGCTAGAATATGAAACGAATCATTGATTTGAAAAATAATTTTTCATAATTTTCTCTTCCATTACAAATTACAATTTAAATCTCAAATTTTCCGCCTCCATTCATTCCAAATCCTCAAATTCATCCTTCAATTTGTCTTAAAAATTTTAAGAAGAAACTTCAATTGTGAACATTACTTTACTTGAAAAATGATCTCATGAACATCATAGAAGTTTATTGTAACTATTCAATCATAGCTGAAGCGCAATAAGAACGGACAGAATAAAACCATATCAGTTTATGAAGCGGAAGATGATAAAGAAAAATAAAAAGGAAAATATATGATGGATGCAAAGAAGAAAAAATAAAACCGAAAGGATAAAAGATGGAGGAATAAGTAAGCAGAAAAAGAAGAAGATTAAAGCTTAACTGGGAAGAACATGAAACGAAGCGATGAGTTTCTTTTTCTCAACTTCCGATATGAGCTTGAAACGTGATGTTCTGCAATTTATTTTGAAGGAAATCTTGCTTGCTGTCAGAGACAACTTCGTCGTTTTGCTTCTTAAGTACCTTCCTTGAAGGCACTTAACATGCTTTCATTCTTCAGCTCTTTAATTCAATTCGTTTATAAAAAGAATCACTGAATCGTCATTTTTAATGACTAAGTGGATGGTAGTACGTCACCTTCAATCAAAATTAATTCAATAACGCACCAAAAGTGTCCATAAATCGTTTCTTAATCATGACCAAATTTCTAGGAAATTTTTATCTTCTCAACTCAACGCAGCATCTTCAATTTAAGAAGAAAATATTGTGTAGCAAATAGAAACTTTTCTTTCCCTTTAGCTTGTGATTAAATCTCTCCCAACATTCATAATACATTCCTTTGAATTGATTGTGGCCATCATTCGGTTCATCTGGTAAGGAATTCTATCATGTACAAGCAAAGTGATGAGATTTCTTTTGTCATAGAAATAAAAAGGAATTTTTCATAACATCCTTCTATCCCAGGGGGTGATTTTTCCCCTCAAGAGATGATTTAAGTATTTTTTTTCCTTATTTCTTCCTCGTCTTTTATTGAATGCTTTTTTTATAAAAAATGTTCTGTGATTTGAAGATATCTGTGTGCTTTTAAATTAGATTTCAAACAACTTTCTATGCAATTTACTTTGAAAATTGTTGATCCATTTTGTTGTTAGAAGAGTAATTTTGATTAACATTTATCAGTTCGAAGCCCTCGAATAATTGCTACAGAAAAGGTACACAATTCAATTTCATTTCCACTTTCAATGAAGAACTTTCACAAGTATTCTGAACAAAACTTATTTCTAAGGTTTCAACTTAAATCAGTTGTTGAATACGAAGTGTCAGCATGATTGAATTCATTGAATGGAAGAATTGATAAATTAATGATAAACAGTTGGCACTTTTTATGAAATAAAGCTGTTCGGATACTTTCTTTCTTCTTTCTTTCGCTTTCATTTAAAAAGGTCAAAGTCGGATACTTTATCTTAAAAACATAACAACATTTTATGAATTCAATTTTATCTAACAATGAAAAATGTTCTTTATTGGAAACGTCGAGGAAAGCAATGAAAATACCCATTTACGTTTGAGCAATTCCCGTTCAATGATAGCGAAAGAAAACTCCACAATAAACTTTGATGATTTTCCAAAAATTGAAATAATTCAAAAAGTAATTTTGCCTTTATCAAACTTTTATTCCCCTCAACTTTTCTTCCTCTCCGGCCACGGAACGGGATGATGAATGAGTTGGAGATAATTGAAAAGATGCGAAGAGGCACAAGCAAATAAATAAATTATATTAAATGCTTTCATTCTCTCTCAAGCGTTCACGCTTACTCGTTTTCCTGAGACATCATAGGCAGCTGCTATCACATGTTGAATAAATGAAGATTCAAAGTATTACTGTTGGAAACGCGAAACTTCCAAGTTGAATATAACGAAATACTTTTCTTACTAAATATACTAATTACGATTCAATTAACATCAACTTTCTTATACACATGTTGCACGATACAAATTTCGGGAGATTTTTACACACATACGCTACGTTGTAATTGTATTTATAGTATTTTCAATTCTTGAGAGAATTGTCTAACTTGAGTGGGTGGGTCGTTTACAAGCCTTCTCATTTTTTTTCTAATATAAGGTGAAAGCTTTGTGCCAGCTTAACTTTTCATCTAATCTCCTAATACTGTAAGACACAAGCTGTCGAGTGGAATTAGATTTGCATTAATCTAGCGAATAAATGCTTTTGAGTTTGCACGTAAATGAGAACGAGAAGTGAAGCTCTTCAAGTGTCTTGTTGAATGGCGAGTAAAGCTGAATTTGCATTTCAAAGATAAGAAGAAAATTTACATGATGATGAGTTGAGTTTTATATTGTTTAGTAAAGCAATGTTAAACGTGCAGTGCTTGATATTTTAATTTCCTTGCAGTTTAAACAATGCTTGTACGATATTTATTGAAATCTTTATAGGTTGGGATGAAAGTGTTTGAGTAGGTGAAAGGAAGAAATAACGATAATTAAATTTCAATCGATAAAAACTCAGCAAAAAAGCAAAAGGAATCGATAATAAAAGTAGCAGAGCACCGATCAATGCACTGATAAGTTTTGATGCTTCACTGCGAATATTTTCAAAGTAAAAATCTAATTATGAATTATTTTTCATTATAATTTGATTAAAAATCGGGCATGACTCTATTTATAGTCCCGTTCGAAATGACACGATAACTCTTGAAGAGTTGAAAATTAATTAATGAAAATAAAAATCACTGCGATGTTATCAGTTTGAGTGACAATGTACGTCATTGCGAAAGTTGTTAGGGAAATTAATCACAAAACATTTATCATCAAAATTGAAAACATTATGAACATGTTTAAAATTCAATATTCAAATATATTTAATTAAAAGTTCATGTTGGTTTCAAGTTGAAAAATAGTTAGAAAATGAGAAATTTTTGTTAAAAGTTTTAAATTACGTACATACATGAGAATAAAATATGCATCGAGTTTGAATTGATTAAAATATGTCAAATCTGTTTTGAGTGATGTTCTATAAAGTTAAATTGCATAAGAAAAACTTTTGTGACTTGTGAATTTATGGTTTGAGTTTGACTTCTGTTGCTACACTTCCATTGACGACTCAAACTATCAAAACAATCTTGACATGGAATCTCGCGGAAAAATCTTTCAATCATTTCCTTTTAAGCTGTTGAATTGAATGATATTGCATTTTATTACTTTTTCAGCTGTTTAAGCTCAAATGAAAAATAGTGAGAAGGAAAAGTTCAATCGAATGAGAAATTCATGCAACGAGTTTCAATATTGATCTTCTTATCGCATATTGACGATAAGAATTTTAGATGGAATTTCCATCAAAGGTTATTAAACATTAAAAATTGATAAAAAGAAAAACATGTTTACGTAAGGATTTTTAAACTTTGATGCAAAGTCGCTTAAAATTCTCGAAAATTTGTTTTTGTTTTTTAAATTCGCTCATAGAAAAAAGTTTTAATTATGTTATCTTCATGAATTACTTATAAAACCTTTATAGAATTTTGTTTTTCATCCCTTGGATAAATGTGTTTATGCTTCCTGTCGGATTATCGATATTATTTGTATGAAAAGGAATATTCGGCTTTCAAAGTTCGTTTTCTGTTAACGAAGATCTTGAAACATGGAAAATCGATGTGTGACGAATACTTTTCCGATTTCCACCAAAAAATTTTTATAAAATCAGCAAGAAAAAGCTTCCATTTCATGTATTGATATCATTTTATTATTTCAAAAATAAATGAAAATTTACTTTTACAGATGATTTTAATTACATTTGTTGACAGGTTCACATCTGCAAAATTCTTCATCCCAGAAGTAGTCATGGCTGCATTTCTGTTCAGTTGCACAAACGCATTTTCCTCTAACTTCAATTTTCGGCGATGGGCAAGAAACAGCGTAACAATGACAGAATTCCCAGTCAACTTGCTCGTCGGAATTCCATGTTGGTATGTGTCCTGGTTCACATCCGATAGAATAACAGTTGTCGTCATAAGGTCCAGATCCGAGGAATATGCAATCACAAAGTTCAGTGTTCCACACAAGCATAGGATCAGAGCATGTTCCTTCTTGACAATCTGAAGAGTGTGTTGGATAAGGTGTTCCTGGTTCCAACAAAGCAAACATCAAAAGTAGAAGCACAAACGAATTTCTGGTATTTATCCTCATGATGAAAAAACTTAACTAAATTTTTTTTCGACAATTCTTAATATTTATAATTGAATTATCGTGATCGAGCTTAAATATTGTTAATGAATTTTTGACTTTTAGTTTTATTTCTGTCGTTTTTCAGTAATCAACCAAAATAATTGTTAAAAATATAAATAAAAAGTTATTTTTATTTTCACATAAACAAATTGTATGTAAGTAAGAAAAAAATGATGACGAAAACTTCTCAGATTATCGATATTATTTGTACAAAAAGGAATATTCTTCTCTCAAAACATTTTTGTTAACAAAGATCTTGAAACATGAAAAATCGATCTCTGACGGTAAAGTCAAAAATTCATTAACAATATTTAAGTTTACAAAAACACTTTTCCAAAATCAGCAAGAAAACAGTTTTCATTTCATGTAGATATTCAAATCATTTTATTATTTCAAAAATAAATGAAAATTTACTTTTACAGATGATTTTAATTACATTTGTTGACAGTTTTACAATCGCAAGTTTCTTCGAGAAGAATATATTTTTCCGCGACTAAACTATTCCAAATCCAGATTATTGCGGAAAAATTATTCCAAGCCAGAAAATTGCGGATATTTTTGAAATTTTTACCGTTAGAAATATCAAAGTAAGAATTTAATTTTATGCTATTAAAATTAAATTCTACATGATTTAATTATTAAGATAAGAAATTATAATGCTAAATACATTATATTTTCACTTCTTATCTCATTTCATAATTAAAATTAAAATCTGCAAAATATTTTGTCACGCATTTAATTTTTAACGGTTAAAATTTTAAAAATCGTTCCGCAATTTTCTGCCCGCAATAACATAAACCTGGAATGTTTTTCTTGTAATTTCTTCATCTAGAAAAATATATTCTTCTCGTTTCTTCATCCCAAAAGTAGTCATTGCCACATTCAAATTCAGTTCTACAAACACATTTTCCTCTAACTTCAATTTGCGGCCATCGGCAAAAGACAGCAGCAACTGAACCTGAAGGTTTTGATGGATCAGACTCTTTTGGATAAGGTGTTCCTGGTGCCAACAAAGCAAACATCAAAAGTAGAATCACAAACGAATTTCTGGTATTTATCCTCATGATGAAAAAACTAAACTGAAGTCTTTCGTCGACAATTCTTAATATTTATAATTGAATTATCGTGAGCGAACTTAAATATTGTTACTGAATTTTTGAC